GTTCAACGAAGTTGTTTATAAAACCGTTGTTTTTAAAAAAACTTTTTAAAGGAGTTTTTTTGGATTTTGGGTGCGGTCACTAATCTTGTAAAGAGACCGAGGGCATTTTGTAGTCTCTTGGAGCATTAGTTACATCCACTGAATACAGAATGGGGGAGGTGGGGCGATGGGGTGGGGGCAGGGTGGGATGGGGTGATTTGGGTGGCTGGATACTGACAAGGTGAGAAATGTTGGTTAGTCGGGAGACGGCGGAGGTGGAAACCTGGGGGGGGGGGGTAGGTTGGGGAATGAGGGTGTGGTGGTGGTGGTGGTGGTAGTGGTGGTTCAGAGTTGCCATCGCTCAGCACCTCCCGAATGGGTCAGGGGGGTGACTGCTACTCGAGGCACGCTCGGCCACCTGAAACTTGACCTGCACCACTGCAGGGATGTGCGAGTTGGTGTCGGTGTGTCAGAGTTTTTGCACGCATTTCTTAGCGCCGTCCGAGGCTGAAATATCAATGGACTGGTTTCCCCAGCTTGTAATAACAAATACGGAATACAGTAGTTAACCCAGTACCAGGTTAAAAGGGAAGTGTTTTATTTCTTCAGGGGTGTGGCAATTCTTCGCCACACACGGTTAGTTACCGGTGTAACCTGAGATTACCTGTATCTCTGCAAGTTCTGGACGGGTAACTCCTATCACCGGTATGCACAAGCCAGGTAACTGCCCCATTGGTCATGGGGGCCGGGGGGGGGGGGGTGGTGGTTACCTGCCTGCACTGGGCGGGCTGCAGGAAAGAGCCCCTGTGCTCGTCTTTTTCACACCTTTCCTTGAGGAATGCGAGGGCCACTCCCTAATCGCTCCCCTGACCCCCCCCCCTCAGCCCTGTGCATGTGCTAAATGCGACACAGGTGTGGAGCGCTTGCATGTCTGTCTGTGTCGGTGTGTGGTGGTGTCTTTGTATTGTGTTCGTTGGTGCGGCGGAGGGGGGCGGTGGCGTTACCGCAGTGGCTTGCGCACTACCAGGGCATCGAGCGGCGTTCAATTCTCGCTTGCGAACAATAACAGTGGCGGATATTTGAACCGATGATTCTCTCCTAGGTCGGCTCTGCCTTGAATAATTACTTGTTGGGGTTGTGGCCCTCCAGAATAAGGGGGAGACCAGGCGGCAGTAAGGCGTGGCACTGGCCACCTGACCCTCGTGTTGTGCTGACATTAATAGTTGCTCTTTAATTGCACTTGCCATAGCAGTTTTGGTCAAGGTAATATGGGGATCTTTGTCTTGTGTCCATTGCTTATCTGTGCAGGTCGCGGCCAGTGTGGCTGTGTGTTTTTGCATTTGGAGTGTCCATGGTGTGGCTGTATGGTGGGGCGTGGTGCTTTGCGAGACACGGGTGTGGATGCAGTGGTGGGCCATCTGTGCTACAAACCCAGCGGGTTAAATTCCCGCTCCGTGGATAACATCGGTAACAAATGTCTGACCCCGGTCCTGGGCATTCCCGCTGGAGAGACAAAGGGGGCCAAGGGTGGTCCTCCTGGCCATGCCCCACCTCCCCTCCTAACAGGTGCTTTTTTAACAGCACCTTGCCCGAGCAATCCTAAAAGTGTGTTTGTGCATCTGTGCTTTACACTGGTTGTGTTTCCGATGTTCACTAATGTGTGTGTGTGTTTGTGTACATCCGCATTGTGTCACTATGGAAACGTGTGTGTGTGCTTGTTGCTGGTGTGCCAATGTCAACATGTGCTTTGTACAAGTGTGCTTATGCTGGTGTGTGGGTCTGTATGAGGAATGTGCTAGTTTGCAGACTTTTATCTGTGGGGGTGTTCTGATGGCAGGATACACCAGAGGTGGGGGTGGTAGGGGGGGGAACGTGCAGTAAGGACATTTGGACAAGTCGTGTCCAATCCCCCCCCCACCCCCCTTTGCGTTCAATGCTCACCTTTTTTAATTGGTGCTCACTTACAGCACATAGACCATCAGGTCTGTAGGCTACACAGGCGCTCTCTCCTTGTCTTTGTGACCGTGTGTGTGTAACTTCTAATACAGGGAGTGGCAGTGCAGTAGTTGGTGCACTGCGCTATAAAACCCCGGGCCCACATTCGTTTCCCGCTCACGACCAAAAAGTGGCGACTATCCAAACCGATCTTGTGCCTCGCTTGGGTTGACATGGCCTTCAAAGAGTACCTGGTGCGGTGTATAAACATCGGTACTGGGGAGACAATGGCCGGGCATGCGCTGTTCTGGCCTCCGTAAGTACTGCTAACAGTACTGTACTTGCCCCAAACACCCTATTCAAGCCTTATACAGGGGATCTTTGTCTTGGTGTGTGTGTCTATGTACATGTGTACAAATTCTTGGTAGGGAAACGATTTGCCCCTTGGGAAATGTTTATCTGGCTGTGACACTGACAGATCCACACTATGATCCTGATAAGCCAGGTTTAAATTCCTGGTCTTTGCACATAATCACTGGTGGGATGATGGGCCTCCTGAACCGAGTCTGTTCCTCCCCTAGGTCAACCCAGCCCTAAAGTTAAAGAGTCGGGTCACTGAACTTTTTGCAAAAGAATGTGTGCGGTGCCGTGGTTATCGCAACGCACGATGAAGCTGGTCACCCGCTTCACCAACCTCTGTGCCGCGCCTTCCTTAACCCTTTCCCGTTCTGAGAAGTCTGCAAGTTGCAGGGTGGGGTCCCGTTCACTACTGAATCTCGGAATGCGAAAGCGGATCTCTGTTAATTCTACGTAGAGGCATAGCGCTGTTTTCAAAGACCTCTCCGCAGAGAACTGTAGCGACACGGCTGCGCACAATGATAGCTGGCGTCAAACTGCCTCGCCTTCCCGCGTGGCAATGTGGGAACCTCGGTACATCTTCAGGTCAGAAGAAGTGTTTTATTTATTAGTCCTTAAGATTCCGTTCTAATGATGGATTCGGAAGAACTGTCATCGGACTGGGAAAGGGGTTAACAAGCACTTGCTCAAATTACTTTCCCCAAAATTCGGCAGGGATACAGATTATCTCTGTTTTCTGTGGCGCATTATGGGCAGAAGCCTAAATATAAATAGAACTTATTCTTTGGCCCATTGGCTTTCCATACTAATATGCATTGGCCTGTTGGCTATGTGGTGTGTCAAATTCTTGTTCTACATCTGTGCCTCACTCCCCCTCGGCCTTTTGATAGGTGCTTGCTCGCAGCACGTTTTGTCTTTGCCATTTTGTTTTACATTCCATGTCGGTCTGGCTCATGCTCGGCCCTGTCTCCCTCGTCCTTGTGCCAGCGGTGAAACGGTGGCCGCGAGTTTCCGGATACTGCGATCCGGGGACAGGCGTGGTCGGACACGTTCCAGTGTGGCGCAGCCTGCTGACTTAGAACTCCTCGGCTGTCACCTCCTTGCTCATCTGTCTGTGCCCTTCTTCCTGTCTACCTGTCTGCTTGCGTCTCTGCTTGGTCGTTTGTCTGTCTGCCTTGTAGTGTGTGTGTGTGTGCACACATCTGGCTGTAATGATTGTGTGTTTGCCTACCTGGCTGTGTGTGTGTATATGGATGTTTACCTATTTTCTATTTCCACCTGTCTGTCTGGCACGTCCATCAGCCGAACGGTGTATCTGAATCTTACCTGCCTGCCTACCCGTCTGCCCACATTCAAATGCCACTGTCCACTGCTTGCTAGTTTTTACCTAAACGCTACAAAAAACAGGTTTTCACCAAGGTACAAAACCTCATGCATGGTCTGCTTGACTACGTGCTTACCTGTCCGTTCGTCTCCCAACGCGTCCGCCCATTCGTCCCGTGCGTGTTTGAGCCGTGAGGTGGGCGTGTGTCTCCGAGATGCATGCCCATATTGGGTGATGTTCTCCTGGGAGGGTTCGGGGTGTGGTGCGCGGGGGAGAGACGAGGTGTGTGTAGGGGGGGGGATGTACAAGGTGTGTGTGTAGTGGGGGTAGGGATGTACAAGGTGTGTGTGTGTATAGTGGGGGTAGGGATGTACAAGGTGTGTGTGTAGTGGGGGGTAGAGCCCCGTTCCCGCTATGCTGTCCCCCCCACCTCTACTTTATAATGTTGTTGTGGCTGGGATTTATTACAATTTTTCATGTGGCCTTGAAGGTGATGTCATGTTCACGCGAGGAAATTTGTGGTTTCTGCAATAAGTCTTGAGTAAATGAAATGGGTTTTTGTTTAAGCCAGTCATTGTCCTCCCAATGATGATTGATGGTGGTGGTTGAGCTGCTGATGCGCACTGGTGATGGATGAATGGTGTGCTGGTCTCGATGGTAATTATGGAGGGGATACCCTTGGATGGTGGTGATTCTGGTGGTTGCTGCCAATATTTATTTACGGTGATTCTGATTGTGAATAAAGTTGCTGCTGCTGATTTTTACTGCTGGTAACGGTGAGGGGGGGGGGGGCAATCAAACGACATGCATTCTCGACCCTGGTCTCTTGTGCACGTTGCATCACCCAGACGGATCTCTCTAATATTATTGCATGGGGCAAGCCATGCCGGCTGTGACCCATTTTTGAAGGTGAATGCTTTGCGAGGTGGTAGAATTGGTTGCCGTTAGCACAAGCCCCCACCGGCTTCTGAGCCTTGCTCTTCCAGCAGTAGATAATAATATGTATCTTGACGAATGGGACACATCCAGCAGTGGATAAGCTATGGCTGCTGTCATGTTACTGTGACGATAACGATGTGGTGATGGACGACATGACTGGTAGTTGTGATGCGCCTGAATTTTATTTTATTTCACCTTCATTTTAACCAGGTAACAAACCCTTGAGGTTTTAAACCTCTTGTAAGGGAAGCCTGGCAAAAAGAAATTGTCACGCACAATACCAAATAGTGCAATCTAATACAAATGGTGATCATGAGAACAATGTTGTTGGATTGGTGATGAAGACCATGACAATCATTCAAATGATGATGTTGCTTCTGCTGATGATGTCAGCAACGACCATAACCCCATAATGATGCTATGGCAGTCGTGTTTTAATTCGCTGCTCTTCACCTCCTCTCCACAGACAGCCAGGCCATCGTGGATGGGAACCTGAAGCTGATCCTGGGCATGGTGTGGACTCTGATTCTGCACTACTCCATCTCCATGCCCATGTGGGAGGGCGAGGAGGACGAGGAGGAGGCCAAGAAGCAGACGCCCAAGCAGCGTCTGCTGGGCTGGATCCAGAACAAGCTGCCCGACATGCCCGTCGGCAACTTCAGCAAGGACTGGCAGAACGGACGCGCGCTCGGGGCGCTCGTCGACAGCTGTGCGCCCGGTGGGTGTCTCTCCCGTGCACTCGGTGGGGGACGAGGGGCAGAGGTCGCAACCGGGTACCTGATACCCGTACCCTACCCGATAACCGGGTACGGGTAACCGTTTGCGACCCTGGTGCGGCCGGGTACGGGTAGGCCGTGAGTCACTGGTGAGTAACCGTTTATCACTCATTTCGGGTAGGGAACGGGTACCTGTACCCAGCTGGGTACGGGTGCGGGTGCCCATTTGCGACCCTGGTGCGGCCGGGTACGGGTAAGGAATCAAAACCCGTTTGCGACCTCTGACGAGGGGACAGCTGGGGTAGAGCTGGGTGGGTACAGAGCGTCTTACAGGAAGGCAGAAAGCTGGCGGTAGAGAGCATTGCACAGGCGGGAGAGCTAGAAATTGGAGGACAAGTGGGTCGATTTTTAAGTGAGTTTTCTTAGTAAGTGACATTTGGGCTCAACCCTGCTTGGCTTGTAATACATTCCTGGTAATTTGGTCATGGATCACCAAGGGAGGAGAGATGTTAGAGGCCATGGGTCTCATTGAGAGGCAGAAGGGTGGGTGAGGTGTCTCAGAGTGTTTCTACGCTCTGGGCGACGCAGGAAGGGTGATCAGGGGCATGAGTCGCATGGGAGGGGTGGGGTGGGGGTTGTCGCTGTTGCTTCTGTCACGTCGCCAAACCCCCGCGCTTCCTGCCGTCGCTTCCATGACGATGGGAAGTTTGCGCGAACAAATCTGCGGTGAATGCGAATTCCGGCTACGTCGAGGAATGGCCAGCTTAAGATGGCAGCAATGCTGGACGGTTCATTACCAAAATAAAAGACTTAAAAAAAAAATTACGTTGCGGAACGAGGCAGGGAGACTGTATGAGAGTTAATGATTGATCAATTGGCAGTAAGCGAAACTTTGGTAAAAGAAATGTAATGGTGTCAAATGCTCACGTGATTGAACTGATACATCCACATTTTTTTGCAAATTTGAAAAAAGGTAAAAATAAAGTCACTAGGTTTTTGCAGTTGTCCTGTGCAGCCCTCCAATGTGCTTTCAAGTTGCGCCACATGTTTTTTCGGCACGTGTCGGTTCCACTCCACGTGCCGTCGTGCAGAGGAACTTTGGACGTCGTGGTAAAAACCGGAAAAGATGTTGGCACGAAATCGTTTCCAAAACGGAAAGGCCACCTTCACTGCTACTGCTCGCCACTTCCCTGCTCGCCACAGGGGCAAGTTTGTGTCCTGTGGGTGACCGCCAAGGTGACCTTCCGAGGGTCCACATCGTAGCTGGGATGAGAGGCCTTACCTGATGATTCCTATCCTCCACGTCAGTGGTTCTTAACCTGGGGTGCACGTACCCCCTCGGGGTGTGAGATGGCCTTTCTGAGAATCAAAGGGGTGCATGCTGGAGTGAAGGTTAAGAAACCACTGGTACACGTTAGACTGGGGATGAGTCGGCTTCTAAAAAATTATTCTCCAAATGTATAACAAGTGATATGACATTTGCAGTTGAAGATGCAGAATTGGCGACGTATGACGGCTTACCGTGGCGACAATCCGAGAATACCATTTTAAGCATCTGAAATTTAGTAACGTGGCCTGCTTATTATAATTTTTTTCGTGTTTTTAATATGTAGTATCCCTTCCCTAACACTAGCATTCACACACCAAGGACAGAAGCGGAGATCTGGCACAGCGGCTCTTGCGTTTGTGCTATAAACCCAGTGGGTCTGGGTTTGATTCCCAGCCACGGTTAACATCAGTGGAGCGTGGACTAGTTGTGAACTGCCCCCTTCACCAACCGGCACTGACCAGCATGGTGAAGTATTGTCAAACGACCCCCATGAATGACGCAGCATAGAGAGCCCTTATTTCAGCAGTCGATTGACCGACAAGCTGCAATATATGGGGACACGCCCATGACGGTACGTGTAGACAGACACACAGGCACGCACACACAATCACTCAATCCCCTGTTTAGCCTTGAGCTGTTGGGTAAAATTCTGTATGCAAGCCCTAACACACCCACGCACATACTTACACACACACAGAATCCCCAGTTTATAATAATTCGCAGCCTTCGGCAACCCACTGCTGACTGAAGGCCTCCTAGCTTTGATTGTGGGCATTGTTTAACCATACCTCACCATGCTGGTTGGTGTGTGGGGAGGGGGAAAAACTGCTTCAAATATAATTAGCTGCTCATGGCCAGGGCTGAGACTCCACAGCTTGCTGGATTCGCTAACAACTGCACCACCACTCCACAAGTTTTGTTAGTAAGCGCAGTCGCGCCTCTGGTCTCCACTGCCGTGATACCATCGTGGGATAGGTTTACCTATATTTATTTTTGTTGGTTCTCTTTGCCGTCGAGATATATACCGCAATTTCCTTCACTTTTGTCTCCGCCGTTGTCTTCCATCGTTGTCCCTTCACCTATCGTCAGCGCTCACACCCCGAAGCGGGGGGTGGGGGGGGGGGAGTGCGACGGTGACCGGGTGCGATCATAGCACAGTGATGGCCCATGCCGCCCGGTTTGTGCAGATTACATTGTGCCATCGTGGAGGTGTTTGCATGCGCGGTTATAATACGGCGTGCGCATGCGTCCATTGTGTCGGTGTCTGTGTGAAAATTTGCATGTGTGATAACGGTATTTGTTATCCCTGTGTTTGTGTAATAAGGGAGTCATTGTCGAGGTGCAGATGGATGCGTGTGTTTTTTGGATGGTCTGTGTACATTTGTCGATCTGTTTGTTTTGGACCATTTGAATTGCCGCCATCCTTGACACCGGTTGCAACCTTGCTCCTAAACCACCCCTGGGTTAACCTCGGCCTAAAAATCCTTTATGTCCGTGCAGGTCTGTGCCCCGACTGGGAGACGTGGGATGCACGGCCCCCCGTGGACAATGCTCGCGAGGCCATGCAGCAGGCCGACGACTGGCTCGGTGTACCGCAGGTGCGTTCGCCCATCTGGATCAATCCCAGTCCCCCAACCAGAGCCTTGCGCTTGATCAAATTAGTTTTTGCCGGGCGGCCCTCGCGCGCTCCTCTAATCTGCCGCTGGAGTCGGAAGCGAAGGTTGGTGGATCTCACGTGTGATTGTTGAATATTCTTCCCGTGGGTGTCGGTGGCACATGCCCTGGCTTGCTAGGAGAAGGCGGTACAGGAAATGTGGGGCCCTTCCCACTGGTTCTCTATCTATGTGATGGAGTTGCCCCTTGCATGTGTGTATTTTCTCCCGGTTGCTCCGGTTTCCTCCCAATTGTATAAACAACTCGCTGTAAGTTGCCTGAACATGCAGGACCTCCCTGAGAAAGAGTTCAAGACTGGCTTTCGTAGATTACAAAAGTAATTGTTAACATAATTTCCTCCTTTTTGGATCTGATTTGGTTCCGAGGTGCATGTATTATCTGGATTGATTCCTTCCTTGCATCCAGTGCCTTGCTCTGCTCTCACCTGGATCCTTACTTGAAGGTGCACCGACTCAATCTCCCACTCCTGATCCAATTCGTTCTAAATTTAAACCCATTGTTTTGTGATGCTGCTGCTCCTGTTTTGGCAGTGGTGCACAAATGACAACCCAACATACAAGTCCAATGAGACTACCGTAAAAGGATATATAAAATCGGTGATGTTTTGTCGGTTTTTCGCGGCCAACAAAATCGGCTTTGTTCCCTTTTTGTGGAGCTTTGTGTGAGCCCTTTTGTGATTTGCGTGGGTATTCTCTGGGTGCTCGAGTTTCCTCCTGGAAGGAAAACACTCGTCAATGGAATTGGCCAAACATCCCAGTGGAGGAACCTCCTGAATAAAGTCTTGGGCTTTCCTGGATAACATTTTTCCAAAATTCGGACTTTTAAAAAAGGCATTATTATTCCCACGTCTCCTTCCTCCTGTAGTGGGTGGGGTTGGGCCCATTCGCTCCGCTGCCAAATTCAACAACTTTCTTTTTCTTTAAAACAACAAGACGGGGGTTTGTGGTCGGGGCGTGCGGGACCCTGGGGTGAGAGCGTTCGCCTCTGGCGATGCTCGTGTATCATCCTCGCACCGCCGTGGACGTGAAATCAAAAACAAAAGCACCGCGAGCGAGACTGCAGCTCGCCCAGAATGAATCGCCGCTTCCTGTGGCGTTACCTAATTCCTCCGCAGCCCTGGAGGCGGTACGTGGGATTGTTTCTGCCGCTTGGCTACATCCCCTCCCGCGTGCCCACCTGCCCGCCTACTTCCTCCCACCTGCACGGCCTCTCCTCCCGCGCCGTCTGGCAGTGCACGGTCGTGTCGAAATCGGAGATATTATTATCATTTATTTATCTGGCCGATGGGTGAACAGGGATCTGTTTTGGCAGCTTGTAACGAAGACTGTGGAATGCTAGAGTGCAAAAGCCCGCCGTGCCCTGTTGTGGCTGTGGCTGCGTTTTGACCATCGTGAGATGACAAACAGGCGCACGCGTTGGCGGCACCCGCCTGTAAAACCCCGTCGCCTTGTGGAGGCAGCCGTGAGGGTTGGCGGAATTTCTCAAATGTTGTGAAACTCCCAATGGGCGTCCGAGTGCTGTTTACCCTGCCTTGTGACCAAAGCGGTACAGAAAATGTGGATTCTCTCATCTGTTCCGTCTGTAATGGGTGATGGTGTTGCCCTCTCTCGCGCTTGCTTTGGCTTTCTCCCGGCGCTCGGGTTACCTCCCACGTGTATAAACACTCATTAATTGGCTGAACATATTTTTAATTTAGAGGACAGTTGAGCTTGGGCAATTGTTGGTGGTGGTGCCGTCTCGCTGCCTGATTTGGGGCCTTGGCACTCATGTGGCTCCTCCCCAAGTCGTTCTTTCCCCACGAGCGAGTGACGACTGGTGCTACGGTGCGTGCGCATTACAAGTTCTCTTATCACTTGCAAGGAAAACCAATTTTTAGACCTGTTGGCATAATTAATGTAACAATTCCCTGCTGCTTGCCTACCCCGTGCGATTTGGTTGTCCATGAATTGTTGGCTGTAGTTTGATTTAGAAAATATTTATTCACCGCATGATTTACTACGTGCGTTGTGGATGCAGGATCTTATTTGAATGGACACGACATGATTTGGTGTCGCCTGCTGTCCCCAGTTCAGGCTCAAGACCTTTTCTGTTCTGCCCATGGCCAACTGCTTCTCTGCTGTTTATGCGCAGCCTGTTTGGGTACTTCCTAAATCAACGTTGTATTGCTACATTGCTTATCGCTCTATTGACAAAAGGCTGATAGAAGTGAATGTACGGTGTTTGTACGTCTGTGTGGTCATGACAAGAGATGCCCCGTGTAGCCTATAACTGCCTGTCGGTAGGTAGTTGTGTGGTGGTTGACGCACTGCGCTATAAACCATGTGCCCTCGGTTTGATTCCCAGCCATTGCTAACACCCCCGGAGGACTTGGCCCTCCCCTTGGTCATCTCGGCCTGAAATGAATATCTGATCCATTTGTAAAAAACATTAGCACTGGGGATACTAAGGGTGGCCTGGGATGGTGTGATCCACAACCCCCTCGTGCGCTGTGCCATCCTTCATAGGTGCTGACTAACGGCGCTTTCCCCAACAATTCTGTAGGCTGCAGTGTAATATTTGTCTCGGTGCGGTGATGCGCCTGGACGTGTCCGAGCCCCGATTGTGACCTGGGATTAGCGAGATTACCTCGGATCAGACGACTTGGGATTGCTCAAGCTGTCGTTTAATGCCCGCGAACAGCACTTGCCCGAACAGTTATGTTTTATTTCTCTGCCTAAAACATTATTTTAATTTTTACACTTCATCAGCCACCACAACCTTCTGGGAGTGACTTTTTTATTTTCGGTATCATTCATTCAACACACGCAAAACTCTGGACCAGTTTTGACATTTGTCTTGGCAGTATTGGGCTTACTTAAATGAATACTAGTGAGCTGCCAGATGTTTTGGAGGCACAGAAACCCCTCCCTTAGATATGGGTCCTAGTTTGATGCAAACCTATACAGTATTCTAATACATAACATCGTCATTAGTCGTTGTATAAGCGAGCAAATGTGTTTTTTGTGAACAAGGCAGAAATGGTTGGTGTACTGCAATGAATCCTTAGCATATTCCTTCTCACAAGCAACATTAGTGTGACAAGTGTCTGAAGTGGTACTGGGCTCCTCGTAGGTCGACTCTGCCGTAAATGAGTCACTGGTGCCGTGTACTGGCCACCCCTCGTGTATGCTGGCCTTTTGGAGGTCCTCTTCAAACTATTGGCATAACAGTGTTTAAGGCTCTAGGGGGAACTTTATCTTTGTGAGCAAACAAGTGTGTGCATGAGTAATTCCTTTCTCTCGGGAGCCATTGTTTTCCCGTCTGGTTGTGACCCGCGTCGTCTGGAATCTGTTTCCCGGCTATTTGTGCTGCTCAAGACCCTGGGCTTGAATTGGTGGCCTCTCATTGACAATCCGACCAATCTCAACGCACTATGTCACAAACTCCCATCTCTCGCCCTGCAACTGCCACCTAAACGTGCACAGCTTCCTCGCTGATGTGTATGTATCTCCCCCCCCCCCCCCCCCCCCCCCCCCCCCCCCCCCCCCCCCCCCCCCCATGTCGGATGCTCCATATTCGCATTGCAAAGTGTGAAATTTAGAACCTGTATCCATTGAGGTTATCAAACCCATTCAATGGCCTCTTGTAGACGTTTGGATGATGGTGAATGCCGTCTGTGAATCCGTTGTGCAGGGGGCAGTGTTGGAGTGATGGATGGTCTAGCATTTTGCGACATATAGATCCAAATTATCATTGGTCATATGCTTGACCAATATCCGTTTTGAATATTTGCAAATGGTCACTTTTCTTTTGGCTTGTCACCCAAATTTTTTGGTAATAACTCTCGGATTAATTTGCCCGTTTTTATTCTCAATGGAATCCCTAGGATGAATACTTATCCGGCGAAGGGCGTTCTAGACAAGGGGGCTACATAGGATGTAATGCGGAGCCATAACCTTGAGCGCACTTGCTGTAGTGGTGGTCGCGTGTGCTCATGCGTGTCCGTGTGTGTGTGTGGTCGTATTCCAGGTGATCGCCCCGGAGGAGATCGTCGACCCCAATGTGGACGAGCACTCGGTGATGACCTACCTGGCTCAGTTCCCGAAGGCCAAGCTCAAGCCGGGTGCTCCCCTCCGCCCCAAACTCAACCCCAAGAAGGCGCGCGCTTTCGGCCCAGGTCAGGCTTTTGTTTGGGGGGAGGGGCACCGTGGGTGACCCCTGCCAGATCCGGGATGATGGCCACCTTCACCTTCAACCTGGCACGGAGCCATAGCACACCCGACCTTGCCAGGCCCTCTGACCCATCGAATCGACCAATCACCGCCCAACTATCACACCCAACTCCAGCTGCCACCATCACACCAGATGCTCCTGCTCCATTGCACTTGGCAGGTCAGGAGTTTAAATTCCGGTTAGGGTCAACTTAACATGACCCTGCATTTTTCCGTCGTATGATATGACCCCGATGGCACAATTGTGATAGGTATTGGGGGGGGGGGCGGCGGAGAAAATATTTCCACTTTTTTATTTAAAGAACACGTGTTGTGGTGTCCGTAGGGGTGGAGGCGATGGGGAACATGGTGATGAAACCGGCGGCCTTCACTGTGGAGACCATCAGTGCCGGGCAGGGAGAGGTCCTGGTGTTCGTCGAGGACCCTGCTGGGCACAAGGAGGAGGTAAGTGGCCATGCACATGTCTGAAAAACTACAAACTCGCAAATATCTTTCATGAGACATTACATGTGACTTAGTATTGTTCGATTTAATATTTTAAAATGCATTGTAACTTATCTGTAAAGGATTGAGTCAAGCTGCCCAAATCGAGACCCTCCATTAAAAACATCCTCAACTCGGGTCCAATATGTCTGACATGTTTGGTGGTTTGTTTTGTTATTATGTTCACTCGGTGGCTCAATGGTGCGGTAATTTGTGTGCACTTTGCTACAAACTCGGCAACCCGAGGTTCAATTCCTGGCCACGGCCAACATAAGTGACAAGTGATATCTGAATCTTTCCTGGACCATTCAAGCTACGCACACTAACCAGCGTGGTGAAGAATGGTGTAAAAAAACATTTTAAATAGCATTGCAAGTCCTTCAGTAGTGCATTGACAAATGTTAATGTCGTTTGTACCATTTGAAATAATTGAGACTATTAAATCTCACTTTTAAATGTGTGCAGGCTAAAGTGTCTCCCGTCAAGGACAAGAACCAGACTTACTCTGTGGTCTACACGCCCAAGGTGGTGGGGCCTCACAAGGTGAGGCACACTCTCCTCGGCTGCTGGGGTTTCTCTGCGCCTTATCCTGTCTCCTAGCACTTTCCTTCAAAATACTGACGCCTTCGCTGGGGGGGGGGCAGTTTTTGGGTAGGAGGGAGGGCAGGACTGAAAGCGGGCTATGATCACGGTGCGTCCAGCCTGTGACCAGTGTCACCGTGTATGTGCCCGGGCTCTTCAGATCTCTGAAAGTCGAGCTGTGTTTGAGCCTGGGTGGTGATTTTTGGGTTGGTGGTAGCCATGCATGAACCAGGCTGTGTCGGCCGCCTCACTCGCCACTAGCTCCTCTCCCTTAATGCAGAGCCACAAAGGCCCCAAATCCCAAGCGTCCAGGAACAAACGCTACCATTTTTAAAAGTTGCAATCGATAAGAATTAATGTTTTGAATGGAGGTAAGGTTGTATATGAACTACGGGAGGTGTTGGGGAACAGACACTGGGAGGGAATTCCAAAAAATTGAGCCATGTGAGGAAAGAAGCGGAAAGTGTTTAGACCTGCAGAGTCGTGGTGGTTGAACAACGGTGTGGATGAGACTTCACAGTCAGTCTGGTAGTCCTCTGTGTGTGAAGGAATCGATGCGTGAAGCTCACGTGGAACATCACCCACGGTAGTAGCGATTTAGAAGTGTTGGTGGGTGCATGAGGTAGATGGGTGGTTGAAGTGTTTGTTAAACCACCACGCTGCAGGTCAAAATAGTGTGGATGAGACTAGAGTTAGCCTGGTAGATCGAGTACTCCAATATGGGAGGAGGAATCGAAGAGTGGCTTTGACGGGAACTGTGTAACCCCAGTAGTGGCGACAGGACTGGAGTTTGTCTTTAACGTGTGTGTGTGTGTGCACCCTGCAGGTGACGGTGCTATTTGCTGGGCAGCATATCAACAAGAGCCCCTTCGAGGTGTCTGTGGCCAAACCTCAAGCGGATGCGAGCAAAGTGACGGCGCGGGGGCCTGGCCTGGAACTCAATGGCGTCATCGCCGGGAAACCCACGTACTTCGACATCCACACGGCCGGTATGACTCGCACACGGCTTGACCAGCATGGACGCTCCCCCCACACGGCCGGCATGGAGCTCCCACAATCAAATCGATTCGAAGGCTTGCGATGTGTGCATCATGCAAGGCAAGAGTGGTTTATTCTCAATAGATGCAAATCGTATGCGCCTTGCTAAGCTAATGGAAAGAACGATTTGGAACGTACGAGACTGACGACAAACATGCAGGTACAAGCTATCGATTCTAGAATCGGGGGAGGGATTCCAAAAAGGTGAACATGCCAACTCCCCACGTGACCAATGCTCTACCCCCCCCCACCAGGTGCGGGCATGGGAGATGTGCACGTGGCGATCACGGACCCGCGGGGACGCAGCGACACTGTGGACGTGGAGCTGGAGGACCGGGGCGAGAGCGTGTATCGCTGCGCGTACCGCGCCGTGCTGGAGGGATCGCACAGCGTCGCAGTGTCCTACGGGGGCACCGCCATCCCGCGCAGCCCCTTCCCCGTCAACGTCGCGCAGGGTGAGCGTCGCGCTTCTCCCCCAGCCGTTGGCGTCATCGGGGCCCCCCCACCCGTGCTTGAGATTTGGCTGCAAAGGACCTTCCTGGTCTCCTGACGACTTCTTGCTGCGCTCTACGCTCTTCAGTGCTCCAGCGACCAAGGATTGACGTCATAGGCGCATGCAGCACTTTCCCCAGCAGCCTGTGTAAGGTTAAAGGGGGCAGGGGGAATATCTTTGTCTTTATCGTTGTGTGTGTGCATATGTGACTGTGCCGAACAGCGAGCCATGCGAGCGCGTGCCGCGCCACGGGCAGAGGCCTTCAGGTCAAGGGCGTCCGCATGAAGGAGGCGGCTGACTTCCGCGTCTTCACGCAAGGTGCCGGCACCGGGGAGCTCAAGGTGTCGCTCAAGACCCCAAGTGAGTCATGCTGTCGCTTGGCCGGTGGCGTCGTCGCCAACGTCGTTACTGCTCACCTTCAAAGCCCCCAGTCGACCTGGGGTTCGTGGGAGGATCTGCACGTTCTCTTGCGATGGACTCTAGAGTTTGTTTTGAACTCTTCTCTTCCCCCCCCCATGACATCCGTGCTGTTGACTCCCAGAACAATGACGATTCCGCAAACATGCACAACTACTAACTACACGGCTACATAATCACATGACTACACAAGCGCATAACTGCAAAACCATTTGAACCCACTACGTCACAGCGCATGGGTGGGAATGGGCAGCGGTGAGCCTGCTCCCTTCCCCCTCCTCACCACCCCCTCCTCCCCCACCCTGTGTCACCTCAGATGGGCACGAGGAGCCTATTCGTCAGAAGGCCGGTGGCGATGGCGTATATGCGTGCGAGTACATGCCCAGCGTGCAGGGCAAGCACGTGGTGTCAGTCACCTGGGCTGGCCAGCACATCCCCCGCAGGTACGCATGCACAGTGACGCGCGGCGTACACGCCAGCACATGTGTACACGTCTGTGTGTCTGCATCACATCATCCTTGTCCACGATTATGTACTGGCGCATGTGCATATTTATGCTCATGTGTGCAAGTGTCTCCGTGCGTGGACGTGGTGTACTATTGTGCATTCCTGCGAGCGTGTGCGTCTATGTATGCACTCGCCTTCCTTCATAAGTGCTACTTGCTAACAGCACTTGCCCCCCAACATTCTATCGAGGGATCTTTGTCTTTGTGCTCGCCTATGTTTTGAGTGTGCGTGCGTGGGCAGGTTTGCATGATGATGATGCTGCGTGTGTTTGTGCGGTGCAGCCCCTTTGAGGTGGAGGTGGGCCCCGCCGCGGGGGAGCAGAAGGTGCGCGCATGGGGCCCCGGCCTCCGCTCCGGCCTCGTGGATCATCCGGCCCACTTCGTGGTGGAGGCCATCGGGGATGACATCGGCACGCTCGGTCAGCACCCACTCCGATTAAATACTAACGAGATATTTTTGTCTGGTGGCTCAGGGGGGAGTGGGGCATTCATAATGACCATGTTGGAGATACTGAGCAAGCAACACCTGAGGTCCTGGATTTGATTCTATGTTTGGCGTGGTGGCGTATTTGTTGTGAGCGTACTGTTATGGACTTTGCTAGTACACTGTACTCGCATGAGGCAGTCAAACAGAGGGGCCAAGCAGCCAGGCGTCCTAAAGGCGCCCCCTTGTGTACTGTGCCGGCCCTTCATAGGTGCTCCCCAGCAGCCTGTGTAGATTTACACGGACGACTTGTTATCTATTATTCTACTGGCACAGCCGTGCCAAGCCGGGACGCAAGGCTCTCGCCGTACACTCCTTTCCCCACTGGTTATTTTCCGTTCCGAGTCGGCACCGACTCGTGACAATGCTAGCTTCGCAGGGCATCTGGCTCGGTAGAAAGCAGGGCCATGGCCGACACTGACCATTTTCATCACGCGTTTTACGTGCTTTAACACGGTCTAACGTAACTAGTCGTTAGTTGCGTCGGCGGGACTGCTCTCCTTCTGCAGTGGTAAAGCAAACATGGCATCTCCCCTGAGCCGCACTGGGCTGACTGTGGCCCTGGCACTGCTCGGTTGTATGGTGGAAAAAGAGGTAATGGTCTGGTGTGCCCACACGCATCTGTCCGTGTTGCCGTGATGCAGGCTTCTCGATCGAGGGCCCGTCCCAGGCGCGTATCGAGTGCCAGGACTGCGGCGATGGGTCTTGTGACGTGGTGTACTGGCCCGGCGAGGCCGGCGACTACGCGGTGCACGTGGTGTGCGACGACCAGGATATCAAGCACAGCCCCTTCATGGCCGAGATCGTCGCGGCCCCTGCAGACTTCCATCCCGACAAGGCACGGGGGGGAGGGGCGTGGGGGTGGTTCAGGGGGGTGGGTGGTTGAGGGGGGTGGGGCATTAAGGTGCAAGGCACGCAGTGGGTACGGGGGTTGTGCAAAGTGGGTGAGGGCGTTGGTGTACAGGGGATAGAGGAAACATGGGGGGGGAATGTATAGGGTAGGGGCATGATGTTGGTGGTCACGGGGGGGGGGGGGTGAATGCAGAGTGGGCACAGACTGAGGAAACGAGGCTCGTAGCGGTCACGAGGTCACGTAACGTGCGTGTTCTGCGGCGCAGGTCAAGGTGTTTGGGCCGGGCCTGGAGAGCGGCAAGGTGGTGGTGGGCAAGCCCATTGAGTTCACGGTGGACGCTCGCGCGGGGGGCAGGGCCCCCTTGAAAGTGTACGCACAGGTAAGGGCACCACCTACCCCAAACAGCCCCTGCTGACCACACGAAGCGGTTGTCGTCCGTTATTTGTTGTCACTGGGTGTTGGTGACCATCTTCGGCATGGATCACATCTTTGCCCTCTCTTGTGCTGTTGCAATCTCCTCATCCTCCTCCTGTTTGTCATCGTTGTCGTCCGGTCCAGGATGCGGAGGGCAACCCGATCGATGTGCAGGTGAAGGACAATGGCGACGGCACATTCCTGTGCCGCTACACGCCTCGCAAGGCCATCAAGCACACCTTCCTCACCACGTGGGGCGGCGTCTCCGTGCCGGGCAGCCCCCACCGGGTACGGCTCCCCGCTCCCTTCACCGTCGTGACGTTTGTCGCCGACGGCGCAGGACACGCAGCGCGTCTCCTCCTCCACCCTCTTGCTCTCTTCCCACTGCTCATCTGTTCTCTTGCGTTTCTGGAATTCACGGCCCTTCTTTACTGTGACAGGGATGTTGCTGTATACCCATGTGCAATCCAACAGTGGGTTTTGCCACATTGCCCTCTGCCGATTTTAAAATCTCAACTCGGCACTGTCCCCCGCGTTTCTACGCGTGGTAGTCGTGCCCAACCAGCAAGCGCTGATCGTGCTCAACCCGACTTGGCTTCCGAGATGTGGCGATTGGGCGCCTTGCAGTTTTGGCCATAGATCACGCAGACGTAGAGATTTTGAACCCTTGAGTCGTGTGAGAGAAGTTGGTGCTATTGTGAATGGCGCTACAGCCTCTGCGTGAGATCTGAGAGGGGGGTATAAAGTGGGGGGGGGGGGGGGGGGGGGGAAGCATCTTGTCGTGTCTCCAGACCCCCCCCTCCCTGAGTAGTGACCAACATTCGTGCACGATGTTCAGCACAACCGTGTATGTTGATGCACTGTGTGAGCCTGTGTGCAAACCCTTACCCGCGTGTGTGGGTGCGCGTGTCGTCAGGTGACGGTGAGCAAGGGCAGCTACCCGCAGAAGGTGAAGGTATCCGGAACGGGCGTCGACCGCTCCGGCATCAAAGCCGGGGAGCCGGTGGAGTTCACCGTGGACTGCTCTGAGGCCGGGGAGGGTGAGTTGCGGCACAACCGAGCGCACTTACTGTGCCGCCAGCGCGTACCGTTGTACCACGCTCACCGCTACGACTTCCCCACGTTACCCCCTCCTTCGCCGTGCAGGTGACATCAGCATCGGCATCAAGTGTGCGGCGGGGCTGCTGGGCCCCACCGAGCAGGATCTCGACTTCGACATCATCAAGAACGACGATGACACCTTCACCGTTCGCTACATGCCGCCCGCCGCGGGCCGCTACACCATCATGGTGCTCTTCGCTGACCAGGTGACTGCTGGTAGTGACCGTGTCCGTAAGTAGTATAGTGCAGATGGTGGTCGGGACAATAGTGGGTTTGTTGGCGGCGAGGCTGGTGGTGATGTAAATTGTGGGAAATGATGAGCAGTGGTTAGTGCACGGTCCTATGAACACAGATTTTATTTTTGGTTGTGGCCAACATCTGTGTCCGAAATCTTTTGAACCGGTCCAGAGACGCCTCCCTTGGAGAAACTCGTAGTAGAATGGAGATTGTAGTTGTAATGGTTGTTGTAAGGGTGGTGGCGACGGTAGCTGTTGTAGTGCTTTTGTTAGTTTTGGTGAAGGTGTTGTGGTTCTGGTGGACTATGTGCCGCCGTTCAACGAGCCGCCTCTAACGGTAACGGGCAATGCCCCTCCCCCCCCCCCTCCCCCATTTCACCCCTGCAGGAGATCCAGCAGAGTCCGTTCCGCGTTAAGGTCGACCCCTCCCACGACGCCTCCAAGGTGAAAGCTGAGGGTCCGGGCGTCAACAAGACAGGTGGTGACATCCTCTTCAGTATTCCCCTCGAGCACTCGGCGGGCACGGCTAATATTCTCGTGGTGATGTATTAATGTCGTTGGTGGGCGGTTTTAAAGTAGCGGGCCTCATGGGCCATGTGAAATTCTGTATTTTCTCTGTGCCTTCTCTAAAGCTTTGCTAATTCCAATGTTGCACTGCTGTCTCCCTCCTCCACCCACACCTGGCGGACACGCACAGGTGTGCAGGTGGGCAACCCGACGCACTTCAAGGTGTTTGCGCAGGGGGCCGGGCGGGGCAAGGTGAATGTGGAGTTCACGGGTGCTGGCAAGGGCGAATTGGTGCGCGACTTCCACATCCGGGAAGAACCGGGCGACACCCACAGCGTGGAGTACACACCCTTGCAGCCGGTGAGGGTCTGCTGGGGTCCTACGGGCTCTTAGATGTTCCAAGGGTCTGTGTGTGTGTGTGTGTGGGGAGCAGTATTAGCACATTGCACTAGGAATCCTGCTCATGACCAAGACCAGTGAATATTCTGAACCGGTCTTGGGCCTTCGCTAGGTCGGCTTGACCTTGAATGAGTACCTGGTGCAGCGTGTGAACATCGGCACTGGTAAGTAAGGCAGCCGGCGTGGTACTGGCCCCCCAACCCTCTTGTGTGTCGTGCCGGCCTTCAAAGGTGCTCGCCAACAGCATTTGCCCCAAAAATTCTCGCCAACAACACTTGCCCCAAAAGTTCTAAGCTATTTAAGGGTGTGTCGTTTTTGTGTGTCTAAAGTGTCTGTCCGCGTGTCCATGCGGCGTTGCTGATGGGCGATCCTGTGTCCGCAGGGGAACATGGCGGTCGCGGTGAAGTATGGGGGCGACCTCATCCCGCGCAGCCCGTTCACCGTCGGCGTTACTCCGGCCGTCGACGTCTCGAAGGTTCGCGTCAACGGCCTCGACAAAAGTGAGTTCACACGCGCTCGCAGTTCCGTCCATTACGTCCATCACAGTTGACGTTGGCTTCGGGGGTTTGTGACACGGTGATGATGCGCTTTGTCACAACTTCATTCAAGTGACTAATGTCTTATTTTTACAAACCTGGATTGTTTTTTTCCATGAAATGTTGTATAGTTTCGTTTCCTCCCTTTGCATGAAAATCGGATGTTAAATTTGGTTGAATCGCTATGAGGGTACTTACCTGCAGACTGCCCATATGCCAATAACATGCTGACAGGTGCTCGTCAAGGCCTTTTTAAATATTCGTAGTTTTACTATGGTTCTTATGTGTTTGTGTATTGTGTAGTTTTGCATCCAATGGCATCGTAACCTTTGGGCAATTCGCCAGCGTTGTTTTTAAGGAAACCTGACTTGGCTGATTGGACACAGACTGCCAATGCTGGTCCATGGTTTGCTTTTGTTGACCATATACTGCTGATGAGAGATGCGTTCCCAGAAGGCTGTGGCCAATGAGATTTTTGTGCAGACAAATGTGGGAACTTGGAGGTGTTCTGTTTGCTTGGTTATTTTGTTATTTCTTTTTCTCTCGACACTTGATGGTTATTTTGCATTGTGATTCTGGAGACGCGAGCGTTTGTTTGGTTTGTGTTGTTACTTGTGCACTGCCCTCATCTGACTGTTAAATCTCCCTGAACACCCCTTCCCCACTACAGAGGCGATTGTTGGCCAGGAGTTTGTATTTGCGATTGGGAAGCGTGGCGCGGGGGGCCAGGGTGCCCTGGACGTGCACGTGGCCGGGCCGACGCGCCGGGCCTTGCCGTGCCGCCTGGAACCGGCGCTCGAGGGCTCCGAGTGTAGCTTCACGCCGCGCGAGGCCGGCACACACCTCGTCACCGTGAAGTATGACGGCGTGCCCATCTCCGACGAGCCCTTCTCGCTCGAAGCCGCGCTCCCGCCCGACCCCTCCAAGGTGAGGCCTTTGCCAGGCCTGTGGACGCAACGGAACAAGGATGGCCATGTTACAAACCACTGCCATGACCTCAATCCTACGGAGATATAATCTCGAGGATTCATAGCAAAAGTTTTTATGTTCCTCGAAGTGACCGTGACCTAATGTGCCATTAAACTGAACTATGTAAGGCTACCAAACAATCTTGATTTTGTCCCTAGTTCAAAGATTACTGGCTTCATACTCTACTCATGCTTACAGGCAAAGGAGCAGGGCTTGCTGTGGAGTGGGTAAGGTTTGGCAGAGTAGGGCGGAGCCTGTGAACAGTAGGCAGTGTCATATTTGGAATGAGCTAAGGTGACCACGAGCTGTGGGTTGGGCAAGGAATTGAGTGGGTGCGTCTCCATAGAAGAATATCGGTAACATTATGGGCCATGGCACTTTTCTGTTTTTGGCTTGTGAAGGTGGGGTGGGTCTGATGAAGGAAGCTAGGTTGGGGGGGGAGGCTACCAGCTTGTATGAGCCTCCCAGGAAAAATGCGATGTGCTGTTTCCACAACGTGGTGTGCGCAGGTCCGCGTGTCGGGCCCCGGGCTGCAGTCAGGCGAGGTGGGCCGCCCGGCGCAGTTCTCGGTGGACACTCGCGGTGCGGGCGAGGGTGGCTTGGGCCTCACGGTGGAGGGCCCGCGCGAAGCTCGCATCGAGTGCGAGGACAACGGCGACGGCACCTGCTCCGTGGCATACACGCCCGCCGAGGCCGGCGAGCACCTGGTCAATGTGCTGTTCGCGGGGCAGCACGTCCCGGGGTCGCCCTTCCGCGCCCTCATCCACCCGACCTTCGACCCCTCGCGTGTCGTGGCGTCTGGCCGTGGCCTGGAGAGGTGCAAGATGGGCGAACCGGCCACCTTCAACGTCGACTGCTCGAAGGTGAGTGGCGGGGTTGCAGGGATGGAGGTTACCGGCGTCGTGGACAAAGTAGTTGGTCAAGTTGGTTTAGTTCAACCAGGATAATCTGTTAGATAAATGAGTTTATATCACTTTAGCGAACAATCGATCCTCAAGCCACGGCACAAATGCACAACCTCCAAGATCTGCCCCGACAGTATCGCACCACCTATCTTACGTTGGTCGATTTGCGCCGACCCCTTGTGTGCGTTGCATCCAGGCCGGCGATGGAGACCTGGCGGTGGACGTGCTGTCGGATTCGGGCATGCGTGCCGATGTGAAGACACGGCGCGGGCCCGACGGCCTACACGCCGTCACCTTCACACCGGTCACGCACGGCCCGCACACTGTGTCGCTCACGTACGGCGGGAAGCCCGTGCCACGCTTCCCCGCCAAGGTTGCGGTGGACCCCGCCGTCGACACCAGCGGCATCAAAGTGTCGGGCCCGGGTGTGGAGGAGAGAGGTACGTGCTGCTGGTGGGGAGCGGTGGCGTTCCCATGGTTCCCCCACCATCCCTCCGCGCTCCTGCGTGTGACCAACTTCCCTCCCCACCTCCCTCCACACCAGCAGCACTTGAATGGTTAAAGAATCCCGGAATGGGCCGATGATCACAATGAGGACAGTATTCTTTTCAGTTTCCTGTAATATTATATTATTGCAGTGGTGCAGTGGTTGTGTGATGGTGGTCATGTCGTAGTGATGTTTCAGGGGTGGTGTCGGTGGTGAGTGCGGTGAAGTGGCGACAATGTCCCCCCTCCGTATTATAGTAACAACAACAGCGATTTAATGCATTTGGGTTTTGTAGTTGGTGGCAATAATTCCGATGGTGAAAATAATCACGTGGAATTTTTACACCAGTCATTTATTGGAATTGAAAACCATAATGTGCAGTCATTGGTAATTGTTGTCCTGGCACTGCTGGTTCCTCCATTCCGTTGAAATATTGGTGTTCATGCTGTCGTTGTTGGCAGGCGTGTTCTGCGAGGCGACAACAGGCTTCACGGTGGATGCGCGGGCTCTGGGCCGCGCGGGGAATGGGGCCCGTGTCGTCACGCGGGTGACCGGGCCCTCAGGGGCCATGATGGATGCGCCCGTCAAGGCCAAGGGTGACGGCACCTATGCTGTGGAGTACACTCCCTGCGAGATCGGTACGTGCTGCGGGAGGAAAGCTTTTGGTCAGTGTGGACTGTCGGCTGTGCATGGAATGTAACCTCCACACTGACCAAGGGATATAGAATGTAGTACAATTCCCCAGACTGCATCTCTCCATGCTGTGGAACAAACACAAGTCCAAGACATCGCGTTTACGACAAGGAAAAGTAAACGGGCCTGGGTAGGATGCATTACCAGAAGGGGTGACGGGCAACGGGCGAGACTGGTGACTGAATGACAGCCAAAAGAGAGCACGTCCAAGAAAACGACCACCACGTAGATGGAGGGATGCGATCAGTCCAGGGGGAACCCATCAACTCGCATATATTAGATTGTGATCTAAATTGGATTCTTAAGTGGTAGTTGTTTCTCAGTCCTGTTGTCAGCAACTTCACGTTCCGACGCCCCGCCACCCTGCAGGTGTGCACACGGTGGACGTGCTGTTTGAGGACACGCCGGTGCCGCGGAGTCCGTTCCGCATCGCCGTCGACGAGGGCTGCGACCCCTCGCGGGTCCGAGTCCATGGGCCCGGACTCAAGTCTGGCATCACCAACCAGCCTAACCGCTTCACTGTGGAGACCAGGTGCGTGAGTTTTGTGAAATTGTATTTTTGGCCTATTAGAACTTGTGCCATTCCAAGATTGAATTGCAAGACTATTAGGAAACTGTGCAATATTAGGACGATTCCATCTGCACTCCCTTTTTTCGTCCGGTCGCCAACCCTGCGCCTTGTCCCACCGTATATAGGGGCGCTGGCACTGGAGGCCTGGGCCTGCAAATCGAGGGCCCCACGGAGGCCATCATCTCTTGCACTGACAACAAGGACGGCAGCTGCCTGGTCGAGTACGTCCCAGAGACGGCGGGAGACTACGACGTGCTCGTCACCTACGGCGGCCACCCCTGTCACCGGTACCGCATGCACGCTCACTCCGGACTGTGGTGCTCGTGCAGCGCGTGGGAGGGGATGTGCGCGTGCATTTCTTCGTGTGTGTACGTGTGTTTTTGAGGTGGGAGGTGTTTACGCACGCATGCACGCCTGGTTATTTTCTTGTTTGCTTATGTGCACGTGGACCTTTTGCGCATGTGGGCGTTTGTGTGTGTGGTGCACGCGCGTGTGTGCATACGCACGTGTGGTAGTATAGTCGTTAGCATCCTCCACTAATAATTTCGGTTACCTGAAATCTGATTCTCACTCGCAACCAACATTGGTGACATCTCAGAACTGGTCCTGGGCCTACCTTAGGTTGACTCGGGCTCCTGGGCAAACTATCGCAGCGGTGCGTGGTGCAGCCCATCTACCCCCTCGTGTGCCATGCCGGACTTAGTTGCTCGCGAATAGGACTTGTCTCACGAGTGTTGAAGGCAACATGTGGATTTTTGTTTGGCAGGGAGCCCGTTCCGCGTGCCTGTCAAAGACACCGTGGACCCGAAGCGCGTGCGCATCTCGGGGCCTGGGGTGGGTGGCGCTGTGCGTGCCGGCGTGCCGCAGGAGTTCAGCGTCGACTGCAGCAAGGCCGGCGCGGCGCCGCTTGAGGTCACCGTGAAGAACCCGAAAGGTGCGGCACCATCGGCACAGTTGCTGGCATCACCGCCCATTACCGGCATCTAAGTCCTTGTCCTCTTGCCATCGGTGACCTCGCAGCCCACCCTGCCATTACTATCAACCACCATGCCGACACTGTTACTATCGTCACCGGCATCTCATCAATTCTCCTATACAGTCTCATTGCCGCTGTAGCGGTTTCACACCCATCGTTATACGTGCCCCCGTCGTCACCCCCCTGGCTCGCCGAGTGACTGTGCCGCCCGGCTGTGCGATGGCGTGAGTAGGTGTGCTGGAGCCCGTGCAGGTGGAGGAGCGCGCGGGTGGCCTGCACGCCGTGCGCTACGTCCCCACCGCGGAGGGGCCCTACACGGTGGCCGTCAAGTACAACGGAGAGAACGTGCCCAACAGGTGATGTTGTGGGAGGTGACATTATTTAGGAGTTTTCTTTTAAGCGACCGTAACACGAGCTGGGTTTGACCAGTGTCTGTGGCTGCCGCTTGCAGCCCCTACAAGCTGACAGTGCTTCCCAAGCACGACGCCAGCAAGGTGCGCGCCAGCGGCCCCGGCCTCAACAAGACCGGCGTTGAGGCCAGCTTCCCCGTGGAGTTCACCATCGACGCCCGCGACGCGGGGCAGGGTGTGCTGGCCGTGCTCGTTACGGTACGGCCCGCCCACTGCGCAGCGACACCATTTACGCAGCTCATCCCAGGCTGCCACGGTGGCAAGATGTGGACTACTTCACCTGGTATACAGGTTGCGGGCTTCATCCAGACCAGAGGTCGCAAACGGGTTTTGATTCCTTACCCGTACCCGGCCGCACCAGGGTCGCCGGGTACCCGGGCCCGTACCCGGGCCCGTACCCGGCCGGGGGCCCGTACCCGGCCGGGTGCCCGTACCCGGCCGGGTACGGGTACCCGTACGCTACCCTTACCCGTACCCTACCCGAAATGAGTGACAAACGGTTACTCACCGGTGACTCACGGCCTACCCGTACCCATACCCGGCGGCACCAGGGTCGCAAACGGGTACCCGGCCGGGTACGAGTAGCCGGGTACGGGTATCGGGTACCCGGTTGCGACCTCTGATCCAGACCCTGGTCGCTTGGATTTTCATTTCGAGTCCTCGGATTTTTCCCTCCACACGTAGAAACGTGCGAATATTTGGCTGCTATAAATTTCCAGATGAGCCACTTCGTTGGGCTATCATTTGTGGCCAGGTCGCAGATGGAAACTAATGTTACAAAGTTTGACATGTACGCTTATTATGGATAATGTTTGCACATAAAAATTATTAAAGGTAATATGCATGGTTTTAATGGAGGATAATAACTAATGTATAGTTTAACACGTAGGCGTTGAGAACCAATATCATCCATAATATAGTTTTTTTTAGTTAGATCGCATAAATACGTCATTAAACCTGCCACCAACTGACACCCAATTTAGTAAGGTTTGTCACATAAACAGAACACGCCAATTCATCGCTAGTACAGCACACCGGTGTGTTGGAGAGCAAATCCACAACATTTAACGTCACTCGGATTGTAAATGTTGTGGATTTGCTTTCCAACACACCGGTGTGCTGTACTAGTGACGAATTGGCGTGTTCTGTTTGTGACAATCCTTACTAATTTGCTGTGTCGGGTGGTGGCGGGTTTAACGACACATTTACACGACATAATCCAAAAAACTTACATTAGGAACTACTGTATAGCAGCTTCAATTTTAAGAACCATACCTCCTTTTCAAAGAAATAGTTTGCCTACTAATGACCTTAACCCTAGCACCAAGCAGTGTTACTGCAGCCCTCGTGTCGATCCAAGCCAACCGCTAACCCTAACCAGCTCCAGAACTTGCAGGCCCCCAACTCTTGGCCAACGTTGACATCACAACCCCTCGCGCACCTGTGGGGATCTCACAACCAAACACTATTCCAGGCTTTATAGTAGTAGGTTTTTACCCTTTTAAACTGGTACAAAACTGACACCTTTATTCAAGGCATCATGTTTGCAATAACCACAATACAAGTAGTCAAAGAAGCAAACAAAAAGAAGCAACTCTGATAATTATAGTAATATGCACTGTCATGATGCCTTGAATAAAGGTGTCAGTTTTGTACCAGTTTAAAAGGGTAAAAACCTACTACTATATTTGCCACTGGTAAAAGAGATCTCATAGTGTAAATGCTTACCCCGAGCTCTCAATACTCTATTGCACTGTTTGAGTTGTACGCCTTCTGGTGTCATCTGGTCCAACACCAATGGGGACTAGGCTCTAAAGAAAGCCGTCTCGGCTGTGGACCAATCAACTTCAAGGACAGTGCATATTATTATCATTATCAGAGTTGCTTCTTTTTGTTAGCTTTTTTGACTACTTGTGTTTGTGGTTATTGCAAACATAATGCCTTGAATAAAGGTGTCAGTTTTGTACCAGTTTAAAAGGGTAAAAACCTACTACTATATTTTGCCACTGGTAAAAGAGATCTCATAGTATTCCAGGCTTCTTAACCGACTTACTTGTTAACGCTACCGATTTACCTGTTTATGCATTACCTCGTTTTCTTTTTAATGTGCCTGTGTGTTTTGTTACTTACTCGTGTTACTTTTTTGGCTAACCCCCCCCCCCCCCCCGCCACCCCCCCCCCCCCCCCCCCCCGCCACCCCCCCCCCCCGCCTACCCCGGTAGGACCCAGAGGGGCACCCTCGGCAGGCGAGCGTGCGCGACAATGGCGACGGAACCTACACGGTGTGGTACGTGCCGGACTGCGCCGGCCGCTACACCATCGTGGTGAAGTATGGCGGGGATGAGATCCCGCTGTCGCCCTACAGCGTGCGTGCGGTGCCCACCGGCGACGCTTCAAAGTGCCGCCTGCAAGGTGAGTGGCGGTGCCATCAATGTTGTAGCCGTCGTAGCCACCGCCGTCACGGGAGTCGCTTTCCACAGCTGCCACCAATGACGGCCACAAGCAATTGGGCCGAACTTGAAAGGGGTGTACGTGGCGGTGACTTGGAATTGCTTTTGAGAGGAAAATGTTCCCCCCTCCAATATTTTGCTAACGGTATCTTACTAATCTTGGCTCCCTGTGGAGCATAAGGTCGCAACAAGCCCACGACATGCCGGGACTGTTTTTGGCAGCTTTCTCCGCTTCACCCCAAGACAGGCCCATGGTCTGTAGTTGGACTTGAATGGTGCATTGCCGTGTTTTTTACCCTTGTGGTGTCACAATACAAAGAATCCGTTAGCTTCTCTCGCGGAGTAAGATAATGCATAAAATGTACAAGGCAAAGGGGTGAATCCTTAATTTTTGTCTGTCTCGGTACCTGAAGGACTCGAATTCCAGGCCACCAGAACTTTGTGCAGAGTGCTTTTGAGACCTGGCAACGACTACCGCCCCCTTTTTCCACCTGTTTCTGAGAACCCATTACCCACAATTCACTCCTTCGAACACAAGCCTGGTGCTTAACAGCAGGTGATTCTTATTGTTCGTCCCACCCCTCTGCCCATCTCTCCTCCACGTGCGTAGCGCCAGCGACGCACCTGGCGTTGGGGCGCAACACGGCGTTTGCGGTGGACGCGCGCGGCGCGGGCAAGGGGAAAGTGACATGCCGCGTGCGCGACCCTGAGGGCCGCGAGGTGGACGTGGAGGTGCAGGAGCAGCCCGATGGCAACTTCCTCGTGCTGTACAGTGCCGACACGCCAGGGCCGTACGTCGTCACGATCCGCTATGGCGGCGAGCACATCCCCAACAGCCCCTTCCGCCTAGTGGTGAGCACCCGTACACTGGACACGAGCACATGCGAGTGTGCATTCTCGTGCAAGTGCAGACGCTTATATAAGCACATGCGCATGTGCACAAAATATTAACGTGTGTACACAGGCATAGTAATACATGCACGGATCCAGTTGTCACATTTTGCCCCCTGACGAATCGCACCTTGTACAATTGCCATCTGTCAACTATCACATCTGTCAATTTCATCTTCCATCTCACATTCCCACGTGTTTTGCAGCATTTCTTATCACCCGTCCACCTGTTTGCTTGTCCCTCTCAACTCCAGTTTCCAGTTTACCACCAGCAATGCTGTAAATCTCATCACTCGTTCACCGCATCGCTGTGCACAACCGATTTTTTTGTAACATTAACCACCGTTAACGCAACACTTGATGGTAACTTCGGCAAACGCTGACGGTAACGGTGGTAATGGTGCCCGGACTGCGTAGGCCTCCAAGGACGCGCCTGTAGTGGAGGAGCAGCGAGTGTCGGTGAAGCAGCAGCAGCAGTCCGCTCTAAAGCCGCTCCGGGTACACGTGCGTGCGTGTCTCCCCTCGTCTCTCCCCCACATGTCTCTGGCACCTTGGCCTCGTCCTCTGAACCACCTGCCGAGCAACAGCATGCGCCAACATGGATTCTGCACTGTGCATGTCTTGCTGGTGTCCCCCCCCCCCCCCCCCCCCCCCCCCCTGCCACCACCCCGCTCCCCGCACCAGTCGGCTGACCTCTTTGTTTGTGGACTTGCCTTTCAGGGCATGTGTGGTATTTTCGAGTCTCCCGCCGCGAGATGTTTCCACTGCTCTCCATGTGCACGCTCTCTACTACTACTCTTCTTTCCTTGCCGGACCTTTCTTCAGCGGGCTGTGGGAGAACTGCGATGACGCTCGGTGATGGGAATGCGAGGAGGCCCCTTCTCCCCCCCCCCCCTGCCCCCGTGCGGTCTCGCTGCGTAGTGGAGCGGCGGTGCGTGCAGGGGGTCCGGTGTGGGCACCCACCGCTAATCTCGCTCGCCCTCACTCTCCGCACTAACAGCTCGTGCACGTGGGAGACCGCTCTCTGCCTCACGGCTCGCCCCCCCCCCCCCCCCCCCCACAACCTCCCCTCTTTGTGATGGTGTGTTCAGGCCTCGTCTCTTAATTGCTGATTTATTTTGTTAGTAATTTTTTTTATATTAATTTGGACGTTTTTAAAACGAGCCAATACACTTTACAAATCACCGAGCGATTGTAGCGGACACGGGAAAACCACAGACAAGGGGGGAAGGCGACCAAAAACTCCGCCAACAGTCGCCGAAGCTTTGTGATCCGATATTGGGATGTTTGACCAACTCCATAAATAATTGGGTTAACTGACAGTGGTCAGAGTGATTATTCAACCTGATCTTGGTTCGGTCTTGCCACCCTGCACTTACTAGCATGGTGAAGTATGGCCGAATAACCCCAATGATCAACACGGTGCGGGTGGGGGCTCATCCACCACTGGCTTGATCAAAGGATGGAAAAATATTTGAATCATTCAATTATGATAATAGGTTAAGTCGTAGATTTAAATTGTTATTGCTACTTAATGGGCTCAGAATGTGTTTGTCAAGTCGCATTGGTTTGGACATTGTATTCATAGGATTTTTTTTTGTCGGTTAACCAACAGCAATGAGGAAGTGGTTTTAAGGGTGTCTCGTGGTTCTCCGGAACGTGGGCGTGCGTGTCGAGTGAGCAATATTTACTGCTGTGTGTGCGGCTCCTCTTGTCTGCATGCATGAGTTGTCGTGCACTCGAGGGAAACTAGAAGCCTCAGTTCGATTTCAGTTCGTGGGATAACGGCAGTGGCAAGTGGGATCTGAACCTGTTCAAGATCTACCCGGAGTGAACTCTGCCTGAAATTGAGCATTTACTGCGGTGTGAAATCTCACCACCCAAGGCGACCCTGGGCGGCGTAGGGCTATCTACACTGCCGACCCCCGCCCCCCCCCCCCCCTCCGTTCTCCATGCCAGCCTGGTGAGGAGGCTTACGGTCTGTTCCGTGTGCGTCTCTTGCCGCGTGTCCAGGCACAGGAGCAGGTGGGCCACGCGCTGCGACCATTCAGCCTCGTCATCCCATTCGTGGTGAGGCGTGGTGAGGTCACTGGTGAGTGCAACCTGCTCCCCCTTTACCCCCCCTCCCCACACATCACCACTCGCAGACCCCACCTCGGTCACTCCCAACTATCATTGGCTCTTCATGGAGAATGCTGTTGAACTACGTGTGTGTGTATGTATACATGCATCTGCACATGGGGGGGTTCGTCTTGATCAGTCTGTACGTATATTGGCGTGCATCTATCTCTGTACCTGGGAAGCAGTAGTGCAGTGGTTGGCCCGGTATGCTACGAACCCGGTGACCCCGAGGTTCGATTCCCGCTCACGGCCAACAGACTATTATCTGAACCGGTCCTGGTCCTCCCCTACGTCGATTCGGACTCAAATGAGTACCTGGTGCGGTGTGTGGTGCTGGCCACCCACCCCCTCGTGTGCCATGGTGGCCTTCATAGATGCTCGCTAATAGCACTTGCCCTAACGGTCTGAAGGCTATACGGAGTGTCTGTCGTCTTGTTGTGCACGCGACTGACTGCGTGCGTGTGCATAGGGGAGGTGCGCATGCCCTCGGGTCGCAAGGATCGCCCCGAGATCGTGAACAACGGTGACGGCACGGTGACGGTGCGCTACTCGCCCGTGGAGAAGGGCCTCCACGAGATGGACATCAAGTACGATGGAGAGCACATCCCAGGTGAGCAGCGGTGACTCCGGGCAGGTGTTGATGCACATACTGAAAAGGTACTATGATATGTCAAGATACAGCTGTACGAGTACACAGTAATGCAGGTGCATGGACAAACAAGTATACAGATGCATAGATAACACTGCGAAACAGGCACATTGATACATGAGTACATGGATATTCAAGTTATAGTGAGGCATTCGAGATGAGCAGCTACACAGGTATGCATGTACATGGATACACACACAGGTGCTGGGCAGTGTTGATGGTAAGCATTTACACCATTGGACCCTCATTTGCCAGTAAAAAATATGATAATTGGTTTTTACCCTTCTATCTGGCAACAAAACTGACACCTTTTTTACAAGGAGTCATGTTTTGCATAGACCACAATATCTGCAGTCATAATGCAAACAAAAAACATAACTCTAAGGACAGTGCACATTATCAGATTCATGTTTTTTTATTTGCATTATGACTGCAGGTATTGTGGTCTATGCAAAACATGACTCCTTGTAAAAAAAAGGTGTCCGTTTTGTTGCCAGATAGAAGGGTAAAAAAACCAATTATCAGTGTTGATGGTGTTACAGTGACCCTGAAGAGAACTCCCTGAGAATCGTGCCCCCGCTGTTAATGCTCGCTGCAGGAAGCCCGCTGCAGTTCTACGTGGACGAGGTGGAGAGCGGGAACGTGACTGCCTACGGACCGGGCCTGAGCCACGGCGTCGCCAACCAGCCGGCCTGCTTCACCATCGACACCAAAGATGCTGGCGAGGGTGAGATGCACGTGGCAAATGCAGCGCGGCAGTTGCACCTCTAAACGATGTTGAGAGGTCCAACTGCCGCACCGCATTTGCCACGATGTTGAGAGGTTGCCTGCCTGATGAACTGTAGCTGAAGGTGGCAGTTGCTTGGCAGAGACAGTTGGTGGCAGCTGCCTGGCAAAGACAGTTGGTGGCAGTTGCCTGGCAATTGGATCAGTAGCTAATGCATTGTCTTGCACTCTTCACTCTGCCGTTATTGGTGTGTGTGGAGTAGTTAATGCACAGTGCTATAAATTCAAGAAATCTGAGTTAAATTCCCAGCCATAGCTAATATCAGTGATTTGTGATTATGAACCCCTCCTATGGGTCAACTCATCCCCTACTTGGTAACTGGATCTATGTACTGGCTACGCCACCTCGCGTGCACCGTGCCTGTCTCAATAGGTGCTCACTAACCCCACTTGCCCAGAGTGGTGTATATCAGATTGTTTAATAATAAATAGTATAAAGTGTAATGTTTAATATAATGTATAAGGTAATATATAGTATCGTAATTGTATAGTGAATATACAGTAGGGTGGGTAGAATAATACATAGTGTAATATTACAATGTATAGTCTAAGGTGGTGTATAGTAATGCAGTATATCATTTAATGTTGGGTTTGTCTATGGCAGTATATAGTACGGGGTAGACCCGTGTGCTATAAGAGAAAAAAGTTTAGCTGGAGGCATATTATATTTTTTGTGACATAGAATTGTAATGTATGACTTACTGTTAGTAGCTCAGCTTATTGGAGAGTATATTTAGTATATTGTGATACTGATGTAGTTTATATTTTAGTTTTTTACGTGGTGGTTTAGCTGCTGCAGCTCCTTACTATTAAAATTCCTTCCCTTTATTACTGCTAACCCTACTCCCTCCCTTTGATGCTGTTAATCCTACATAATGCACGGGCATAATATGACTTTGAACCCCCCCCCCCACCTCCTACGCATTCCACAAGTAGTGACTAATCCCATATCTGCATTTCCCATAAATATGCTAAATTCTTCTTGATATGCAAATGTCTTTGTCAAGGCGCCCTTCCCCCTCCAACCCAGCTTAAATATACGCTGCCAAGCTTGGTGGTGCTCATTCAGATGCTGTCTTTCCGACAGACCTGTTCACATGAGGACGGCTGCTTGCGTTGTGGCTGAAACGTCGTGAGAATTGTATTTTATTATGTTTTATTATTTTATTATTTCCCTTCTACGTGACTTTACCGAAAGAACCAAGAAAAAGGGAGAGGTGGTCTACCCCTTTTCCACCGTAACATCAGAGCCATGTGGGGTTCTTGCCAGTACTGGTGGTTTTCCACTGACTATTTGCTGTACCAAGCCAGAACCAACCTATTATGCGCTGGTCTCAGACATCCGAATATGGCTTGGAGCCAAACGGGTCAGAGGTGGTACTAATGCCGCGATTTTTTTTCATCTGCTGCATCACCACGTCATCGGCGTGTTTTGTGGCGTGCATCACGGTTTAAAACAACCCAAGTGCCCTGCGGATCTGCTCCGGGCTTGGCTTGGCTTGGCAAGGCCCTGGCGTGGCTCTGCAGTCCTGTGGGGAGAGGGGGAGGAGGAAAAAAGAGGGACTTTATTGTTTAATTTTTGTTCCTAATTCCACACCTTTTCCCTTTGCCCACGGTGAGCAGGAGGGCTGTCGCTGGCCGTGGAGGGCCCCTCCGAGGCAGATATCTCGTGCCAGGACAACAAGGACGGCACCTGCTCTGTGTCATACCTCCCCACGACGTCTGGCATCTACAGCATCGTCGTCAAATTCGACGACCAGTACATCCCTGGCAGCCCCTTCTCGGCCCGCATCACCGGTACCCGCACGGAAATCGCACTCGCTCATGGTGTTTCCTCTGTTGGGATTTGCCGGAGACTGCCGGTGTGGCAGAGATGATCTGGTAGAAATCTGGCACGAGATGGCGTGACAGTATTCGTCGCAGGAACTTTCACATTTGATACCCTTCTGCGCTTGACATTGGAACTTGCGTCGTGCCATTCATATATTTTTAACGAAGTGAAGTACGCAAAGACTCCATGGAGAAGTGAGCTCAGCAGTAGAGCGAGCGGCTCCTAATCGGAAGATTCTGAATTCAAATCCTCATTTGGAGATGGGCTTGGCCCATCATACCTCCCCAGGTCGATAAAAAGGATATCACTTTGTGGGAGAATTCAACAGTAGTTGGCCTATGGGCATACTTGCCCTAGTCAAAGATAAGTGCAATTTCCACCACTGGCTCAGCACAGTAATGGAGGCCGAGGTACTTTCCTGCATGGCTCATTTGAGCAACAAATCACTCTGCTCTTTTCCTTTTAATTTACCTAATGTTTTGTTTGAAATTGTGTTGGAGATGCTGTCGCCAGGCTCTTGGCTGTAAAGTGGAAGAATCTGTGCACCTATATACCTATACCTAGCGCTGAGACTTTGAACCTGTCCCTGCCGTCGTCACCTCCTATCCCTGCCGCCCCTCCTCTCTTCCCGTAGAGGACAGTCGGCGCCGCACTCACCTCAGCGTGGGCACTGCACAGGATGTGTCGCTGCAGATCCAGGAGACTGACCTCAGCGTGCTGAGCGCCAGCATCGTGGGGCCGTCCGGCTCCGAGGAACCCTGCCAGCTCAAGCGCTTGCCCAATGAACACATTGGTACTACTGCCACCCAGCTTGCTCGACCGTGCCGCCGAGTAGCCAGTATTGCGATCCAGTTGGTCGGCCGCATCACCAGCCAGTCGGCTAGAGGACACCAAAAAGCACACCACCACCGCCAACCAGACACACTACCACCACAAACGGCCACGCCACCAGCCGTTCACACTGCCAAACCACACAGCTACCCCAGGTCAGCCACACCATACTTAATAATGGGTTTGATACTTTTATTTTAATGCTACCATATTTTGGGGGGGCTCAACTAGGACGCGCATGGTGAAGTTTACCAGTCGTTATTGTACGTGTCTCAGTGACTGTTCCGTGTGTTTATGCCTGCAAGCGTTACTGTTTACGTCTGCATGTGGCGCGCAAGTGGTTACGATATTTGTATTGTGTACATGCAGGCATCTCGTTCACTCCGCGCGAGGCTGGCACACACATGGTGAGCGTGCTAAAGAACGGCCGCAACATCGCCAACAGCCCCTTCACGGTGCAGGTCGGCCAGTCCGAAATCGGCGACGCGCGACGTGTGCGCGTCAAGGGTGCCGGCCTGCGCCAGGGCCACACCGGCGAAGTCTCGGAGTTCATAGTCGACACCAGCGACGCAGGTGCGTTGGTGGGGGCTGCTGCGTGCCGGGCAGGGTGACGATTCAAAGGTCACGAGACCACTACTCGTGGCTGTGGGCTCCCGGGCCCATTATCGTTCGTCAAACTGTTTTTCGGTAAATGTTTTAATCGGATGGGCACAAATCTGTCGCGCTTATGCTATTTGGAGAGGTGAGCAGCTGCGGAAACCAAATTGGCACCGTTTCTGCCCGTAGTGAACGAGCGGAAAGTTCTTGTGATTCAACAAGTTACTATTGGCCCCACAGCAGTTTGACGATTGTAATTGAAAAATATTAAATATTGTGCAAATAAGCAATAACTTTGCGAATGAAACGATCGTGCACAATAATATGAAAGTGTTCGTAAGGCAAATTATTATTTTCATTTGTTTCCAAAACTAAGCTCAAAGTCCTCCTTGGACATTGTAAATAAAATGGTAGTGCAGATCAGCAGCACTGGGGCTGATGAGCCAAATTGTTAATTCAAAGATCCATTTTTATTTTGACCTCATTCACATAGACTAAATGATGCAAGATCATGGGACCTCCTTTGCCAGTACCAAAATATACTAATAGGGTTTTCCCCTTTTTCTGACAACAAAACTGACACCTTTTGCAAGGAATCATGTTTACAATTAACCACAATACTTGCAGTCAAATGCAATAAAAAAAACAATACTCTGATAATTTATGCATTTTCCTTGAATACTGATTGGTCCACACCAGAGACAGATTTCTTTAGAGCCTAGTCTCATATGGTGTTCGACGAGATGACGCCAAAAGGCGCACAGTTCAAAGACAACGCACTGTCAGAGTAATAATGAGCAGCTACATCATGGGACCTCCTTTGACCAGGTGATGCCTTTTGGCGTCATCTGGTCGAACACCATATGAGACTAGGCTCTAAAGAAAGCTGTCTAGTGTGGACCAATCAGTTTCAAGGACAATGCATAAATTATCAGAGTATTGTTTTTTGTTTGCATTTGACTGCAATTATTGTGGTTAATGTAAACATCGTTCCTTGCAAAAGGTGTCAGTTTTGTTGCCAGAAAAAAGGGGAAAAACCCTATTAGTATAAATGGTGCAAGCTTTCAAATGAACCCCCCCCTCCTGCATTGAAACCTGTGTCGCCATCTCGTGAGTTCTGCACATTTGCCACTTGTGCGGAATTTGCATGTAGCTGGTGGGGGTTCCCTTTATCACCCTTTTGCCCGAAAGCCTTGACAGGCAAGGCATTATAGTCTGACCGTTTGAACTTTGACCAGGCTACGGAGGCCTCAGCCTGTCCATCGAGGGCCCCAGCAAGGCCGACCTGGACTGCGAGGAGCTGGCCAACAGCGCTTGCCGAGTTTCCTACCAGCCACTGGAGCCCGGCGACTACCTCCTCAACATCAAGTTCGCCAAGGAGCACGTGCCAGGTGCGGGCCGTTGTGACCGCTTGCGCCCTTTCTCGACCTCTGCTCGCGTAGACCTTGCGTGACCCTTCTAGTGTTAACCATCGATGTTTCGCCACCGCTTGGTTCGATTTTAAGTTGTACAATCCAGAGATGTGATGCTCGTTTTCAAGAACCTGCTTTATTCTGTGTGCCCTTGCTCGTGGCAGGGAGCCCGTTCACGGTGCATGTGACAGGGGAGGGCCGCGTGATGAGGCAAAGCATCACGCGTCCGCGCCACGCGGCCTCCGTCGCCTCCGTGGGCAGCATGTGCGACCTGAGCCTCAAGTTGCCAGGTAAAGCTGCCCCCCCTCCCGAGCTTGTAACCCTTCGACCCCCCCCCCCTTTCCACCCGCGATACAATGTGCACTTGTTACTGTTGCTGGAAATGTCTCTTCAAATGAAGTTGTCAGTTTTGTTGCAGAGTGCTGTGGCGACAGATTTTTAGCCACTCAGCTGTCCTCATCTTAACTCGCACAATCACGGGCATCTCCCTCCACTCGGCACGATCTCTCCTCTATGCCTTAACTCCACATTCTGTTCTATAATCTCCTGTTCTCTGGCGCCTTTCCTTATCTCTCTTCGCCTATCTACCTGAACTCGCTGTTGCCTTCCTTTAACCTCCTCCCTACTCTTACTACTACTTAATTTGTCTTTCTCCCTGTTTGGTTAATCCCCACTCCTGCTCGCTATTACTCCTCCACCTTCATCCCCCCTCCAATTCGACACCATCTCTGACTTGATACCATCTCTCCCACATGCCCCCCCCTGACTCAGAGGTCAATGCGGCAGAGCTGTCTGCGGAGGTGACGAGCCCGTCGGGGAAGCGCGAGCGTGCCGAGATGGTGGCGGTGGGCGGCGGGCAGAGCGGCTCGTACGCCGTGCGCTTTGTGCCACACGAGATGGGCGTGCACACGGTTAGCGTCAAGTACCGTGGCCACCACGTGCCGGGCAGCCCCTTCCAGTTCACGGTGGGGCCGCTCGGCGAGGGGGGCGCCCACAAGGTGCACGCCGGGGGGCCCGGCCTCGAGTCCGCCGTGGTCGACTCGCCCGGTGAGAGGAGGCCACCGCGCACGTCGCACCAGCACGTCTATTTAAACATTCGTGCGCGTTGAACGTTTCCATCTATGCTGAGACGGTGACACACTGCCTTCAAGTGTGCGTGTAGATCACCGTTATTTATGGGTAAGGTATTGTTTGTTTACTCGAGTTGACTTGTGGAACTTCCCTGTTCCTCCGCTGCACAGCCGAGTTTACGATCTGGACGCGGGAGGCCGGGGCCGGGGGCCTCTCGATTGCCGTGGAGGGACCCAGCAAAGCCGACATCTCCTTCGAGGACCGCCAGGATGGCTCCTGCGGCGTCTCCTACGTGGTTACGGAGCCCGGTGGGCACAGGGCACCATCACCAACCACAGCACCACTATGCCCGGCACAGCAATCGCCAAAGTCGTCATCGTCAAATTCATCATCATTCTCATTCATCATCCACCACACACCCCGATTGCACCCTATATTGGCACCGCCATGATTAAACCCCTCCTCACTATCGTGAGTTGATGTCATTGGTTCAATTCCTGAGTTTGTATTAATCGATTTGTGTGGTAATTGTTCCATGAGCTGAGATGGATACGCTTGAACCCAGTTTAATCACGGGTGGCTTAAACCCAGATTTGAACCCAGCATCGTTTGTGGTGATATCTCTGCTATGACCCCAGAACTGCCCAACCATCATAAATGAAAGCATTTAACTTTCTTTATAATATATTCTTTAGTAATTAACCCACGACTTTTTGACCCCCCCCCCCCCCTCCTGCCCTCTGCCCCCCGTAAGGTGAATACGAGGTGACGGTGAAGTTCAATGACGAGCACATCCCCGACAGCCCGTTTGTGGTGCCGGCGTCTACCTCGACTGACGCGTCGCGCCGCCTCACTGTGGCGAGCCTTCAGGTGAGGCCCCGGAAGAACATACGCTGGCGCCCAGGACCCACCCGCTCACCCCCACCCGCTCACCCAGCCGCCAGCCTTTAGACCCCCCCCCTTGCCTCGTTTCCTAAACTTCCTATTGCTGACACCGGCTCGTTACTCATTAATTCTTGACACCTGACCTACCGCCCCTGAGGTAACGTCTGATGCCACAATCTTCCCACCTTGACAGTCTTCTACCTTGACACTTGAATGAACCTCCATGCTCTTGACATTTCCATCTTGGCCTCGGCTTCATCCCTTGCACAGACATCAACCCGCATTTTTTTACTTTCCATTATAAGTAACCCTTTTATAATTCTCCAATCATCTTCATTCTATAACCCCATTCTTGTCACGGCCTCACACTCTACAACTTTCATCTTAACCTTTTCCCATCTCAATTTTGCCCTCCACCTCACACCCTTCCTTGGTCATCTAGCCTTCACCTCTTCACTGCTACCTCAACTCTTGCCATCCTTGCTGTGACCTTTACCTCTTGTCCATGACCCTGAGGCGGCCAGGGGGAAGGGGTGGGGCGCGCGGGCGTCCGGGCGCAAAGAGAGCGCCAATGTTTTTCCTGAGCCTCGTCTAAAGGCCTCTGACAGTGGCCTCACTCAGCCGCCTCCCAAAGGGAGGGGGTGGGGGAGGAGGGGGGGGAAGCCCAATGTTGCAGGGGGGCCCGCGGGGCTCCAGAGACACCCATGCTGCCCTGCTGCTGCTTGGCTTTTTTTTGTGCTGCTCACTCGCCTGCAAAGCCTCCCTGTTTGCCTGCTGCAACGCCTCCTATCCTCCTGTGACGTCTGCCAGCCGCAACACCACCTCCCTGTGCCAGTCTGTACCCGCCTGCTTGTCTAGCTTACACCCTCATCCACTCTTTAATGTGTTCTCTTCTGTTCCTGTGTTCTCACCCTCTTCTCTCTCTCTCTTCTCCGGTGCCTTCCTGCACTCCTTGCTGCTCTTATTCTTATTTTCTTAACTTCTGCTTTCGTGTCTGTCGGTGGTGGTCCCACACACTGGAGCGTTCATACAATCTTCTATTGTACTTAAAACAATCTTTCTGGGATAAGTGAATCTATTTGGTGTTCCATAAAAATCTAATCGCTAACGTGCTTCCTGGCTATTAAAGCCCAGCTGCTCTGCCGGATTGTGTCCTTACCTCTCCATTTTGCTGCCCCATGCCCGTGCAGTGTCTTTACTCACCCCCCCCCCCCCCCCCCTTCCCACCTTGGCTTGGGTCTCTCTGGAGCCGCCAGCAGTGCCAGTCCTTGTTCGGCCCCTCGCCACCGTCGGCAGAAGCACCGTGTTGGGTGGCGGCCGATGCTTCTGCCGCTCACTTTGTGGCCGTAATCTGGGGTTGTTTTTCCTGGGTGTTGATGCTGTCATGGCGGGCAATGATGCATGTCGTTACCACCCCCCACCCCCTGCCCCGCTAACCTGTGCGTGTGTCTGTGTACCGTCTCGGTGCGCGTGTCTTTCGTGGTCGCGTGTCACCGTGTCGTTTGCATGTTCCCTCCCGTCGCCCTGCACGCTCTCGTTAATTCTCACCGTCGCTACCGGATCAGGTGAGTGTCGCGCCTGTGTGAACACTCCTCCCCAGAAACCGATTTCCCAAAATCTCACTGCCCCCTCCAGTCCTGTTGCTAACGTCTAACCTTTACCACTCGCCCAAGGCTTGCTGCTGGCACGAAAACAAAAATCCTAGCCCTGCACACCGCAAAAGGGATCTCCATGTTTTTGCTGTCCATTGGTCCCCTAACCATGACCTTCTTGCAGAGCGTCCACTTTTTTCCCCCCCCCACTAACGCCGCCCACCAATTGTGCCGCTGCCCTGGTGTCCCAACCTCCCTGCCACCACCCCCTGGTGTGACTTGACCGTGTCTCACTAATCCCCGCCCTGCTACCCCCTGCAGGAGTCTGGGCTGAAACCCAATCAACCAGCGTCGTTTGCTGTGAACCTGAACGGGGCGCGGGGGAAACTGGACGCAAAGCTTCATTCTCCCTCGGGGACCATCGAGGACTGCATAGTCTCAGAGCTCGACAACGGTACGTTATTCGTCGCCATGGTGACACTATCCATAGCTGTGACCCAAGTGCTCTTTCGTCGTCTCTTCCCCAGTGTTGTTGTCATATGAATAAAAAGTGTGCTGTACTTGGCCCTTCCCCCCCCCCTCTCCAACCATTATATAAACGGAGTGGTAGCTCCTGCAATCTCTCATTTACTTGATACAGCTGTCGTGGCTGTGACGGTTCCACCTGAAGACGGAAGCTTGTGTTGACTCCGAAACGTCGTGATTTTTATTTTATTTTACTTTTATTAATTTTAATGTTTTACCTACGTGACTTTACCGAAAAAACCTAAGAATATGAATCCTTGCAGTCACGAAAGCTTCAAATCTAGAAATAATGTTGTCAACTTTAATGACGTGATCGGTCGTGTGGCGTTGTGGTTGCTGTCGCCAGACAAGTACGCGATCCGGTTTGTGCCGCGGGAAAACGGCACGCACGCCGTACACGTCAAGTTCGACGGTAGCCACGTGCCGGGCAGCCCCTTCAAGGTGCGCGTCGGCGAGCCTGGGCAGACTGCCGACCCCGGACTTGTGACGGCCTACGGGCCTGGTCTCCAGGGCGGCACTACCGGTACGAAAGACTGACGACAACGGCCGGCGTTTTCCACGAAGTGACGGTAATGTTACCACAGCGCCTCCCCTTGCCAGGCCATTCCTACTGAGGCTATCATGTGCAGTGTCTGACCTCACTGTTGTTGAAAGGACAGGACGGACCTGGGTGATATGGGTTGAATAACTGAGATGGCTGTTAAGTTTCCGTTTCGGTCTCATGCATCTTTGTAATGGCTTGCCATGTTACGACGCTATAAACAAAGTCGTGATTGTTATGGACGCACTTGCACACTGTACAACGCTCGTCCCACCACTGTACAAAGCATTGAACAATCCATCAGCTTAATTTTTTAAATCGATTCTTAATTATGCTTAGTATAAATAATTTATTTGCAATTCATCCAAGGTCTATTAATGATATTTAATGGACAGGGCTATGGGTGGAATTTAATTATGATCTTGCCCATTCAACTGCCGTGCCAGGAGATTGAATCAAAACAGACCCCCTGGATTACTCCTCGACAGACTCCAATTACTAATACAGAGTTCTCAAATGGTAACCTCTCGCAATACTACGCTGACCGTCCCCTCCGTGCCGTCCCGTGGTGCAGGCGCGCCGGCAGAATTTGTGGTGAACACCACGCGAGCCGGTGCCGGTGCCGGGGCCCTGGCGGTTACCATCGACGGGCCCTCAAAGGTGCACATGGACTGCATCGAGTGCGCCGAGGGCTACCGCGTGAGCTACACGCCCATGGCGCCCGGCAACTACCTGGTCGCGGTCAAGTATGGGGGCCCCCACCACATTGCGGGCAGCCCCTTCAAGGCCAAGATCACCGGTGAGTGGGTGCTAGGATTTGTCCAAACGCTGCTGCTCCCCCATTGACTCCCCAAGTTGAATGTGTAATTCAGTGCCCCTTGTTTCAGAATTGCAGATTTTTCTGCCCAACAGAGGGGGTTGTCTGTGTAGCCTGATGCGTTTTTCGTTCACGTCCTGTCGAATTTAGTTAAGAATTATGGCTGTTGTACGTTTGAACGTCTTTCACACTCTATGTAAGCAACAGTGCTAATCGGAGGCACACGTTGGTGTTTTTTACAGATGGATGGTAATCACGATTTAATTCCTTTCATAGTTTTCAACGAATAAGCTGCAGTCCAAATTACATAACTGTATTAGAATCGTAACCTTACATGTGGGAAGCATCACTCGTTCTATTTAGGAGGACAGAGTGGTGCTGTGTGGCCCAAGGTCCGGTCTGGAGTGGCTACCATGAGGCCCTCTCACCTGGAGAAATGGGGGCTGTGAAAACAGGACTTGGGTCGGGACTGATTCCACCTCGGCCCAACTGCAAGCGAGATCCAGGAGCCCATGATCAATGAAACCAGAGGGTGCCAAGGCTTGCAGACCCATCACCCGATGAGGTCCATTTACTGTCAACCCCAGTACTGATGTGGAATGTTGAGGTCACGGAGGCCATGTTGTTGTGGTTGCATTGCTTGTGTTCTCATTGTTGAAACATGTTTGTGTTGCTGCCACTCGTGCTGCTGCTGCCGCCTCCTGCATATGAATGTGTGACCGCACCAGGCCCACGTCTCGCCGGTAACGCCGGATTCCAGGAGTCTTCATCGGTGATGGTGGACACGCTGACTCGCTCGGTCGCCCAATCAACCTCGGCGGTGGCGCCGGGTCTTGCGCGCTTCGTCTCAGACGCCAGCAAAGTGGTGCCACGCGGCGCAGGCCTCAACAAGGCCTACGTTGGCCAGAAGAACAGCTTTACTGTCGACTGCAGCAAGGCTGGTGCGTTGCCCTCCAGGGTCTCGCAATGGGCTAAGGCTGGTGAACTGGTGGTTGAAAGTCGTCGTGGGGTTATCATTGGGTTGTCACGGCATTATCAAAATCTCCCCACGTTTGCAATGGAGAATCGTGATTTGAGTCACATGTTCGTCCCTGAGGTATGCTTGGATAATCTGAACGTGGTAGCCACAGTCTGCAGGTAAACAACAACGTGATCTACTCTAAATTGTGCTGTCAGACACCCAACAATTGTTTTTGACATGAGTTTCATGGGACTCGGCTTAATTTATCACTAGTTTTATCACTGTAGTTTTGGGGTTGCACATTGCTCATAGTAGCCATGGTCATAGCGATGAGAGATACTAGGTCGCTGACCCATACAGGCCCCTGCCGAAATTAATAATAATATTATTACTATAAAAAGGACCTTAAACCTCAAATGGGCATCTGTGGAGTTGACAATTTTCAGCGACCATTGGAAGGGTGGGAATTTGGCTGAAATTAAGCCCTGACAGGAGACCTGGGCTTGGACTTTACTGGAACGGGCGTTGCGTAACCACTCTGCTCGCCACTTTTTTATCCGCCGTGGTCACAGGCAACAACATGCTTCTGGTGGGCGTCCACGGGCCACATGTCCCGTGCGAGGAAGTGGTGGTGAAGCACACGGGGAAAGGCGCCTACGCAGTCTCCTACACCCTCAAGGAGCGCGGAGAGCACATCCTCGTCCTCATGTGGGGCAACGAGCATGTCACCGGCAGCCCCTACGTCGTCAACGTCGTCTGAGCGGCTGGCGAGAGAGCCCCGCCGCGTGCGTCTCCTCCTCCTCCCCTGCCCTCTTTCCGCATCAACGACCTCCACACTCGTCCACCCTGTCGCAACTTCACAATTCACTCGACATTCCCGCCCCACCGTGTACAATCACCGCATGTTATTGTGTAAAGTTGCCGCCCTTGTGCATCCGTGTGGGGTTTTGGTTTGGTACACGCCAGCTTGCCCGTGAGCTGGCATGAGGGACGGGTTGGGAAGGGAGCGTGACGCAAATGTTAACGTTTTGTGGTAGTTTGTGAAAAGTTTTTGTCGCTCGCCTATTGAACAATTCTTCCCCGACCCTTTTGTTAGCGTTCTTTCTGGGTTGCCTTTGATCGATGCCACCCCGTCTCACTTTCTGCATTTTTTATCTCGTTTTTGGTGGCTGATGGGTGACTTTTTTCTATTTGGTGCATCTGCCTGTGTAGAATTGGTTTTTGTGATTTTTGTAATGTCTTCAGTGAGACACTGTACATTGGCAGGGCTACTTGTCGTAGCTGCGCTGCTGTCTGGGCTTGGTTGATCTGTTTACTGTAGCTATTCATGTAAACCACTTTCTCGATTTAAAGTAATTCGAATTTATATTTTTTATGACTTCAGTTTTCTATGTCGATGCTTAGTCTATTGACTAAAGTTTAGCAAATAGTGTTACGAAAGTCACCCGAAGGTGATTCTTGAGGGGCCTGCCTACTCGGACACATCTTGGCCAATCCCGGGACCCGTTGCTGTGGCGACCTGCTGCTGCTACTACACCTCCCAGTTAAGCACGCCGCGATTGGCTTCTGATGGGTCAGGAGGGGAGATCCCACAACCCATGTCTTTTTGGTCTTTTTGTATCGACTTACAAGCCTAATTATAAAAGGAAAAAGTTTGACTTATTTCTCTCAGATGACACTGAACTGTTATAACTGGATCCCCGCCAAGGCCTCGTTTTCAGTGAACGGCGGCCGCTTGAATGTATGATCGCTGGGGGAGAGGGCAGCATGATGCCTTGCTTCCGTCCTGGCAGCTGTAGCGCAAACACTGGTTGTCGCTGAATGTACGGAGGGGCCCCACACGCCAGGTGGACCAAGTTGTTGCCAGCTTAAGAGGAGAAAGTCCTTTGTACCAATGGACAAAAAAAATGTTTAGGTTTAGTTCTGTTATTCTCGATCGGCCAACCCAAAAGGTAATGCAACTTAACTAAACTTTGCTGGGGTTTTTCCACTTAAAAATTTGAAAAACCAGGAAGCATATCAGGTTTTATTTCTGAAATTTTTTCTTCCAGGCTCACTTATTGAAATTGCGCTGGTTAACTCATTCTCTAACCAATTTTCCAACAATACGCTCCATCCATTGGATGTTAAAAACTCTGATCTGGCAAGCTGATGATCAACTAGAATGCCGCCTCTCCACCGAGGCAACAAGACTTCTGATCTGGCAAGATCGAGACCCCCCCCCCCCCCCAAACAAAAAAAACGCAACCTCCATGGGTGTCTCGCAGTCGGTGTGGTGGCTGTGTGGCATTCGGTGTCCCCGGCTGCCCTGCGGCCCTCTCACTCTTTCCTGCCTCGTGCCGGCGAGAGCCACGTTGCTCTGCGGTCGTCAACCGCCACAGCGACCTCCTCCCCCAAGCACAATAAAGTCTAACCACAGCCGCGCCACCTCTGCTCGTGTCCGTCGTCTTGTGTTGTTTTTGTCGTCTCGTGGACTTGAGCCGTGATATATTGATCGGAATGTGGGTTATAGCGAAGAAAAGGTGCGCACTAAAACGTGCAGAGATGCGTAAACCGACAGTTGCGTGATTTGCAGTGTAGCATTTGTAACCAATTTTGTTGACACCTTTTTCTGAAGACTTTGACTCTTGACCCAGAACTGAATCCTAGACGTTTAAACGCTCTACTTTGAAACAACAGTGGAATTTCACGAAACTGTCTTGCACGCTGGCAGCATACGGGCTCAAGTCACAACTGGTCCATATAATCCTGCTGAAAGGTAATGGCCCTGCCCATGATGTTTGCTGGCGGAAGGACTTGATGAGGAAAAGCTCAAGCGGGCCCCTCGTCTGTAGGATATTTGGCCTACTCTTCCACGTTGGCCAGAAGGCGTAGCAGAGGGGGGGGGGGGGACTACCAGCACTTTACCCATTATTATAGTTGAAGCTCTACTTCCAAAATTGGCCAAACGAAGACCCATTTTCTCTTTTGGACATGATGCTGAATCATTGGTGCACGGGTCCATTAATGATGATCGAATATGTAACAAAAAAAATTATCACAAGGTGATTCGCCCCCTGTTTATTTGTTTGAAAAAATCAATGTGGTTGGCCAGAAAATGATAGCCGCACTGAAAATGCCACCAGGCAAATGTATGGGTTAGAGAGGTTTGGCGACTTGCGATTTAAATGGTCTGTCCCGTGGCAGGCGCAAGGGGCGACGTTACGGAGGACACTCCACGCGCACCGCTGTACTGTACTCCTATGATCCCAAGTCAATGCCGCATTTGCATAACCCCCATGGGGACACGAGCTGTGGCTTGATAAAGGGCTGTTTATGTTCTAAGGCAGTTGTGGAAACTCGATATTGCTGTGGTTGGGGGATGAGTTTGTCAACGAGTCGACCAGTCCGGAGAGTATTGGTACGAATTTTTTTCTTGGAAGTGGGTTATTAATCGATGACCCTTAATATAATCGATTCCTGCTTCTGAAAATGCAACCGGTAACCACTGGCAGCGACATTTGCCGTGAACGCAGCGATGGGCGTGCGTGAATGTACACGGCAAGGCAGCCCAAGACATCGGGTGGTTTTGCTCGTTTCTTAAAAGGGTAATAATGTAGCCCTGCTCTGGTTTTACTTGCTCTCTCTACTCCACTAAAGCGAGCTGTAATTGGGCTACACTCCACACAGACCAAACGGCTTGGGTGAGGGTCTGTCTACCCACACTTTGCCCCACCACCCAAAGTGGCGAACCCCATTTATACTGCTCGCCAATTGGCGTTTTCTGATCTGACACTGAGTCGGCCATAAAGAAAGCCGTTTCTGTTGAAGGCCAATCGGTTTTAAAGACCGCATATAGAATAATTGGTGTGTTTGCATGCGTTATCACGCGTTTAGTGACTGACTCAGACGCTAAGATTAGGGAGGCACGCGGTTTATTAACACGGCCTGACGGTTAACACTTTAACTCGTCATTAAATGAACTACGGTTCCCAGTCGCGACAGCTGGTAGGCTGCCTGACGACAGGCGACGCCGAGATGGTGAAGACGAAGACGATGGTGAAGATTCCAGCAGCAGCACGACGCAGATCCCCCCCCCCCAACTCCACACGACAGCCCCGAGGTCCCTGGGGGGGGAGCCCTCTTATACTGCCAGCGTGGCCTGGCCACGCCCCCTTCTGGAACCTACCAGCGGGTTCCTCGTGTGCCCCTTCCGTGACCTTTTCCCAAGATCCCTCTCTGGTCTATCACGTGGCCTGCCCCTGTCGGTCAGGGCTGCTGTAAGCTGCAGATCCCCTTCCCCGCCAGCGCTATGCTGCTACATGACCCATTCTATGTCACGACGCAAGTACGTGGATTAAACAAACTTTTGTTGCCTTACAAAACCTTTTATATATTAAAAAAGCACTTTGGTGTTTTTGCATCTTAACACCTTTTTTTTAATTGCCGGAAAGGGTAAAACCTAATTTTTCATACCATTTATATTGTTGTTTGGACATGGGCAGTGATAGGTTATTGTACAAACTAAATAAACGTATTCTACTCTACTAAGAATGTCACAAACAAGGCTCCGACGTGGGGCTCAAGGTAAATAAGCCAAACAAATACAGGAATGTGAAACACGTTTGCTGAACAAAAGCAATCGGAGCAACGCATAGCATACAGTTGGTGTCTGCGTAGGGTTCTTGTCGAAAGTGGACCGGAATCTAAATATATTAAATATAAATATACAGATGAGAGCAGGATGGGAGTTCTTTTTGAAGATGTTGTTTGATCTTTAACGGAAACGTTCAAACGCGGCGATTAAATTAGAACGATTTGGATGAGTGAGTCTTGCCCACTGAAAACTTGGATCGGAAACGTGAAACGTTGACGGAAGTGAATCGAAATCTGAAAGTGACGATTGCGTGCGAAGAAGCAACGGGCAGGTGGCATGCTTGGGGTTTACCGAGGCACACATGGGTTCGAGAACATAATGGTGGGTGGTGTCGTGGTGCCACGGGTGATAGCGGTGCCACATCCAGCGGTGAAACGGACACTTGGCAGGTACGGCTTGGGAAGCCTCGATAACGCAATGCGCATCATAATAGGAGCCCTGAAACCGACATTTAAAAATATTTTTTTTATAAGAAAAATATGTTTTTATTATTTTATAAAAAATATATTTGTATTATTTTATTGTTTCCCTTTAAGTATTGTTTCTCTTCTACGTGGCTTTACCGAAAGAACCAAGAATAAGAGCCATATTGTTCAAATTCGGTTAAAAAAAACAGTAATTCAAGAGCCGCAATGCACGTGGGTGAATACGAGACGGTGTCCTTAAATAACGTCACGAAACAATCCTCAATGAGCCGCATGTGGCTCCGCAATTGCAGGTTACCAACCCCTGCCCAATGTAAACTGAACTCCCATGGTGAACTGGACTCCCATGGTGAACTGGACTTCCATGGTGAACTGGGCTTCCATGGTACACTGGACTCCCATGGTAAACTGGACTCCCATGGTGAAACTGGACTCCCATGGTGAACTGGAATCCCATGGTGAACTGGACTTCCATGGTGAACTGGACTCCCATGGTGAACTGGACTTTCATGGTGAGCTGGACCACCATGGAAGTCCAGTTAACCATGGGAGTCCAGTTCACCATGGAAGTCCAGTTCACCATGGAAGTCCAGTTCACCATGGGAAACTGGACTTCCATGGTAAACTGGACTTCCATGGTAAACTGGACTCCCATGGTAAACTGGACTCCCATGGTGAACTGGAATCCCATGGTAAACTGGACTCCCATGGTGAACTGGACTTTCATGGTGAGCTGGACTCCCATGGTGAACTGGACTTCCATGGTGAACTGGACTCCCATGGTAAACTGGACTCCCATGGTAAACTGGACTCCCATGGTAAACTGGACTCCCATGGTAAACTGGACTCCCATGGTAAACTGGACTCCCATGGTGAACTGGAATCCCATGGTAAACTGGACTTCCATGGTAAACTGGACTTCCATGGTGAACTGGACTTCCATGGTAAACTGGACTCCCATGGTAAACTGCACTCCCATGGTAAACTAGACTCCCATGGTGAACTGGACTCCCATGGTGAACTGGACTCCCATGGTGAACTGGACTCCCATGGTAAACTGGACTCCCATGGTAAACTGGACTCCCATGGTAAACTGGACTCCCATGGTGAACTGGACTCCCATGGTAAACTGGACTTCCATGGTGAACTGGACTTCCATGGTGAACTGGACTTCCATGGTGAACTGGACTCCCATGGTAAACTGGACTTCCGTAGTGAATTGGACTTTTATGGTCAGGGGCCGACAACCAAAATAAAAAGCCATTTATTTTTTACGAATTTCAAGAGCCGCGCTGCACTCCTCAAAGAGCCGCAAGGTTGCCGACCTCTGGGCTCAGGTAAGAAATCCCATGAAGGCGACACCCACGGTGGATCGCGGCAAGGTTATTGGCAAGGGACGTGAGCACCATCACCAGGAAGCCCGTGAGTAGTGGGCAGCAGCAGCAGCTGCTATGATGGACTGCAATCCATTGGGGTTCTCATCATTCGGTTTTTTTTCCTTTCCTCCATCAATTTTCCGCGCGCGAACTTGGCCAACCCTCAACTTTGCGTCGGAGGCAAAGATGAACCCATGCCACGTGGGCTGTAGCTGGTTAAATAAGGAAAAGGTGCAGCCCTGCAATTACTCAACGCCGCTGTTGTCAGAAGGAGCATCCACGAGAGAAGGCTCGTCCAGACAGCTGGGAAGCTTTGCGAGCGCTCATGAACGCTCCCTCTCAACCAGTGGTCCCTAACTTTTATTGCAGCCTCAGTCGTAAAATGTTTTATAATGTTAACATAGGTTTGATGAAACAAGGTAGTTGTACATAGGGGCCGTCCATAAATGACGTCACGCGATTTTGGACGATTTTTGACCCCCCCCCCCTCGTCACACGACATCACAAAAAGTCAGACCCCCCCTCATATATGACGTCACAAAGCTCTGCCCCCCCCCCCCCAAAATAAATAAAACATGCTTCAAATTGCTTTAAACTATTGTCATTGTAGTGCGTATTTAATGTGACACTGCACTGATATTGCAGGAGAAAACATTTATTAAAAAGTCTATTTAATTAAGTAGAACGTGTTGTCTATATTTAAAGTTGCGCATTTTGATGTGACGTCACATTTTTCACCCCCCCCCCCTCGTCACACATCGTCACAAATGTCTGACCCCCCCCTAGGTGCGTGACGTCATTTATGGACGGCCCCTTACGTGCCCGTGCTTAATTTGTGTTTAGATTATTTGTCTTCTAAAAAAAAAAATCTGTCCACGTCTCGCACCCCCAGAAAGGGCATCTCGCACCCCCAGGGCGTGCACATGCACCCCGCGTGAAGAGGCACTGCTCTAAAGGGTATATCTGCTTTAATCTTCCTTAGCGAATAGACATCCCGCACGCTCCGACTATCACGGTTGGCTACGTACGGTGCGAAAGAAGTCCAACACACGTACTGTACATTAGTTTTCATTTATTTGAAATATATTTTATTTATGCCTTATTTTATTCATTGGGTTGTTTGCTCGCCGAACACGAACGTGTGCAAACGCGACTCTTAACACGCGTAAAAATAAACTAAACTACTATATTGGAAGCTTTCGTGACTGCAGGAATTACTCTTTGGTTCTTTCTGTAAAGTCACGTGACTTTACCGAAATAACCACATGCAGAGTGAAACTAAACTATGTTTTAATGTTACCAGGTATGGGGCCGTCCATAAATGACGTCACGCGATTTTGGACTATTTTTGACCCCCTCCCCCTTCGTCACACGGCGTCACCAAAAGTCAGACCCCCCCCCTCAAATATGACGTCACAAAGCTCTGCCCCCCCCCCAAAAAAAACGCTTCAAATCGCTTTAAACTATTGTCATTGTAGTGCGTATTTAATGTGGCGCTGCACTCTGATGTTGTAGGAGAAAATATGTATTAAAAAGTCTATTTAATTAAGTAGAACGTGTTGTCTATATTTATTTAAAGTTGCGCGTTTTGATGTGACGTCACATTTTTCAACCCCCCCCCCCCCCTCGTCACACATCGTCACAAATGTCTGACCCCCCCCCCCCCTTATGTGCGTGACGTCATTTATGGACGGTCCCTAAGGCTCACTGAGCTCTTCACAATAATTATTTTTCGGAAGCGACCTGGTCACAAATGATAGCTAAACGAAGTGGCTTATCATCACGCGGACATTCATAGCAGCCAAAAACGCATGTTTCTAAATTCAAACTCAACAAGGGAATAGCAAAGCTACACGAAATCTCTCTCCCCTGAAGTCATCTCGTGGCTAGCAAACCTCGACTTTGGTATTTAAGTTACTCAACAAATTGCCACACCGGCATAACTATCGGTCCATACGGTTTACCCCGTATTCTTTGTACAAGGAAATTGAATTTTCAGGTCCACACGGCGTACGGCCGTTTCACTACGGGCAGATAAAATGCCTATTGTTTATGTTTCTCTCCCTTGTGATGTAGGATGAACGTTGAGATGTATAAGGGCACCACGGGGTGACCAATAAGGTCTGCATTAGTCTCTAAACACATTCCTCCTGCGGAGGGAGCTGGTAGGAACGTTGGGTTGCTCGGTCAATGGCCAGGGTCAACTGCGGCGTGGTGTATTCCGCAAATATGCCCGACTGTGAGGGCGGGCACAAGCCGGCGTGAGTAGGTTAAACGTTGAGTTTTATAAGGGCACCACGGGGTGACCAGCCCCTCCCCACCCAGCCCCACCCCTCCCACCCCCCACCCAGCGCCACCCTCCCCACCCAGCCCCTCCCCATCCTCGCCACCCAGCCCCTCCCCACCCTCCCCTCCCCACCCAGCCCCACCCTCCCCACCCAGCCCCTCCTCACCCTCCCCTCCCCACCCAGCCCCTCCCCCACCCTCCCCTCCCCACCCAGCCCCTCCCCACCCAGCCCCTCCCTCCCCACCTAGCCCGTCCCTGCACGACGGACACAATAATCCCCTGTGGGCTGGTGTAACCAGGAGGTTCCTACCAGTATAAGAGAGAGGTACTGGATAAGGAGTTGGCAGCTTTGTGAGCCAGCAGTGGCTCGAACGTGGCTGAACAACGTCACACGTCGTGCCGAGCGTCACCGCGTAAGGTGACACGACGCACGCTGAATGCGACATGACGTCATCATAACGGTGAGCGATGACGTCACGAGCACGTACAGGCGAGCGCATTGTCGATGCAAATAGGGGTTTTATTTTACTCTTCAAAGTAACGATCGGTAAAATGTCGTAAAAGGGGAATTGCGAATAACATAGACTGTTAAATAACAAAATTATTAACTTACTATTATTTTAGCGCGGTGAAATAATCAAGCAGAAATATTTACATAATTTCGGGGGAAATTAATTAAAAGTGGTCTCCCCCTTTCATCGCCAAATGGTTTCGTCCGTGACTCCTTGAAGCTTCCGGCGGCCTCCCACAATCCTTTCCGTCGGGCGAGGTAAGATGGCTGCAGTGGTTGTCGGTAGTCGCCGTTGAAATCCTTAAACATCCCGGCCGCGTTATCGATAATCCATCGTGCGATTTTACAAATAGGTGCTCTAACATGGCACCAATATTTATGCGTTCGTATTTCTTGTCTGCCCCGCCAGGCGATCTACCAAGATGGGTCGCCGTCCCGCTCGCTGGTGAGTAGGCCTTAGTCCCGCCACAAGGCCTCGAGTCTAAAGTTCCTATTTAGTTACAATGTTACAATTAGGATTTTTGCGTTCGCCTTTGCACTCGTGATACGAGTTAAATAGTTTAACAACTTGGGCCGGTTTATAGTACGGCAAAGTATACTGTAGCGAGTTTATTTATGAATGGACACGCCTTTGACCAAGTCGCCTTACAATTCCTCGGAAGCAAAGCAGACGTGGCCTGTTTAAGACTTGGATTAGCGAGCATTCATGAAGTAGGTGCTATAGGCTGTTGCGCCGTCGCGTTGAAGGCAACGGCAGTACACTATAGCAATATGTGTTGTATTGTATTACGCTCCCAACGTGTGCTAGGCCGCGCTGACCGGCGTGGTGAAATATGGTAAAATAAGACACCCACGACCCAAACGGTACAAGGAGGCCCTCTCATCCAGCAGTGGATTGGCAAAAAGGTTGTCCATAAAGAATAATTGTCCATATACCTCGACGAAAACCCCCCGTTATAGCAAAGTGGAATCCTGGCTCTACAGCTTTCAGTGCTAAATGGCGGCTTCCCCTCGGGCAAGCTTAATAAAACATCCCAAGTATTAGCCCGTATCTGTAAAATTTTAGCATGCAGCTATGTTTGCTGGGTGGCATGTGTCCAATTAAAACGTGTTCATACAGACTACAATGCTCATTTCTGCGAGAAACAAGCCCGTGCGTGCGTGTGGTTTATAGTTACAGATACTGCAAGAACAAGCCCTACCCGAAGTCTCGCTTCTGTCGCGGTGTTCCCGGTGAGTGGTCGAATGAAAACTCTCCAAATGAATATAATCCTTAAATGAAATAGCGCTCCTATAAGGGTGCCGAGCTGCGGCGCGGTTGTGTAACGTGCCAGGTCAAATGCGACTGAAATGTAATGCCACAAATGAAGCAGGCTTTGGCGCAAGAGGGCAATGCGGCGAACGCCATTGCACGTTGGTGATGTGCTTTTGTCGCGTCTGTGCTTCCCGCCTTCAACCCGCACTGACCAGCGTGGTGAAGTATGGTCAAATAATCCCCTGTTGGACCTGAAACGCGTGGTTGGTCCCGATCCAGCAGTAATAACTTTACAAAAGGGGCCCTGCACATGAGGACAATAGGATGGCGTGTTTAAAATCGCTAATGGGACAAACATCACGTGTCATTATGGTTAGCGTATGTAAACGGTTATACTTTTAATAGCAATATATTAACTCATTCTTTATATTAACTCTCCGAATGTGCATCCGAAATCGCGGTAATTGTTACAAAGGGGATCATTAAGTACGTGTACGATCCCTTGGTCAATCCACTGCTAGATTAGTGCCTCGCTACGCCGTCCTAGGTGTGGAAGTGATTTTGTAAAACCATACTGCACTTCAAGCTGTTGATTACGGATTGATGAAACCGGGGAGCATAGACAAAATATAGTACAACGGTTTTTGCCGTACTGCCCTCTGGTGGCCAAACAGTGACCCAAGTTAGAAGTGGTCTACTGTAATGTAAACTTCAATTTAGCACTTGAACAAACCGACCTTCATTTAATTGGTTGTTGGTGTTCGTTGGTGCGCATATCAAACCCCTTGGTTTGTGTAAGATCTCCGTCACATATACGGAGCCCTAAAGGGACCTTGGAAACAGCACAATTTCACTTCGTGGCGTGTAGTCTGAGACATGCATGGAGGTTAGATTTACCTAACAATGTCAAAGTATGTCAAAAAACGCAATGCATAGCTGCCCTGAAATAACTCTTTGAGATTCGGAGAACCCTTCCTATCTAAAAGACATGTTATGGCCTGTACACAAGTGCCTACGACTAAATCACCCAGCATGCACCCTACATATCCAAATCCCGGAAGTTAACTATGAAAATGTATACTCTGATCGTGATTTGGTGGCCACCAAGCACAGCAGAAATGGCAGGGGGGCAGTGCAGAAGAATCTTTTGGCTTTTACTTTGCTCGTCTATTCCCATAGTCACACCAGCGTGGTGAAATAACCACCAAAGCCCTCAATCAATGTATCTATAAAGGGATGTACTTGTACATGTATACATACTGATTTAATTACCTATACACAAGCAGTGTGCACATTAAGCCATACGTATTTGTAGTGAATGATGACTCATCCTTGCCACTTATCTCTCTTAGATCCCAAGATCAGGATCTTCGACCTCGGGCGCAAGAAGGCCCGCGTGGAAGAGTTCCCGCTATGCGCGCACATGGTGTCAGATGAGTGCGAGCAGCTCTCCTCGGAGGGTGAGCGCGCAATATCCTGTCTCTTTATAAAACGTTCAGTATACACATTTTTTAAAGAAACTCGTGCATAAACTTTGCTGCTATTTTGTTATTATTCTGGTGCAGTGACATGGCCGGGCGGGCTCACGTTTGCTCCATTTTGCAGAGGTTGTAATGCTGCGGTCGCCCAGGTTGATACTACTAGTATTAACCATAAATATGCACCGTCTGCTTTATAGTGGATATTTAAAGACCTCGTGACATAATTTAAAATTAGTAGGCTGTGTGCTCGTATCATGGTCCAAATTCGTTTTTATTTCAAATTGAATAGAACCACATACCAACATTGCCGCCTAAAGACGACTATACTCGTCTGGAAACCACAGCGCCTATGTGATAGCCTTGCACTTAAGAATGGTGTGATTAGAAAATAAACCCACTAGGCTGTGTAGCGGAGAGGAAATGGCACAGGATGCTGTACAAATAGCAAAACATACATCTACATAGTTTCAAGGATTTGTTTTTTGTTTGGAGTAGGGAAAGTGTAGAGAATGCTTTGTATGTAAGTTGCAGGGAAGGGTGCTATAGGCAAAAGGGATTGAGATGACATGGGGGAATAGCATTACAGCAAATGGGTTAAGTGAGCTTGTCTGTGCAGTTCTTTGGATTTTGGACTGCACAAAAAATGCTTTATAAAAATATAACTATGTAGGTCCCTTCTGAAAAAAAAAGTTGTTCGACTGACTTTTAGTAATTAGTAGTGGCTCACCTGGTTACAGGATTAGCAAGTTGACATGCATATTCCAAGCTGACAAACAAACAACCATTATTATGGCGTTGTTGCAGCATAACATTTTTTTACTGTTTGAACGGCATTTTTTTATCTGCTTATAAACGAACAACCTCTATCATTAAATATTCCCATTGTACAGCATCTTTGAGATGCAATCACGTTTAGTCGGCGCTGTATAAATCCAACGTTCAGAGAATTGTAGAGTGACTTCAGTTTTTGTGTGATTATGCCAGCGCTGGAAGCCGCCCGTATCTGTGCCAACAAGTACATGGTGAAGACGTGCGGCAAGGATGGCTTCCATATCCGCATGCGGCTGCATCCCTTCCACGTCATCCGCATCAACAAGATGTTGTCCTGTGCAGGCGCCGATAGGTCAGTGCCAGGACGCCATGTGGCAAGGGCGATGGCAGGTTGCACGACATTTGTTTTATCATTTTAGCTGGATCGTCGTGGTTGAATACATATTTGTAGGCTGAATTTTGACGAATATATTCGAAATATTTAAATAGATGCTGCATATACAATTTTTTTAATCAACAGTTAAGCTAAAATATTAAATTGGAGTTTCTCGGATTTGTATACATTTTGTATGTCTATGCAATTCGGTGTAAATTTGCACTTTATTAAGCCGACTACCTTTTATTACATTAATTGGTAGTGTGCAATGGGTGCATAAAACAAACATACTCCTTGGTTTGTGTAAGATCTTCGTTCCGTGTACGAAAACTCTTAGGGACCATGGAGACAGTGCATACATAATGTGACATTTAAGTATATATAAAACATTGTAGACAAATGTAATGTGTGGGGCCCACTTGCCGCCTTTATTTTCACATCCAAGATTAATATTCTTACCCTATTACTTTTTTTAAATGTACGGTTCATTCGTTTCTTTACTGTTCCATGTGTTCTGGCTGCTAAACAAATGTGCATGATGTACATAAAGAGGGTGGTGCTTGCAGATGACAGCATTGATGGAACCGTTCTGTCTTGTACATTCTCCAGGCTGCAAACAGGGATGCGCGGAGCCTTCGGTAAGCCTCAGGGCACAGTGGCGCGCGTGTCGATCGGCCAGCCCATCATGTCGGTGCGCACCAAGCCCAACAACAAGGAACACGTGGTAGAGGCTTTCCGTCGTGCCAAGTTCAAGTTCCCGGGTCGCCAGAAGGTGAAAGTCACAACACCCATCGAATTTTTCAATTTATATTATTTGCTTCTCCCCCCCCCCCCCCCCCAGTGCCTTAGGATGCGGTGCCTTACCCCATTGTGGCTCTGTGCACAAGAAAGCTTTTATGCACATGGCTGTCCTCATGCTTGTGGTTCTCAAGTGCCATGATGGAACAAATATATTTCATTTTTTTTGTATGTCTATGCAATTCGGTGTGAATTTGCACTCTATTAAGCCGACTACCTTTTATTACATTAATTGGTAGTGTGCAATGGGTGCATAAAACAGACTCCTTGGTTTGTGTAAGATCTTCGTTCCTTGTACGAAAACGCTTAGGGACCATGGAGACAGTGCATACATAATGTGACATTTAACTATATGTAAAACATTGTAGACAAATGTAATGTGTGGGCCCACTTGCCGCCTTTATTTTAATTGTTTTATTATTTTATTATTTCCTTTCTACGTGACTTTACCGAAAGAACCAAGAAGAAAAAATATTTCAGTATGTTAAAAATAGTATTTATACTTTAGCTGTCCATGAAAAGGTATTTATAGTGAACCATCGCAACTAACCAATTGCTCTATAAACTTTTGGCGAACTGTTCATGTCAGATCATGTCCCAAAAAACTGCAATTTGTGAAAAAATTATTCTTGCTGGTTTGTAATGTGTCATGTTACTTTTAGTTTCTTGAGTTATAAGTAGCATTAAAGTTTTGTAAATGATCAATTGTTACACAGTAAGTTTGTCTATTTAGCTTGTATGGTTCACCCTGCATTTGTATGGTCTATTTTGCATGGTTTTCCATTGGGTTATCTGGTTTCCCCCCATAGCGAAAAACATACAATATCATTGGTTCTGGCGATACATTCCAATGCAGAACCCTCCTGAAAGGAGTCTGGGTATATAAGTAATTGTATTAATGTCAATGAGTTCAACTTGTCCTCGTGTCTTCAATTGTGTAAAGCACACTAACACACGGTCTTCCTTTGTGCCACAGATCCACGTCTCAAAGAAGTGGGGCTTTACCAAATTCGACAGCAAAGACTTTGAGGCAATGCTGGCTGAAAAGACGGTGATGCCCGATGGTGTGGGTGTCAAGTACATGCCAAACCACGGGCCCCTGAACAAGTGGCGGGCACTGCACGCCGCGTAAGAAGAGACAACTACCATCAACTGGGCACACATTTTCTGCCGCTTACCCGCATGAGCTTGGGATGTGTTGCCTTGTGAATTTGGAGAAATAAAACCTGTCCTCTGAAATTTGTTTTATGATGTTTAATTGCACCCAGTGGTTTTCTTAAAGAAATGGAGCATTCAAGTGAATACACCATACTTGGTTTTAGAATTGTTGTTGAGCGCAAGCCTGAAAGTCTTGCACATGGTGTCCAGCGTAGAGCACTTGAGTCGAGCAAATAATAGATGTTTTTTTTAACTGATGGTTATATCAGCACGTTGAAATACAGACTGGGAGGCAGCTACAAAGCCAACCGCAGAGAACGCTGAACAGTATAGAAGGGACTTTGGGCGGAATAAGGATTAGCCACATTTTGCACTAAAACCCTTGGCATCTAATGGTTCGTTGCAACACCCATTACAACAGCAATTTTAAAAAGTGGCCATGACATGTAAAATCGGCAACATGTAAGGGAGACCAGACGGCCACTGAAAAACCAAGCATCGCCAGTTTCAAGCAGCCAAGTGACAAAGCTGGAGACACGAGCCCAGTGTACTTTACTGCCACCCCACGATATCCACTGCCCGTGATATCACCAACCATGCTATTGTGATTTTGCTGCAACAAGGCAGCTACATCACAATACAACAAAGTTCGTTTTAACACGTACGCTTTCGCGACCAATATCCACAATACAGGTGTTTTTTTGGTTAGATCGTGTAAATATATAAATGTCTTTTGACCCACCGACAGCCACAAATCTGGCTGACGCCTGTTGAAGCTCATTGTAATTACTGGCGAAACGTACTCCGATTGTAAATGTTGCTTGGCTCGACAACACACCGGTGTGCTGTACTAGTAACGAATTGCCATGTTCTGTTTACGTGACAACACTTACTAATTGGCTGTTGCGGGTTTAACAACATTTACGCGATTAACCCCAACAAAAACTTATGGACAACAGTGTTTGAAACAATCGGGGTGAAAATTGGGAATTTCATTCTGAATGACGCAGATTTAAAATGCCTAGTATTTTATTGCACAAACCTTTATAATATTGGTCTGAAATAGCAAACTTGCTAATGGATAAAAAAAGTGCTTAAAGAAGGAAGTAGAGAAAATAAACGTGGACTCCACTTGTTCTGTCGAGGATAGTGTTTCCCCCTTAGACGTATGGGAGCTGTCTCCCTGGGTTCAGATCCGGTAAGGGTCATCTCCACGAGTATGCCTTTCATAATCCAGGTTTTTTTGGGTTGAATCGCGTAAATATATAAATGTGTCGTTAAACCCACCACCACCCGACAGCCAATTAGTAGTACGTATACCTTTACTCGCAGCCTTTCTACGGGAAAAAAAGGAAAACTACCCGAGGTTATTACTATTAATTTACTATGGGGAAGGAGCTGAGAATCACACTTTTGTTAATAGTGCGTGGGTATTTACCAAAGCAACGTTGCTTCTTCAGCTGACAAGAGTTCCATCACCTAGACTCTAGAGGGAGTGCTCTTACCAATAACAACTGGTAGACCAGTACTTGTACGGTATTTTACTGGTAGGAACCTTCTGGTTACACCAGCCCACAGGGGATTATTGTGTCCGTCGGTCCGTCGTGCATCCAAAAATGGGAGGGGTGGGGCTGGGTGGAAAGGGGAGAGTGGGGAGGGGCTGGGTGGGGGGTGGGAGGGGTAGGGCTGGGTGGGGAGGGGCTGGGTGGGGGTGGGAGGGGTAGGGCTGGGTGGGGGGATGGGGCTGGGTGGGAGGGGTAGGGCTGGGTGGGGAGGGGCTGGGTGGGGGTGGGAGGGGTAGGGCTGGGTGGGGGAGGGGCTGGGTGGGGGGTGGGAGGGGTAGGGCTGGGTGGGGAGGGGCTGGGTGGGGGTGGGAGGGGTAGGGCTGGGTGGGGGGATGGGGCTGGGTGGGAGGGGTAGGGCTGGGTGGCGAGGGGTTGGGTGGGGAGGGGCTGGGTGGGGAGGGGCTGGGAGGGGTGGGGCTGGGTGGGGAGGGGCTGGTCACCCCGTGGTGCCCTTATAAAACTCAACGTTTAACCTACTCACGTCGGCTTGTGCCCGCAATCACAGTCGGGCATATTTGCGGAATACACCACGCCGCCGTTGACCCTGCAGGCCATTGACCGAGCAACCCAACGTTCCTACCAGCTCCCTCCGCAGCAGGAATGTGTTTTACAAGCTAGCGTGACTGAGGGTGAGCAGATACCAAATTCTAAACCAGTCCAAAGTTGCCAGCACGATATTTGCTCTATCATCAATGTGGATTGAATGAGAGAAACCCGAAATTCCACTCCACGTGCACTGAAGCGGCAACTTTACCACCGACCAATGTGTTGTACCTTCCCCGTGTTTCAGAAATGTGATGTGCAAAGTCAAAGCGATTTCCCGATGAAATAAGCAATTTATGCTTTTGTGCTCATCTCCTGTTTACAGCGCCCCCCCCCCCCCCCGCGCAGAGTAAGTGGTGGAAATTCCACGTTCCTATGACGGGATGTGGCGGCGAGTCTGGGATACGTGTCGAGTAATTTAAACAATAACATGTTTTTATATCATTGTTTTACTATTATCTTAGTGGGGGTTATATATAAATCGGTCACTGTGTGTGTAGTGACCTCGGCTAAAACATTACGATGGACGAGACAGGTATAACAATGAAGGCAACGCGCACGGGATAATGTGCAGCAAATATCCATCAGTGGATAGACAATTGCTGATATAATGTCAAACATATATACTGTACATTATATATTTTGTTCTTGTTTTTTTTCCTGAAGAGTATCGATTAATTTTCTGGTGCCACCCTCTCTCCGCTCCTCACCCCCCAATCCTCAGGAAATATCAGATAATGAATCTCAAATATTTTTCCTAGACTTGAAGTTTTCGTGACTGAAGAAACCCATACATACTCTTTGGTTCTTTCGGTAAAGTCTCGTAGATATAAAATATTTTATTGCCATTTCATTTTTTGGCGCCAAAACGTCTCGCGCGCGCGCACGTGACAACGTCTCTCGCGCGCGGGAAACCCCCCCTCGCCCCCACCCCCCTCCACCCACCACTTCACATTTCCCAGCGCGGATTGGCTCCATGGGGGGGCGGCGGGAGCCAATCAGATCGAGTCGCGCGGCCCCGATGTCGCAACGCGGAGGAGGAGCCCCCCTCCATCGCAGCTTATCCGGGCTGGGAGTTATAATCGTGGCGAGAGCACGCTTTGCCCGAGGCTGTCGGCGGCGCTCAGGAGAGTTAAGAGAGCGAGGAGGTGGGAGGAGGAGAAGATTCCGCGTCGTTTCTCCTCACGCAGCCGCGGCACCGTTATTCTACAACGCCGTCGTCGTCGTCATAGTCCGCGAAGATTTCGTGCGTGCTGAGGTAACCACCACCACGTCGTCAAGGCTGGTCCGGGTCTCACCGACGTGAGATTAGAAGTTTTCATTCAATAATTCTTTAACGCCACACGAGGAGGAAGAGGAGGAGGGTGGTGGGGCGAGAAGAGCAATGCAGCCGACGACGGCGGTAGAGGCCTGGCCACGCCGGGGCGACCGCCTCATCAGTGGCCGCAGTCCGCCTCGTTCTGGACTGTCTCTGTCGGCTCTGCTGCTGTTGTTGTTGTCACTGCTGTTGTTGTTGGTTGGTGGTGAACGTGGCCGAGGCGTCGAAACTGAACGTGCCCAAGATCCTGCTGCCGTACGCGGGCGCCTCGCAGATCAACTACACATTGGAGGCGGAGAGCGGCTGCTACAGATGGTGTGTATGTGCATCTTTCATGTGTATGTGCATCTTTCATTCATCGCGATCGGTTAACCCCCCTCACTAACAACTGGGCTGGGTCTGTCGTCGTGACCTGTAGGGTTGGTGCACCTAGCCTGGCACCAACCGCCGTGGTGCCGGCACTTGGTGTTGTTGTGGTGTGTTGTGTCAACTGCGTCTCGCGTAGTCTAACCCGTCCTGTTGTACACTCGTGTGTTTGTGTATTCCCAATGTCACCCTACACGTGTGTGTGTGTGTGTACAGTACGGTGTTACCCATCCGTCACGGTCATCTGTTTACAGTGTTTAATGTCTGTGTCCCTAATGGTGTACACTGTATACACACACACGTGTGTGTGTACAGTACGGTATTGTCCACCCCACGTGTGTGTACAGTACTGCACAATTCTCTCTTTGTACACCCCGCGTGTAACTTGCGAGATAAGTATGCCACTTATAGGCATCTCTGTTACTCCATCTCTGCTATAACGAGACACTCGAGTGCTTTGCTGCGTGGTGTGAAATATTTATCGACACTACAATCGCATTCGACACGGGTTTACGCCAGCGGCTAAATGGGACACGCGTGTCAAGAAGCAGTGAAGAAACTGGGCAATATATGTTAGATTTGAAGCTTTCGTGACTGCAATGATTCATATTCTTAGGTTTTTTCGGTAAAGTCACGTAGGTAAAAAACATTGAAAAGTTAAATAAAATAAAAATCACGACGTTTCGGAGGCAACACAAGCTTCCGTCTTCAGGTGGTACCGTCACAGCCACGACAGCTGTATCAAGTAAATGGTAGCTTCTGCAATCTCTCTTTTAATGTTTTTTACCTACGTGACTTTACCGAAAAAACCCAAGAATAACAATATATGTTGTTGACTTAAAGCTTTCGTGACTGCAGGAATTAATATATGGTTTTAAATAGAATATAGGAAGTCGGCGAGAAAGATAAGTGGAAGGTTTTGAGCACAAGCTTGAGGAGTGGTAAGAGAAGCGTTAGCGCGAAACTGATGGGGGAGTAAAGAAGATTCCAAACTAACGGGGGTCGTGGGGGTCAGCAGAGTATAATTAGCGACCTGCCACTGATATTTCGTTGACTGAGCTCGCTTAAGCCAGTCTTCCGAGTTAATTATTATTTTAGCACGATACGTTGAAGACCGCCTATGAAAGGTGAATTCAAGTTCATTTATTAGGTATAGCCCTGTGAGCCATTCGACTCTTGAATCGGATGCAACCGCAACAAACAAAAAACAAAAACATGAACAAGAAAACATCTTAATGTGACTATGTGCAAACAGAAAATCCAAGAAAAGACAGGAAAATATTCCACAAAAAGCACCGTACACCAACGCTGTGTGCAAAAATCCCAGTGGGATGCAAGTCAAACAACAACAACAACAACCACAAGACAACTTAGATTAAGGCCATCAGTCTAACTCTGTACTACAACAAACAACATGGCCAAACCAAATAAAAGCCTGCGAAATGGATAGACATGACTGGTCTCTGCCACAATTTAACTCTGTGTGTAGGTGCACACCATTACGCACTGTGTATGAATGTACAGTACACCACTGCTTTCTGTGTTTAGTCTGTCGTCCTTTCCCTGCACCTCCGATTAGATTAACACGGTTGGTTACGTGCGTCGCGAAAGAAGGTCAACATACATATATCAATTGCACAATAGACCCGGCCCGCTGAGTTCGATAGCCAGCCAGGGATAAAATCGGTGGCTTTTTGATAGCTAAACCAGTCTTGGTCCCCTTCACCAGTGTGGTGAAGTATGTTCAAGCAACTTACATGACAGGGCTTGAGGGGAGACCTTAATCTATCAGTGGCTTGAGACAGAGGACTCTTCAGTATAATTATACAATTGTGCATTCTGCAATGACTTGCAATGTAACTCGAGTACACACAATGACAGTACGTTTTAAATAAATGATTAAGCCACTACTACATATCCAGATGCCTTTTCACCCCAAGATAAACGGTTCTTCTCAACGCTGTACTAATCAGTCAGTGCAGGAGTGACGGCTCGCAGCTGCAGGCGGGGAACTGTGGTCGTGTCAGGACTACGTTGAGTGACAGGAACAGCCTGCTACGTGCCGGAGTCTGTCCAAGAATTGAGACAGATGATTAGGAAATTGACGACGTTCCTTACACCTACAGTCGATTGTCTGGAGTTATGGGTGGGAGTGTTAGCCAGAAACACGGATAACGTAAAACGTTTATACATTAGGGCTGTAAAGAGGTCTATTTCGTTTCTTATGTAGACTGGGGATGAAGATATGTTGTAAAATGGATTGTCTTTGTGTTTGTAACTAATAATGTACCTGCCAACATGCTGTGGCCACTGAGTCGCTGACTCCCAACGAGTGAGAAGCAGCTTTTGTACTCATCTCATTCAAGCGTGGTTAATCCCCAAACAAGGGGTAATCCGCCCTCGGAAAATTGAGAGTTTAACTGTAATTGGCACCAGTAGCAGTGTAGAAGAAGCCGCAGCTGGGTTTAGTTTAGAAATATAAATACGGCCCGTTTGCAATAACACAAGCGTAGAGGGTAATATAATTAACTTATATGTTACATATGTGCTCACTTGGCAGAGAATCAAGCATGAACTCCACGGTGCAATATAATTCCCTAGACTGGTAACTAAATTAAATTGAAGCTGGCACTATGGATTATATATGTGGGGCTATGGGGAAGAATGGTGCAGCTGATTAGCAGGCATCCGTGTCAGAACTGTAACAGATGCGGTGATGGCCACTGGGGGTGTGCCGCTTTCAATCGGACCTGTGATTAGTTATTACAATAACAGCAAAAATCTTCGGTGAAACCATAATTCCATTATGATTGAAATCCATTACGAATGACACCATTGTAATTTATCCTAGGTCTGATTGTAGTGTACGCCAAAGGCTCAATTTCTCTCGTGGGGGTTTAAGTTTCACGGTAGCAATATGGCCGTTAAGAGTTCATTCAGCTCGCGTGCATGGCGGGGCTGAAAAATTACACCTGGTTTGGCGACGCGTGTTGGTGGTGGGAGGCGTGTCACAGGAAGTTGCCCACTGCTCAGTCTTGGCTGTGGCAGGGAAAGGCCTTTATCAGCAGCAAAAGCAATGGCTGAGTAATAGGGAAGGGAAACTTTGCATTTATTTGCGGTTTATGAGCTGACCCATTTCTGTTTCACGGAGTCTGTCTCACAGAAGGGTGTGGCCAGAAGGCATGTATGTATGTTGAACGTCTTTCACTCCGTACGTAGCCAACCGTGCTAATCGGAGGTGCGGTTTGGTGAGCACAACGGAGAGCTGCCTTGACACCTTACAGCCCATGTACAGCCACTGCTGGATGAAAGCCGAATCGGACCTAATCGGTCACTGGGGTTTCTTACCATATTCTAGATTTGAAGCTTCAGTGACTGCAAGGATTCATACTCTTAGGTTTTTTCGGTAAAGTCACGTAGGTAAAATAAATATAATAAATAATATAAATGTTTACCTACGTGACTTTACCGAAAAAAACCTAAGAGTGTCTCTTACCATACTTCACCACATTAGTCAGTGCGGCTTGATCATGGGACCAGTTCAGATGTCAGCACTGATATCAGCCTTGGCCAAAAATTAAACTCAGGTCGCCAGATTTATGGTGAAGTGCACAGGACCACTGCTTTATTGCTCCACCACTGTGATATAACACATTTCTGACTTGTACTGTACAATTACAAGACCACCTCACCCCCCCCAAGTCAGCTGGCGACCTACACAATAATTATTGAGTTGCTACAGTCACCTGGATTTTTTCACAGGAATCGTTTTCATTTTAATACAGCATGACATATGATTGATATCTTCACAATGGTGTATCTTTTTCAGAAAAGAACGTAAGCCACCTAAAAATGTTATTGTTGCCACAATCATAGATGGCCACCATCAAAAATGGTAGCCATCTTGGAAAAATGGTAGCCGTTTATGATTTTTAGGTGGCTAACGATGTTTTCTTATAAAAATGACCCTATGAGAATTTGGTTCTCGAATAACCATTTGTGCGATTTATTCAAGTTTATCTACTTCACTCGTATGTGCCTGAGGCATTCTTGATGTCTGCTATTTTGCCGCCCTCCAGGCAGTCGTCCCGGCCTGAGGTTGCGAGCGTGGAGGCCGTGTACAGCACCGATGATGCAGGGCAGCGGTGCTCCAGCCGCGCCGTGGTGTCGGCCCGCGCCGCCCAGCACACCCGCCTCACCACCATCGTCATTGCCGAAGACACAGGTGGGCAGCCACACACACGTTTCACCTGCTCCCACCTGGTTATTGCTTTCACGGATAGTGGATGGGTCACAAGATTTGAGCAATCTGCCCCGGTCAAACTTTGCTCAATTCGAGGTCACTCAATCTCCGCTACCATCTCCGTTGTCTGGAATCCCTTCACCCTGACCATTTACTTGGTCAAGACACATCTTCTACTCAAGCCCAGGCTGTAGACAAGGATTGAGGAACCTTTTCACTGTAAGAGGTCTAAAAAATTAATCCCCTCTAGTATCTCATTAATGTGCCTAAGATGTTTCCAGTGACAGATACATATTGTTTGTCCTTTTTTATGTGTAAGGCATGATGGGAAGCTCAATCCTTTAGTCAAATTTATCCCTCTTGTGCCGTTTGGAAATCACATTTTGCATATAGAATAATTTTATCATTTGTTGCTAGACTGCACATAAATTTTCTGTCTTATGAGTTTCCATTCATTTACGGAAGTGGTAGGATGTTTTTTTGTTCGTTTTTGCTCGGTACTGTGAAACGTGCGACGTTGTGATAATATTTACCTTACGTGCGCCCGCCACTCTTCCCCCCTGTAGTGTCGGGCCAAGTTCTACGGTGCGATGTGATTGTCGACACTATCCAGCACATCCAGATCGTCTCGACAACGAGAGAACTCTACCTCGACGACTCTCCACTGGAACTCACCATCCAGGCCGGCGACCGCGAGGGTGAGAGCACTCGGCTGTTTGACAATGCCACAGGGCAACCGGAATTTGATTCATGGCCATCGCTAACATAGATGGCGAGTCATGTCTGAACCAGTCCTGGTGCAACTGCCTTTGCGAACACACACTGACCAGCCTTGGTGAAGTATGGTCAAACCACCAGAACTGACTCAGAATGGAGAGGCCTTCATTCAACAGTGGACTGATAAAGGCATTATATTATTAATAATAATTTATAAACACACATTTAGATTATTTGGCTGCAATACATTTCCACATGATAGCTGTTGAGCCCTCATTTGTGACCCACTTCTGAAAAAGAGCTATATAACTCAATGGGCCTTACCTGGTAAAATACAAATAGTTGAGATTAATGTACATTGCAATATCATACATTTGGACCTTTTGAAGTGTTCAAATGTAACTACAACTCAAGATCCTGTACACATTAGGGATACATGTACATTTATCACTTTTTTGTCGATCCACTGCTGGTCAGTGCAAGTTCATGAAGGTGATATTATAGAACTACATTTTAACAGTGTACAGTATTTTGCTGCACCGCCCACTGCTGCCCACTAGGCAGCCCTGCGGCAGCCCAACGCCAGCCGATTCGTGCATAGTGGTCACCCATCCAAGCATTATCTAAGCTTAAACCTGCTTAGCTTCTGAGATCTTCCAAGATCGGGTGCATTCTGAGTGACTTGGTAATAGGCCTTTTGGAGCAATTCGATATAACCTTAATGTTGTTTGTTTTGTAAAATGTTTGCACAAGCAAGGCTTTTCCTTGCTGCTGTAAAGTGACAATGTGACATAAAGTGACAATGTGACATCACGTTCAAATCACTTTTCCACCTCCCTGAATTCCACCTTTACAGGAAACACGTTCACCACCCTTGCTGGGCTGCAGTTTGATTGGACGACCATCAAGGATGAGGAGGTGCTGTCCACTGCCGATGGACACAACGCCTTGCGGTGAGGGACAACAACAGATGCATGAACAGTTGTGAATTGACAAGTCAACAGTTTTTCATGTGTAAATATTAAGTAGAAAGCACTTGCTAAGATGGTCAATGGTGAATGGAGACATCATCTGATTGGAATACAAATTACAATAACTTTAGAACGGAAATGTAGTGTAGGGGCTTGCTAAATTATGATATTCTTTGATGTGTGCTTGTGTTTTACTAACCAGTGCATTTCTGTCATGTTTGTACAATGCTGTGCGCATGCAGATTTCTCCGGTTCTCCGAGGCGGCATACCGGCCACCGGCCTACATCCTGGAGATGGAGAGGAAAGGCCGGCAGGGCGACCGCATGCTCGTGTCTGGCCTCAAGACGGGCAGCGCCCGCGTCAAGACCAAAATACGAGAGCCCCTGTACAAGGTGGGAAACACGATGTGTGCGAATATACAGAGACGAAGATCCCTTGGCCATTTAGACTGTTGTGGAGCAATTGCCACGAGTACCTATTAAGGCATGCACTGCACGCTGAATGTGTGCTGTGTCCAGCACCATGCATGACCACCTTTGTCTTCCTATGTCACGGATGTTGTCGACAGCTGGGAATCAACTACAGGTCGCTGGGTTTTGGTAAATTTCTCGCTCTGTGGGTTACATAATGTCTGGTTTGGTTGTCATGTGACAAATGTCTCACCAGCAGGGCAAATGAGAAGTCACCTCCCAGAGGCAGTTCTTTAGAATGGGGCAGTGCACTGATATGTGAGTGCCACTTATCTATCCAGACAATACCACGGAGTCAAGACTTTTAATGCATGCAACCTCATTTGCTGTTGTTTTTTTACATGGTTACTGAGCAAGGGCCAAAATGTCAAGCGGCCAGTAACAAACAGCACTGTCAAAGTTGTATTAGATAAGAGTTAACATGTTTCTTGAGCAAGGTTATAAGAGCTTGGTAAAAGAGGCTATGTGAGGGAATGTTAAGGTTCAGGAGTGCTTCTTCATTGAGTGTTTGAGCCAGCTGGCTAGGATTGGGCAAGAACATAGTCCACTTTTCATCCAGGCAATCGGAGAGCACGTACTTAGATATTTCTTAACTTATCTAAGTGCGTGGGAGGAAGCAGAAAGAGATGTTGTTTAGTTAGAATATGCAAAATATATGTATATACATGAAATGGTTAAACTTTGACCTCAAAGGAACTGCTTGCCTGTGATGTTTGGCGGCACTTGCAGGCCGTGGAGGCGACCGAGGTGCGCCTCCTCATTCTGGAGAGCATCCTGCTGAGCCCTTCGCACGACGTGTACCTCCTCGTGAACACGCACATCCACTACCACGTGCTCAAGGTCAAGCAGGGCCGTCTCATTGGTAAAACTACCCCCTCCACAGGAGTAACAATATACACAACAGTCGATTTCCATACAGAAAAATGAGCGATTGCAACCGTTGGTGTCGGTCCTACCATCGTACCTTATTGAGATTTCTTTAATGGTGTACAAAAAGCAAGTGGCACCTTTGTTGCTCTATAATAATGCCTTGTCATGTGTCACGTGACACGACTGTGCTGCGTGTATTATGTGCGCACAGCTTTTCCCTTGTGTACTCCTATCTGCCTCGCTGCAGTCTAATGCGAGCATCGCCTCCATGCGGAGCAAGCAACTGTGGTGCATTTTCCAAACGGTTGAGGGTGTGTAATTTTCTTTGCACGCGTGTATATTTTGTTCTGTTTGCCTGGTGCAGACATCCCGATGCCGTCGGAGCAGTATGAGCTGCAGCTGCAGGGCCCGCTGACGAAGGATGGGCCTGTGGCCCGGCTGGATGCGCAGACCTCCATCCTGGTGGCCCAGAATCTGGGGCAGACAAGCCTCCTCCTTGTGCACAAAAGCATCCTCACCCTTTGCTGCGTGTAATGAGATGCCTTTATTAGCGTGTCTGTGACTAATTTCCTCTTAGGACGATTACCAACAGTCCACAAATGATCATCCTCCCGCATACAGCACTCATTAAAGATTGAATTGGCCAATAATCCCAATGTAGATGAAGGACGTTATCATCATCATCTGCCTTGACTTATCCACTGCTACATGAAGACCTCCCAAAACCTGTCACCATCTCGCATGGCCCTGCAATATAACAAGCCACCTAGCCTCTGTATGTTAGCTGTTTTCGTTGCTCCTTTTCTGGAATGGACATAGCCTGGAGCACTTTTTCTTCTTTGACTGACATTCCATTATTATTCTCAACCAATCGTCATCCCTTCTAGCGATTTGTCCTGCCCAAACCCACTTTTCTTAACAATCCCAATGATCTATATGACCATCATACATTTGTGTATATTTAGAAAAGTTGTTCTATAGATTAGTTCGAGCTATATTCAGATAGTGCTATTGGTTTCATGTTGCCATGAGACAAGGAAATAAAATTTCGCAACTTGCAGAGATGGACCAATGTGGTTGGCAACAGAGGGCAGGGCAGAATAATCCCTTATTCTGTACTTCCATTTCCCCACGTCTATGCTCCCCGCCTTAACCAGTCCGCTCTGACCAGTATTGTGAAGTGTGGTCAGATTAACTTCACGTTCTGGACATGCATGAGGAGGCCCTTATCCACCTGTGGCTTTGACAAGAGGTCTGTGTGAGAATCTTTTTTGACAGGGTTTTGTTGACTAGTCATGTGGATTGCCAGCTCCAGTGTGTCTGGCATTGGCAATAGGCGGTGCGTACGATTTTCACCACGTATTTTCTGGGCCATCGGCTGTGATTTGCATACGTCGTATGCTGTACCTGGGACTCCTTGACTCGCCGGAATCAGACATTCGCATGCAGGGCGTCTCGCGTCTCCCCAACTCCACCGTCTACGTGATCGAGGCCGCCTTCCTCGGTGAGCGCCATACCTACGACCCCCGCACCCATAGTTTCCCTTCAGATTGTGTCATAGGAAGGGCGAAACCTTAACAGCGCATTGCTCCTATACCTACGATAATTGCCCAGGAATGTGTCCTTAATGCCCGTGACTGTCACTCCACATTGACCAGCCCCACTCGTTAATATTCATGAGCAGGTGACATCCTCCAAATGGACACCCCCCCCACCCCTCATTAATAATCATGAGTGGGTGACGTCACTCAATATGGAGTACTTCCCCCCCCCCCCCACTAATATGTGCAAGTGATGTCACTCCACATGAACCCCGCCCTCATTAATAATCATGAGCAGGTGACGCCCTCTAAATGGACCCCCCCCCATTATTATTACCTACTATAATGAGCCAAGAAAGTCTGTGCAACGCTCGTGACGTCACTCCCACGTCGACCAGCCCCCATTAATAATCATGAACAGGTGACGTCACTCCACATGGAGCACCCTCCCCCCTCATTAACAATCATGCGCAGGTGACGTCACTTCACATCGAACAGTGCCCCTCATTATTAATCCCTTTTCCTCGGTGTCAACTTACAACCCTCACTACAAAGGCAGAACCCTCACGTCACGCGATCTCCGTAACGCTATTGAGACATCAAAGTAAAAAGGACGTCATGATGAACAAGGGATTATAACCTTAAAATGAAATAGGTCTGTGTCACCGCGCCCTTACAAATTGCACACGAATTGATGCAATGAATATCACGTGGCGGTCTGATTTTCACTTGCAAGTTTCAGATTTACTGCAATACACCCGTCCTTGGACGCGCTAAAGGCTAGTTATGTATATTATATAACTTGGGTGTTTGTTTTTGGCTGTCCAGCATTACCTTCAGCCTTCGTTAATGTTGAAAAAAACCTCACAAAATCCACAAAAGTACCATTGTGATATCTCTGCAATGACATTTTCTGAGTTTCTTCCTTATCAAGACATTATTTCTACCTGATTGACAGTCCTTATTCGTTGACATATACCGCAGTGGTGTCACGAGAGAAAGCTGTGGCAGCTCTCTTGATAGTCCTGTTTGTTTATCGCTAATAGAGCTGGAAGATTTGCATCATCCTTGTACACAAAAACCATGTATATATATCCAACATGAGAGACATTTGTTTTTGTGGGTTTACGTGTTCCATTAATGGGATCAGTGAGGGAGAACGTGTGCATGTGTGTGCGTTGGGTTATATGGGGCGTTGTAGCGTGCTGCATTACAAACTTCGGCAACCCCAGTGATGATTTTCTGCACTAGGTGATGGACCTCCCCTAGGTCGACTCGGCCTCAAATGAGTACCTGGTGCAATGTGTACAAATCGCCACTGGAAAGACAAAGGCGGCCGGGTGTGGTGTTGGCCACCCACCCCCTTGTGTGCCGTGCCAGCCTTCGTAGGTGCACAGCACTTCCCTCAACGGTCTGTTGAGGCTATAAAGGTGGATCTTTGTTTTTTGGGTTGTGTATGTGGCGGCAGGTTTTCTGATCGAGCCGGGAGAGCACTGGGTGTTGGAAGTGGGGCGTGAGTATTGGATCAGGGTGGAAGTGTTCGACAAGAATGGCAACCGTATTCACCTGACCGACGTAAGTGGCAGATGCACATCATGCACATTGCTCTGCGGACCTGCTGTCTTTCAATACAATACCCAATTTAGATTTATCTAGTGAAAAGTCTATATCAGCTTATGGGCTTCTGTGTAAGTCTATGGGTCTCTGTTTGTCATGGTGTGTGTCTCGCTCGGTGTGTCTTTGTGTGTGTCTCTCTCTGCATGTGTGTCTGCCTATGCTGTTCTCGTGTCTGTTTTATCATTCTTACCTGATTATGGTTGCTTGTGATGCAACCGAAACGTCATATTCTATTATTATTTGATTTTATTTTCTACGTGACTTTACCGAAAGAACCAAAGAGTAATATAATGCAATGTTGATTTATTTAGTGTCTTAATTGCAACAGCATCTTTAAGATGATCAGCAGAGACATTGGGCATAGTGATTTGTTTTATTTTATTTTATTTCTACCTACGTGACTTTACCGAAAGAACCAAAGAGTATGGATTCCTGCAGTCACGAAAGCTTCAAATCAAGATTGGGCATAGTCTTTTTTTTGTGGGAGAATGGGGTCTGTCATTGCCAGATGAAAAAAGGAAGGTCTTGAGACTGGACTTGGGTAGAGAGCCAATATGGATGGCTGGGTGCTGGGAGTTCCAGACTCTGGATACAGCAGAGGAGGATGAGTAACCTTCCACTGAGTGAAGGTTTACTGGGGGCTTCCTTTTTACATGTCCATAATATTGCAGCCTTTGTCTCTTGGAACCTTAGAGGTTTTTATTGACCACACTCAGAGCGAGCGCCATGTGAAATTTTCACTCCATTCTGCTTCTCGGATTGACTTGACGTGTACAGAATGTGCGCATCGAGACAACGTTCCCGAAGAAATTCTTCAACGTCTTGGAGTCGAACCTGAATGGGTCGCAGCATCGCGTGCAGGCCCTGCACCGGGGACAGACTGAGGTCAAGGCCATTCTCGCCCACGTCCTGGCTCCGGTGAGTGTGTGAGACCAGAAGTCTCATTTAAAAGGAGGACCTGGATTTTAGTACAGCAAAGAGAAAATTCCATTTTTAAACTCAATGCTGCGAAACACCATTCAATTTTTTGCACGAAAGAATATGTATATAAAGCTTGATCATTATTAAATGCTTGAAATATAACCTTGTTCAATTAAAACAAGGTTAAGCAACTGTTTAAATTAAAAAAATGTCTGTACATTCAATTAAAATTTTCTGAAACATTTGAATTCAGAGTTGTAAAATGCATTAAAACTTTAACTGCCACCCATCCGGCTTGGCTAGTTTCACTGAGTTTTTTTGCCAAGAGACTACATCAAGAAAGTCAGTCACTCAACCGCTCATTCACAATAATTAATTGAAATTGATTCTGAAGCTCACAATACAGACAAGTCTTTTTGATTGGTATAGGTTGTATGACCCCCTGCAGTGGCTGTTGATTCGCAGTGTTGAAAGTGAAAATGTATTCTTCAATTGAACCATAACTCCAGGTGTTATTGCTCCATCCTTGGGAGGGGGGGAGACCTTTGTCCCCTCCAACGATTGATGATTTGGACCAATGTATGTCTTTCTCCAATGTCGGGCACTCTAGACTTGACTTGTCGCCCTGTCTAGTTCGCGTTGTATGGTATTTTCAACCTTTTATGCTAAAATGCAACTCCAATAAGCTGGACAACACTGAATTAAGTACATAAGAAATTTGAACAATTGGATGATACTAGGAGTATTAAATGCAAAGTTATTGAGAAATGCTATGGAGAGATTTTAAATGGAAGGCCATTATCTCCAACGTCTTAGAATAAGGACATGGCATATGGAGAGGGAGAGAGCAGCTCACATTGTTCAGCATTTTTAGAACCACTGTTTACGAATAATTATGCTTCATAAAATAAAATAATGATGAAATTAGGATGATTGTGTACGCGTGACCTGCACTGCGAAATAACTGCTTCTTCACCTCTGCGGCTGTGGAACTGCGTTGTCATCTTGTGCCCTGCAGAATGGAAAATCGCTAGCTCTCCCGCAGACAATCTCAAACCAGCAGGAGGTGGAGATTTTTGACCCTATCGTTTTGCAGCCGCCCCTTCTCATCTACCCGTGGCAGCCCAGCCGCGTGCATTACCACTACACGCTCAAGGTACCTGGGAGCGGTGGGTAGGAAGGGTAGGGGGAAGTTTAGTATTCATGATCACACGTGGTTCAGCTCTTTTCAGTAGTGGAACTCAAATTGATCAAATGAAGAGGTGAACAATAGCTTATCAGACCTATGCCTGTTACCCCTTTTGTACGTCTGGGTTTTACAGGGTGCTCCAGTTTCCTGGCATTTAAAACATTGAAACAGAATTGGCCAAGCATCCCTATGCAGGATTCTCTGGAAAGAGTTTTGGAACTCAGTGATGCATTACTGGATAAATCAATTATTAAAGACATACTTAGTGGCTCGTTTTGTTTAAAACTCATCTTTGGCTACCAATGCGACGACTTTGTGTCAAAACGGCATGTTCGGCAGGAAACCAAGCTGAGACTACCTCTACAATACAGGAACGCCAATGACTGTACGGCAGTCGATTGCCCTTGGTTGATGCTGCCACCAGGTTCTCTCCTAGAGGATCTCATGGGTGGAGAAGGAGGCTGAGGGATCGACCACAAGCTTTGTGACTGCATCAGCTTAACCGTTATCGTTGACGTTTGGGGATAGGAAGGGAGCTCACTTGGGGGCTTTGCGAGAATGGGATCATAAGGGTTCACGCCGGAGGGCGGAAGATGCTACATGCTGTCTTGGCGTATGCTCCCGAAAACCAACACATGCAAGATTGTTTGTGTTACCCCTGGCGCTCTTTCATAATTGAGCCATTGTAATCACCCGTAACCTGGTGGACGGCAACAGTGACAACCTGGCGGTGTGCGCGGCAGGCTGAGGGCGGCAGCGGCAACTTCAGCTGGTCGTCGACTGAGACGGAGGTGGCCACGGTGACGGTGCGGGGGCTGCTGACGACAGCAGATGCGGTGGGGACAAGTATAATCCGTGCCAGGGATGTGCAGAACCCTCTCCATTTTGGCAGCATGAAGGTGAGGCTCTGGTCTGGTAGTCCAACAAAGATTCATATTTCATATTTACTCGGCATGCCACAACTTATCGATTCAGCCATGAAAATAGTCAGGATAGCCTGGTGATGGTAGCACACAACTATGACCGTCGTGGTGCCATACCCTGACTTTCCAGGAGAAGGCAGTACAGCAAATGCGGACTCCACCTGCTTTATCTGTATGGGACAGATTGTTGCCCCCTTGCATGTGTGGGTTTTCTCTGTGTGATCCGGTGTCCTCCCAAATGTAAACACTCATTAATTGTCCATTAACACCTTAATATATAGAGGACTGCAGAGCTTGTGGGGAAAATTGGTGCTGGCTGACCACTTGGCTGTCTTTCCTGTGTCCAACCCGCGTCGAAGTCGCCCTTTGTCTCTCTTCGAGAGTGAGCATATACTGTGCGCATCACAAGTTGAAATTAGTTCCGTTATACATTCATCAAATTGTGCATTTGAGAGCCTTATTTACAATGTATGTAAAGTGTAACCATTCTATCAACGAAGAGTTAGGTGACTCACAGGTATATATCTGTGGCACTCTGCAAGGTGCGCATGCTGGAGGTAGTCCACTTGGCGTTTGGGCGCTCGAAGCTGGAGGCGCGCGTGGGCGCGGTTCTAGAGCTGCCGGTGCGCGCCAGCGGCTTGGTGGACCCGGCCACACGCCAGACCAAGATGTTCTCCGACTGCTCGCAGATGCACTTCATCACCGACCTCGCCAACACGGCCGTGTTTCAAGTCCTCGAGGGTAAGCGCCTGCTACCAGCTTCCATGCATGCCGACACATGTGGGGAACAGGGCCGTGCTAGCTGTGCTCGACACAGGGTAAACAATTGTCTCTAGAAACACGCGAGAGCCCATTAATACACAATGTACAGTGGAACCTCGGTATACGTCGTTAATTCGTTCCAGAAGGTAGGACTTATACCGAAAATGACGTATACCAAACGAATTTTTCCCATAAGAAATAAAGGGAAAAGAAATAATCCGTTCCAGAGGAAAATAAATGATATTTTATATGGCATATTATACATTAATGGGGTTGTATAAAATCATTTAGACACTAATTACTAAAATGCATACAGAAGCCACGTGACCAGCGCTGCTGCCAGCTGCGCTGGTCACGTGGCGTGCCTCAACCCTGCATGTCGCGCGTGCCTCGACTCGGGGCTCCACCTTCCATGGGGGCAGCCCCCCACGCCCCCCGCCCCTCTCCCCCACGCCCCCCGCCCCTCACCCCCACGCCCTCCGCCCCTCTCCTCACGCCACCCCGCCCCTCTCACTTTGTTTCAGTCGTGAACGGGGTATACGGGGGTCCTGTACACGGTGACTCATCCCGACCCATATAAGTTCTAGCAAACGCGTCGTATCCCAAGCAAGACATCGTATCCCAAGATATTTTTTCTCTCGAAAAAACACGACGTATACCAAATTCGACGTATTCCAAAGCGGTCGTATACCGAGGTTCCACTGTATCTCTGTTTTGTAATTTGGCCTTAATTTTATTCCGACTGAGCTATTGGCAGCGTGTCATGAGACGAGGTGTCCACTTGAATATCTCACAAAGCAGTGCTTCGCTCAGTGTTGCAGAATAGCCAACGCAAACGGATATCACTTGAGCTACCTCCTATGATCACTTCAAGTGACCACTGGTCTACATATGAGAGTAGTGTTTGTTGCATGCCAATAAAAGCAATAATTTAACTGTCAGAGCTGGAATTTATCTGAATTAAGTAAAAAAACTAAATTTTAGCGATGTTTTTTTTGTGACTGGGCAAAGCTCACTCCACTTGTTGAGAAGCCTGTTAACTCACACGCAGCCACCTGGATTTGAGTCGGCTCGGCGATCTGATCTCTGAACCACCTCGCCATCTCGACACACTTTGTATCTTGCTGCATTACAGCTTCTGAGATCTGACGGGATTGGGTGCATTCCGGGTGATTTGGTCTTGGTGCCTTCGGTCACGTTCATACTCCAAAGTTGTTGGCTGAGCACACGTCTACTCGTTTCCCCATCCCAGGAAACCTGCCTCCGGGTAATGGCTCCTGCATGACGGTGCGTGTGCGTGCCCTCTCGGCTGGACACACGACCATCAGCATCTCCTACACGCATGGCACCACTCATCTCCACGACTCCATCACCATCGCCGCTTACTTGCCGCTGAAGGTGAGCTGCCCCCTTCCAATTGACGATGCCCGTTTTGAGGTGTAAGATAATTTTTATGATAATGGTGGGAGAAGTGGTGGCACAATGGTTCATGTACTACACTACGGACTCGATGACCCGAGTTTGATTCATGGCTGTAGCTGCCATCAATGGCTAGTGATATCAGAATCGGTCCTAGACGCCCTGCACTTCATAAACCCACACTGAACAGCATGGTAAAGTATGGTTAAACATCCCATATAACCGACATGGCATGGGGGAGCCTTTAAACCAGATTGGATTTACAAATCTAGATTTGAAGCTTTCGTGACTGCAGGAATCCATACTCTTTGGTTCTTTCTTTATACCTACCTGACTTTACCGAAAGAACCAAAGAGTATGGATGTACAAAGTCTGGAATTTATTATTATTTTTCATCATAATAACAATGTCCCTTTTTTTTAGGTATTCATATGTCGTAGCCATGATAACCTTAAGATGACCGATATTGCGTAAAACAAAACTTTTTTCCCGGGGCTGTCCCCCTCCTACCCCAGGTGGTGGACCCGATCTCCGTGGCCCTAGTCACTCTGGGGGCCTCCAAGGAGGTGGTGTTTGAGGGTGGGCCCCGGCCCTGGGTGCTGGAGCCATCCAAGTTCTATGCGCGACTGGACGCTCAGAACGAGGACCTTGTCACGAAGCACGCACTGGGCCACGGCGAGCAGAAGTGGCACCAGCGCCACACCTTCAGGGTGTTGTGCACCGCGCTCGGAGAACAGGTGGGGCTGGTGACGGCAACTGTTATGAAGGGGGGCAAATGCACTGCCAAATTGGTGCCAGGCTCATGGTTTATTGAGAATCCTTTGCAAATGCTCTGCTCTAATGAAACATTGTTGTGACATATTAAGGTTTTAAAGTTACAGTCAGGCACACTATGATAGAAATTTGCATTCTGATTCCAATTGAATATATTCTTAATGTTGGGAAGGGAACATTTTCCTTACCAAGTGCCAAATTTGACTTTCAGATGCCTTTTTGCGGGCGATACATTAATATACGCCTTAACATGAAAATAATGTGCGTTTTGGCCGAGTATAGATAGGTTCCTGTGTAATGACAGAATTGACACTGAAATTAGAAACACAGCACTGCTAGGTCGAAAATATTGTGGCTGTAGGTCGTAGTGTAGCTTAATCTCTACAGGATAATACCGTTCGTCTTTTGGAAATAAAGCAGTGGGCCCACGTGCTGCAAGTTCTCCACCCCTGCTTACATTCACCCCTAGTCAATTACACTGCTTCACTCAAACTCAACTCTGACTGCAGACGATCATCGTTTACCAAGTTACCCCCTCCCTGTGTGCCCCCTGACGCTCGCCGCATGCAGGCGCTCACGCTGACGGTGGGGAACCACGAGAGTGCATCTAACCCGCTGCCCGCGGAGGAGTGGACGCGCACGCGCTTTGTGTGCGCGCGCCCCGCTTCACTCAGCCTGACGCCCGTCTACTTGCCCACGTCCACAGGCCGTCCATGCCCACTCACCCAGCAGAAGCGGCAGCTGGTGAGTGCTTCCTTCCTGTGTATGATTGTTGTTGTTTTGCATCACAGTCTGTAGCAGTCATCTTCCAGCCATCTGCACTGTTGGCTTCCTTCCGGCTGTTCAAATCCAGGCTCAAGAGCTTCCTCTATCTGTCTGCCTAAGGCTGACTGCTTTTGTCAGTGAAATGATGCACACTGTTTTGTCCACCGCCTTGAGTTGCAGTTGCATCTTGACGTTATAACAATCCATTAAGTTGCATTTGCTATCACGGTTGTTTGAACTGCAAATGGATGGTAGGAGGCCCGGAGAGGCAGGCCCTAGAAAATGTCGGAGGGTAAGGAATTACAAGGAAACCTGAGAGGAAGATTAGAGGGCCTTAGAAGAAAAGTGGAGAGTGGGGGAAAAATTATTTTGGATGAGTATGGTTACCAGGTCCGCCCTGCTACAGGTGGGAAACAGTAATGGATGATTATAATGATGTTTGCAATTGCTGCCCCCGCCTCCTCCACTAGGTGCCCATGTCCAACCACCGCGACGCGCAGCTGCTGCTGGTGGCGCTGGACCAGCAGGGCGAGCACTTTGACAACTTCAGCTCGCTGGCGGTGGAGTGGTTCTCCTCGGACGAGAACCTCGCCTCCTTCCCCGAGTCCTCCACGTTGCTCCATTTCCATGAGGACCAGCAGCAGCACGGCACTGGCCACGCCCTCGCATACAGTGAGGCCCACACCACGGGCCGTGGGGCCACCCTTTCTCCCTGGCTTAGAGGACCTCTTTGTTGGTCAGCATGGGACGCCCTCTCGATTCCCATGCAGTTGCAATATAGTCATAGTTTAGTCAAGTCTTAGTTTGTACATTTTGTTCCTCTCTTAGTCTAACCGACTAAAGTAGTCGAACGTATAGACCACTGTTAGTTATTAAATGTTGGTGTGAGGGGCGTGCATTCCGCCCCCCCCCCAGCTAATCGGTGAACATACATAGCCAATAGTGTGTTTGGTATTCCTCAGTGCACTGCAATCTAACAATGTTACTACATGATCTTAGTCTGGGTCTTCTGTCAACCTAGTCATTTTTGTTTCGTCATAGTCACGTTTTGGTAATTGGTGAGTAATCATAGTCATGATGCTGGATGATTATCGTCCACTGTTCCCTTTTTCGATGCAAAAGTCCCTTCTGTGTACTTGAGAGCTTGCACACTTTAATCACATGCACACCGGAGAGGGTTTTGGCTTTGACGCGGTGGCGGCAACGAGCTGATGGGAGTGGACGTTCACGAGTCTCGTCTCCACAGGTGTGCAGCGAGTGACTACCCACCGTAAGAAAGGGACCGTCACCATCAAGGTCTCCGCCAGCACGTACTCGGACCACCTCCTGCGGGAGACCCTCGCTCGGAAAGAGGTCGGCTGCTCGCACAGAAAAAATAAATGAAACTCACGGCACCTCCTTTCACAGCGGTTGAATTTAACCGTGCCTTGGAAAACTACACGTCCCCTGTACATGTTCATGCGTGGCTCTCGATAGGGGTTGTCTGTGTAGTCTTGTGACTTTGGGATGTTTATCGCTGGGCACTTAACGACTCATCCATTCACCAATTAACTTCAATTGTTCTGCTCAAGATGCTATGCTTCGCGTTTTTAGGCATTTAGGATTTTTACAAACCCACTTGTAAATGTTACCTTAAAGTTAATGGAATAAGCAAGGCATAACAGACTACTAAAGAGACAGAAAATATTTCTTGACCAGAAACTCGTAAAAATTATTCAGATTTCTGTGGTTTTTGGAGAATATTTACATGCCTACTTGTTTATTAACAATGATATGTATTTATTTGAGTTTATGAATATCTTCGTCTTTTTTGTACTTATTTATTGTGGTGTGTATCGTTAAGCGCTTTGTGGGCCGTTTGTCCTGAACGTCGCTATATTGCACACACACGTGTGTGACGCGTGTTAACGTAAACGCGCGTGCGCGACCCGCAGGACCTAACACTGCCGACCGTCTCGGCCTCCATCGAGCTGCTCCTCGTGGAGGACGTCAGCATCTCCCCGAACAACCTCACCATCTTCAACCATCCTGAAGCCAAGGTGGAGCCCAGTCTCATGGCACTCCTTGTCTGTAAACTCCTGCCTATAGCTGGGACGATTAGTCAGTTGGTTCACTTGATTACTCGACTCGTGGCGAGCCTTTGACACTTCAAGATGTCGTCGTGGCCACAGCCGTTAATGCCATCTCACCTCGGCAAAGTTTCTACCCTCCGCCAGTTCCCGCAGCTGCCGTACAGTAAACAATATCTGCCCTGACAGTATCATACCACCATCTGGTCTTAGGTCTTCCTCTTGGTCGCTGGATATGTAGACACTACTCTAATGCCTGTCTTGGCAATTGACCCTCATGCATCCTGCATGCATGTCCCACCGACACTTTGCTCAACCTAAAAGTGGACCTAGCCTTGCACAAGCGCTGCGGTGATTTTGCGAATGGCAGCTGTTGTTGTGTGCGACTCATCCCCTCTTAGGTGACACTAACGCTGAGCGAAGGTTCGGGGTTCTTTCACGTCAACGCCAGCGGCAACGACGTCATGCAGATAAATCACCAGGATGTCAACAACGCTGTGCAGGTGTGTGTAAGGCTGACCACTATCAGTTCGCTTTGTGACATTTCACTGTTGTGTGCAAGGACTTTGTTGGTCCTCTGTTGCCAGAGACTTTTGCTCAGTGAACTTTCACCTGGGAATAAATAAATATGCAACACCCACAAACTTTCATAAAAAAATACTTTAAGGTCAGAAGCATAATTACAGTGCTGTAGTGATGTCACAAAAATACTTTTATGGCGCAATTGACGTCACTACAACATTCAAACCTGTGTCAGAGAGCCCAGGACACACATAACCTAGGTGTGTGCACTGGCAAAGCCAGTGGGGGGGGGGGGGGGTGTGGGGTGGCCCGTGCTCCCCAAATCATCCGATCGAAATCCCAAATTTCGATAATTGGGGTTTATTAGTAATAAATCGGCATTTTGCGACCCCCACTGCCACTGTGTAGCATATTATTATGTGCCAGGGACTCTATGAGATGATAGGACAATAGAGTCCATAATTGGCAATAAGTAACGGCAAAGCAGTCATAAGTGACTCGCATAGTTGTGCCCCAGTTGCGTACACAGTACACGACTGCCAATCACAGACGGTTAGAATTCGACCCTCGATCGATGGCTGCGCCATCGCCGCACATGCGTCGAATAAAAAGCAAGGGACAAGTCCTTACTTACTAACAACTCCTGTCATTTTTCATTTCTGGAGGGGTTGCCCCCCCCCCTACCTGAAAATCCTGGCTCCGCCATTGAGTGTGTGTCTTGTGAGACAATATCTATTTGTTATCTGAGTTCATATTCAACTAAAGGTCAGGGATTGATTGACTACTTCAGTTTGAAAGAATGTCTTAATCTACTGAACTACTGTGGTAAACTTGTGTTTGCACTGGATACCACATGCATCCCTGTGTCAAGTCTGGCTCCCATTATTTTCAGAGTCCATATTCTCTTCTCAAGAACTCATGTTCCTCACATTCCAAACTTTCATCGGATCCATCCCTTGCCGTGCGTGTGCACCGCTGCTGTTGATCTCATGCCGGCGCTAAGGCAACGGCGAGCGCTGTTTTCGCTGCTTCTCGGTGTCGCCCATGCCACCACCCCTCACCTTGTCGACTGCAGGTGTGTGATGTGTGCTCAGTGGTGTACCAGAGAGCCCAGGGCGAGCTGGAGGTGAGGGTGTGCGCTGCCCGGCAATGCACACCACCACGGGGGTTTCCGCTCGGTTGCACCCCTGCTCTCACACCCGAGTGTTGGGATAGCACCTCTGTTTAACCACACATTTATTGAGACGTCACAGGTGGACGGTGTGGAGTTTTTTTTGGGGGGGGGGGATTCCTCCAGCGCACATCTGTATGGTACTGCATTGTGTATCCTTCACCCATCATCCAACCTTATGTGGTGGGGCTGTTGATGAACATATATGATGGGTGAAGCGATGCATACATTCATTTTAGGGAGCCTAAAATGATTAGGTTACCTAAAATAGTTCCTCACAGCTAACGCACGTTGTGCCACTTATCTAACTTCGCCCACACAGTGGTTTCTGTCAATGGATGGTGCTGTCCCCTGCTGGTGCAGGGAGAGGCCAGTGTTTGTTTTTGTGTTGCCCATTCGGCTTTATTCAGACCTTACTCCCTCTCGTTGCCTCCCCCCCCCCCCCAAGCCCTACCCTTTGCTGATGGCCCTCTCTCATCTCACTTTACCCCTCCCCATTGTGCCCGTTTGGCAATGCCAGGTGGTGCCCCTACAGCCCGGCACTCTGTCCCTGCTGGTGCTCGACCTGTGCCTGGCTTTGCCGTCGTCCGCCCGTGCCGAGGTCCGAGTCTCCAACATTCAAGAGCTCCTCATCGACGTCCTCGACAAGGTGCCGCCATGATGACCAAGAAGATCTATCGCAGTTGCTCACTACTTGGTGTTAATGTAACATCGACAGATTTTGAACATTTCTATCACTTCCGTAGCTTTAGTCAAGTGGTGGGGAATCCTACGGCCCATGGGCCATATGCGTTCCATGATTTAATTTAAAGCGGCCCAAGGCCACGTGAGGCCTACCACTTTAAAACGGCCCTCAAACATTATTTATCCATCACTGCAAACATCCTAGCCATACTACTCGGGTTCTAGAGGGGGAATATTCAAAACCTGACAATACTGGATTTACAATTGTAGCACCCTCGGTCACTTGTATGAATGTAAGGGCCTCTTGTAGTGACAGAAGTGACTGGAGTATGTGTTGATGTGTGAACCCGCCAAAGAAGTCCTCCTCGGCCATGAGTAAGGAGGTCCATTGTTATTGTTGCTTCGCGAGCCACTGTCGATGTGTTGCCTTTGCTCGGCACGGGAAGGTGGAGATCGGCAAGGCGGTTCGTGCATACGTGCGGGTCCTGGATCACCAGCGGAAGCCCTTCCTGACCCAGTTTCTCCGTCACATGGGGCTCAAGCTGACATCTGCCTCGAATATCCTGAATTTGGAGTGAGCAAAAAAACACACACACACGCATGCACAAACGCACTTTCTTGCTGCAATCTTGTTTGAATCCCACGATTCCACTGTTAAATCTCAATTCCCTTTGATAGGATTGCGCACGCACCCACGCAGGTGTGGATGCACAAGATTGAAACAAAGACCCTCCTTATAGCCTGAACAGACTGTTCGGGCAAGTCCTGTTAGCGAGCACATATGAAGGCCGGCACAACACATGAGGGGTGGGTGGCCAGCACCACGCCTGACCGCCTTTGTCTCCCCATTGGTGATGTTTATACGCCACACCGGGTACTTATTTGAGGCTGACTCGACCTAGGGGAGGCCCATGACCGGTTCAGATAATTGTCAATGGTATTGGCCGTGAGCGGGAATCGAACTCGGGTCGCCGGGTCCGTAGTGCAGCGCGCTAACCGCTACACTACTGCTCCCCAAGATTGAGATGTTTTTGCACTGACCTCACCCCCAGACCCTTGCTGGAGGCCCCTGATGACGTGTCGGCGGCGTACCTGGTACATGGGCTGGCGGTGGGGCAGACCACGCTCACCGCATCGGCTCGGGATCGCACTGGCCGCAAGATCAACGCCATGCCCAGGGAGATACAGGTAAGGGGCGCTCATTACACCTGTGGCACCTGTCCCCACTGGTCCGGCACCCGTTTGTCTCTACCTCTAAACGCAGCCTCCGCCCTGCTTCTTAAAGTGCCCTCATAGTGAACCACCCATGCCGACAGTAGTGCGACATTGAGCGTCTTTTAAGTATGTTCTGTGTTTGTGACTGACTACACAGGTGTTTCCTCCGTTCAAGCTGTCCCCACGCAAGCTGGTGCTGCTGATTGGAGCCAAGATGCAGGTGAGGAGGTTTCGCAGGATACCGCCACAGGGCACAAACTCGATTTTATTCAAGTCAAGGCTTGAGGTTACATTTGGAATTGAAACACACTCAGCTCCTGAGAGCAATATTTTTATACTCTATAATATGAAGGCTTTAGATTGAGACTACAGAGTAAATGAGATGGTGGAGCATCTGACGGCAAGGGTGGTATAATTACACTACCTTCAGTCTCGGGTTGCTGATGAAATTGTGCCACCTTCTCCGCTGCTCGTCTCGTGCAGGTGATGTCAGAGGGTGGACCCCAACCTCAGTCAAACCTGGTGTTCAGACTGGAGAACGGCACAGTGGCGCGCGTTGGCTCGGCAGGCCACGTCACGGCGGAGACCTTGGGCACCACGCGCTTGCTCGGCTCCATCCAGGCCACCGATCCCGACATGCGGAAGGTTGTCGTCTTCTCACAGGTACGCCCTGCTGTGCCGGGACCCAGTCCCGAACGGTGGTGCCTGTGGCCTCGTGTTAAAGTGTCTGCGCCCCATACAAGCGGTGATGGGTGCTCCTTGCCACTGCTGGTCCCGAAGATCTTGGTGACGAGTCGTACGAGGTCATTCTGTCCTTAGCACAACCACCGTTTACTTCCCACAAAGGCACGCTTGTTTTATCGACCCTAGAGGAATGTTGAGTTCAGTTGTGAAATTATTTGAGTCTTCCAAATGTGAGATACCTGCTCTGTCGCAACACCGACATAGCCGAGCCGAGTGTGTGATAATCTCTCTCAATGCATACATTGAACTAGAGCCATAATTAAACATGTACAGTTTTAAGAACCACAGTGGCTGACCATGTTTTGCTACACACCTTCATCAAGCGTACAGCAGTAATTTAACAGTGTCTTGATTTGCATAAACGGTCCTTGCCCGAAGCAATGTGGAATTTTCTCTACGGTTTCAGGATCAGCGACAAGAGATGAGTACCAGCCAGTGGTTATTTACACACTTACATTTTACTTGTTGAGATTCCATTGGCATGCACGTCTTCACAGTTGAGAGCTGCGTTGTTTTTTTTTTACCCCAGGACCGTTTCTCTTTAATCGGAGGGTGGAGTTAAAGAGTTAATGTGCTCCCCTGTCACCTGGGTACTGTCTTCCACTGCAGGACGCAGTTGACGTGGAGGTGGTTCCCCTGCGCGGTGTGCGCATCCACGTGCCGCTCACTCGCATCATGACTGGCTCACTGGTGAGTGGGCTCCAACTTTAGTCGTGCAGCGTGGGGGCATCATGGTACTCTATTGGCCTCCCTCGTGTTGAAAAGTGAAGGAGTGTCCTTGTTTATTTCCTCGGCTGGTATATACCTCGTGCTGATAAGCGGAGGGGTTTGCTTGGTTGTAATGTTGGGTGCTTCAGCTACTGTTGCTAGCACTAAGTGGTTGCTTGAAGCCATTTCAACGTATACCAAATGAAGTTGCTTGATTGTTGTTACCCACATGATTAGTTGAATCTAACATTAGGCAGCATTGCATGTTTAAGTTTGGTTGCTTCCTTCGACTGTCCTTCGCCACCCGCAGATGCCGGTGTACGTGACGGGGCAGGGGAGCGGGCAGACCCCCTTCTCGTTCGGCAGCATCCGTCCAGCATTCACCTTCCACTGGAGCGTCAGCAAGCGCGACGTGCTGGAACTACGTGGCCGCCACTCGGAGGTATAAGAGTACGCGAGACTGCGCGTACATGGGAGCACACCGGACAGTGTGATCACAAGAGTACACTGGAAATTGTGTAGAGAAGAGCAGACGATCATAAGAATAATGATAATAAATATTTAGCCTTGGAACGCACCGCACATTTTTCATTGCACCCGAAGGCTCTTGGGACTGCAGACAAGTAGGAAGACAGCAGCCAGGTGATGAACTGCCACTAACAGTTGCCCAAACTCTGCGGTCCTCTATCAAGATGTTTGCAGCAAATTAATGATGGTTTACACGTGATTGAAACACAATACGTGCTGCCATTGTGAAATTGTTCGCAGAAGACTGAACTGCATTCCAGAGGTCACCAGTTCGTTCTCCCGACACGGCAGTTGAAGCAATGGTGTAAGTTTCTTAAATCGCCCTTCCGCCTCTCCACTCAGCAGTGTCAATGGGTTCACCGCAGTTAGTCAATTGGCAAATCGCGTGTGGTGGAGTAAAATTGTGGGTACTCTCACTTCTTCAAAGACCTCTGACCAATGTGGAAGAGTATTTCCAATACCCTCTAGCGCTCTCTAAAGCTGGGTGGACAGAGGTGGGGGCAGTATTAATAAAAATGTCCATTGTTTCAACTCCCATCTCCATATAGCACTCCCTTTACTGGAGGCCTTCCACCAGCATTGGTGTGAGCAGCTAATTGTAGGGCTGCACCTTTACCTTTGCGCCTTTTGCCTGCGTGCGTGCAGGCATCGCTGCAGCTTTCGGAACGGCACAGCTTCTCGCTGGTTCTGCGGGGCCGCGCCCAGGGCCGCGTCGTACTCAAGGTGACTGTGAGGGCCACAGACCCCAAGGCTGGCCAGTTTGAGGGCGGCGTCCGGGAGCTGACGGACGAGGTGCAGATCCAGGTGTTTGAGAAGCTGGAGATCACAAACCCGGAGGGTGACACGCGCCAGCTGCTCCTCTCTCCAAAGGCCACGTTCCCCCTGCACACGAACAGGCATGTGTCTGATCGTTGACGTTCTCCGTCACTGCAGCAGACGTTAACGTGGGCTTGTGTGATCGTTAGAATGCTTGTTTGTACATATGATGATAAAAATAATAAAAACACTGGACAGCCCTTTGAAATTAGACCATTAACAATAAGCTCGGCCAGCGAGCGACTGTGGTGTAAAATATACAAAGATGCAGACTTCTAGTTTGGACAGGTAAAAATTATTTAGACCAACATTACCATCCGTGGCCTTGCACTGCCATGTGTGAGGAGCAAGAAGTAGAGGGAGTCCATGAAAAAATTAACCCGTAAAAACAAAGTTTTTCACTCTAAATTCTTTATATGCGTGGCGGCTAGAGTCCTCTCGTCCTCTGGCTTGAGATGGCTGCCACCTATGGGTCAGATGATTGTCTGCCAGCATTAAGCAATTGGTAATTAAATATTTTTAAAAAATTCCCTTAACAGTGTAAAATTTTGGAAAAAAATGTTCACGAAAATTAATTGTCACGCACAACGAGTCTGTGTGGAAAATGTCAGCTCGATTGGATCACGGGAAGTGGGTTAAAAAACGACCGAAATATTTGCACGGTCGTAGGCAAGCAAGCAAGCAAGCGAACTTAATATAAAGGATTTAAAAATGAAGCTGAACTTGTTTTGATCGCATTTATTTACTCGGGAAAGCCTCAGTGGGTCTCAACTTTTTCAGGAAGGTTCTGCCAAGTTTCCATAGCAGGAGACAACAATTTGTGTGTTTATCCAAATCGAGAAATTTACAACTGATTTTTCTAATTGGTAAAAATATGGTTTATGCTGTCTGCACACAATGGCCTACACATTTTTCGAATAACATCACGTGATCGCTAACGTCTAGTGTGAAGCAGACGACGCGTAGTATTTTATGATTAATGCACCTACAGTATTAACGAGGTGGGCTTGCCGGATTCGAACAAGCGATTAATGCGCTACCGCTTGGCCACATCACATCTTGGCGGTCGCCATGATCACAGAAAGGAGTGAAAGACGTTGCTTAAGCTTTATCGTCAGCCGCCATGTGACAACCCAATGAAAAGAAGAGAGAGAGAAACCTCCCTGCCTGTGCCCCCCACTCTCCTGCTAACTTGTCCGCTCACACTGCCGCCTCTGCCCCTTTTGCCCAAAGGGACGCGGTGTCTCGCGTGAGCTACCGCGTGCTGGACTGCCCCCTGGGCGGGTCCGTCGTTTCGGTGGACGAGCAGGGACTCGTCACGGCGTGCGCTGCGACCGGCGTCGCCATCGTCGCCGCCACCGCCCAGGAGCCCTTCGGCCTCAACCAGACGGCGGTCATCGGTGTACGGGTGCGTGTATGTGGGGGCCTTGTTGCCGGCAAGCCAGCAGTGGAAGAAGTCGGCTGTTGTGCTGCGTATATCCAATCCGAGTGGAGTGCAGCTTGAATTTACAAAGCACATATTATTGACGGCATCTCAAGATGCCATACAGTGGGGAGGACATTCATTTGGGAAACAAGAGAAAGAGGATTGATTTTAAAAAATTGTTTTGAAACGAGTGTGGTATATACACGTTCACAAATAACACGAAACTTCAAACAATGAGAGTCGAGAACAAGAGTGATAGAACAGGAGGGTCCTGCCATGATATTGCAGGGTGGGGCGATAATTGCTGTTATGTATGATCTGAAATTAGTAATTTGTGGGCAATTTATTCAAATATTGGTCATGATGCCGGCACACAATAGCCTACTTTTGCAAATTACGTCATGGCATCTTTAATGCTCACGAGGAAGCACACGACACGTAGTATATTTGTGGTTCGTACACCCGCAGTGATAACCAGGGCGTTCGCTGGATTAAAACCGTGAACCTTTGCAACATTGCGGCGAGCGGGCTGCCACTGGGTCATGTCACCACTCCGATAACAACATTCAGATAAGAGGGGAACAGTACATACACAACAGACAATACAAAGATTTGGACAAAACGGTACAAACAAGACTACATATTGAACGGATTCATGACTATTCTTTGGGTCTTTCGGTAAAGTCTTTGAACCTATCTACGTGACTTTACCGAAAGACTTTACTGAAAGACCCAAAGAATATGCGGTCACGAAAGCTTTAAGTCAGGATTCATGACTCTGAATTGTGACCTGAAATCACGTCAAGATGGAGGGGGGGGGGGGTTGAAATCATCCCACACCTCCTGGTTTGACTCATCTCTGGAGTCGACCGGTGTTTATTGTTGCCGGGTGGCACACGGGTTGCTTCCGTTGTGCCGCAGGTGGCGGCGGTGGCATATGTGCGCGTGAGCGTGGCGCTGCCGCTCTACACGCTGGGCCGCGAGCCACTGCCGTACTTCCCGCTCGGGGCCTCGTTGGCGCTCGTCGCTCACCTGCACGACAACACGGGGCAGGTGTTCCACTCGGCCAGCCTCGCGCTACGCTACACCCTCAACAGGTGAGCAGCCCGCCATAGTCAACAACAGCTGCTAAGCAGGGGAGAGGTTTCCGCCCAGTACCTACAAACCCGATCGGGGGTCAACTTGACCCGCTATGCCTCGAAATCAGCGGTCCCCAACCTTTTTGGCACCAGGGACCGGTTTAGTGGACGGAAGTGGTAAATAAAATAACGGGCGGGCCACGCGCGGACCCGCCGCTCACCTCCTGCTGTGCGGCCCGGTTCCTAACAGGCCACGGACCGGTACCGGTTCGCGGCCTGGGAGTTGGGGACCCCTGTTCTAAATTGATCAAATCTGAAATAATTGATTCAAACGATATTTTTGTTGACATTAGCCAAGCTATAATGGGCTCCATGTTTGGGATGTGAGGACTCCACATGTATGGTTCTTAGAGGCAGACATTGCATTGGTGAGCATTGGTGACTACTCTACTGAGGAGTCAGAATTATGACAAACTAGTCCACAACAATATATCACTGCTGCTGTCAATTGGTCACATTTGCTCAAATTCTATTGGCAATCTAATGCAAGATAACCATAATGCACTTCTGCAGGAACTGCTGATGGGTTTTTTGCTTGTGCACAAATGGTTGTGTTTTTTAAACTTCTATTCTTAGATGTTTAGCTTTTCTCTTCATTTAAAAATTATGGTAATAATTTATTCATAGTGTGTACAACTTGATGCTCCAATATCTCACTTATTTTCATGATCCACTTGCTTTCTTCTCAAGAGGTGATTCAATCGAGCATTTTGAAAGCGATGGCTCCGTGTCTTACAGAAGAGGAGAGTGTTAAACGATATATACAGTTAAACCTTGGATCGCGAGCATAATTCGTTCCGGAAACGTGTTTATAATCCAAAGCACTCGTATATCAGTTGTGATCACGTGATGCTCGGCAGACAAAGCGTATACACGTACTACTCGTATTTCAAGACCTCGCTCGTTTATCAAATTAATATTTATTAAAAATGTTTGCTCGTCTTGCAAAACACTCGCAGACCAAGTTACTCTCAATCCAAGGTTTTACTGTATCAGTGGGAGACGTGTATTTAAATGTTGTTGTCTGTATGGTTTCTGCCTGTTATTTTAGTGGGGTGTCTGTAAATGGATCGCCATGTAGACGTGTCCACTTTCGAGCGTGATGCTCTCCGCACACGCGCCTCGCGTACACGCGTGTGTGCGTGCTCTCGTGCTTGCGCGTGTGCTCAGAGACGACCTGGCGCAGGTGCGGCCCGGCTCGGCTAACAACACGTTCGTGGCGGCGGTGGGCGGCTTGGGCTCCACCGTTCTCTCGGTGTGGGACCCTGACATCCCGGGCCTGGCCGACTTCCTGCCCCTGCCCGTGGGTCACGCCATCGGGCCCGCCGATGGCCTGGCGGACGTCTCGCTTGGCGACGTCATTTGCTTGTCGACGGCTCTCACGGCCCAGGACGGTGAGTTGCTTCTTCCATCTTTCGGCATCAACGACCCCTCCCATCGCCACGGTGGTTACTGCCTTTCCCCAGTGGATGCTCTGATGTCCATATAGGCCGATCCGGGACATGCCGCCCTTCCCACACACCGCAGAGCCGAATGTGTTTTCTGCCGGTGAGGGTGGGTAGGTATTAAAGTTCCCATTTTTGAAAGTGACTTAAGAAGGAGCTCCGACTCCATATATCTGGGGATGTTCTGACGTAGGGTGAGGTGCGCGTGAACTATAATAGCCTAAACACACACATTAGCTCCGACTAACAGCTTGCTACACCCTGGTTTTTAATCATGAGCGGCTGAAATCTGGATCCGAACCCAAGATCTCAGCTGAGCCGGTTCAGTATCTCTGATGTGGATTTAGCTCTCGGAGCCACCTGGAGCTGATTTTTTAGCTCGACTTGTGAGGAGAGTGGAGTGTGGCAGGACAGAGTGGCCTGCTTTGGTGTTCTTGATGGCACCTCGGCTTGCTGCGTCAAAGCCAAGGGACTTAAGAAATAGGTCAATGGAAAGAAGTGTGAACCGGAGCGATGAGATCAATTCACGTGCAGAAGAGAGATGATTTGTAGCATGACAGAACCCTGAGGGATGGCTGCGGCATGGGTGTAATCCTTCACTCTGCATTCTATGTACAATGGATGATGATGATGATGAAAGATGTGCGATTTTTGTACCTTGCCGCAGGCTCCTCTGGTGTGTGGAGTTCTTCGGATGAGTTGCTTCTCTTCGTGGACGCGCACACCGGAGTTGCAGTCGCTAAGGACGTTGGGACGGTCCACATTTACTACGAGATCACAGGCCTCATAAAGACCTACATCGAGGCAAGCACCACCTTGGACATGTACACACATTTTTCGTTATTTTAGTGTTCAGAGAAACATTCTCATGCCAACAAATATGCACAGTCGCAAAATCCTCAGTGTGTTTCGATTTGTCACTAGAGCCGGTGACACTTTTGGGTTTTCCTTGCAGCAACATTGTGTCATAGTAATGAATGTTGGTCACATCTAGCGACTGTCTGGAATGAGGACACGATGCAGATTTATTAGCAATTCCAATAATGTATGAAGATTATGTAACCGTTAGCTTTTTTACTACCTGGTAAATATCTGTAGAGCAACTTTGAGGTTCATTTGGTTACCCTGTTTGAAGAAATTGGAAATACTGCCCTCATTGTTCAACCAAGGGAGGGTGCTCCTACTGTGCTGCTGTGTCAGTTGTCTGGAACTCTCTTCCATTGCATATCTACACTGCAGACTTTAGATAGATCTCTGTTCATGTCCACACTGAAGACTTTCCTCTTCTCCTCTACCTATGCCTGATCGTCTCCATCAATTCTTGTGTCTCCAGTCCTACCCTCACAGAACAGACACCTGCTTCCATTAGTATGCCCCTGTCTCACGAATTCACAACTCACGTCTCTCCTTGGTGTACAGCATTTCGAGATGCGGTCACTTTCAGATGCAATATACATCTCAACTGTATTGTATACACACCCAATAAATCAATAAATGCCTCACTGCCCCCACCCCCACTCCAGGTTGTGGTACAGCCCTTGAAAAATATCAGGGCTACGTACTTGGGCGCCATGGCTCTAACCAACTGGCCCAAGACGGAGGGGGTCAGGGTGACTGTCACGCTGGGGTCAGGAGGAAGCAACATGAAAGGTAACAAAATGAATCCTCTTGATTATTATTATCAGTCCCAACACTCATTCAATGTTTGGAAAAATACATATAAGGAGAAATATATAACTGCAAAATTCCGTAATGAAATATTATTGGTTATTGCTCTTTTTCTCCCACTTATCAGCGTCATGTCATCACAATACAAAGACATTTGTATGCACTAATACCACCCCATGTTAAAGGCCGGTCTCTGGAACTACTTCCTAGGCTCGTAAATTACTTGTTTACTACATCAGATGGTGCATCTACTCGCGTGTCCTGTACGACGAAGCAGTCAAACCAAACTTTTTAGTTTTAGTCCCCAGAGCTAAAATTTGCCAAAGAAAGTAAAAATCTAATTCTTTTATGATGCTAATCGGTGACTAAGACCATCAGTCAGCTGCTCTACATAACCGACTTTAATAGTGGATAGCTGGAACTCGGATCCTAACCCAGGATCTAGGCAGTGCTGGCTCAAGCATCTCTGATGCAGTCCTTATGAAACTCCCTGAGCCACCTGGCCCCACCCAGGCCCTCAACTGAGGCCCACGCGACTCTTTCTAAGTCTACCTTTCTACCTACCCCCACCTCTCTATGGCCCTGCGGCTGGCTACCTCCGAGTGCTGAACGCAGAGTGTTTCCGTGTTTGTTTCTGACCTACAGGCCAGTGCAGTGCCAGCCAGCTACAGGCCATGCATGTCCCTGCCCTTGGCCAGCAACCTCCAGTGTCACACGCAGTTCAGCAACCCCGAGGTGACGCACGTTACAACGCATGCGGCGTTCAGCGTCTCGCCCGTGTTCGACGTCGCCAACGGTGAGGCCCTGGGGCGTCGGTATGCACCTGTAGCACACGTATGACGAGACACGTGCGTGACAGAAACATGGACACCACATAAATGTGATGCACACACACACACACGTGTTTATCACATGGATGGACGTGGCACACACATGTCCGCAGGAAAACACGGGAGATTGTACTGGCAAATAGCAATGGAAATTGTCGTCCTGTCAACGTGTGCATTAGATTCTAAATGCTTGTTAAAAGCTAGAGGCTGCACTCCTGTAATCTAACACGTGGACTTGGGCAGTGAACACTGCTCGGAGGAATGAAGGCCAGTAGTCGAGTATCGCAACCAAGTGGCAACCAATGGAGGGAACACGTTTGAAAGGACGACCATGATTGGACCGTGAGAGATGGTGGCACCTTAACAGGGCCTTCATCCAGCAGCGAAATTGATTTGTCGCTGATGATGAGGATAATGTATATGGATGTCCATATCATCGTACATCACATTGCTATGCAAAGACGAGCGTGCAATGACGGGAGGCTCGTGGGGTTAAACGACCGCACCGCAGGGCACTACACGTGCGACGTCTCGCCGTTGCCGCTCGCCGACGCCGGACAGCAGAAGTCTCTGAGCGTCGCCGCCACAAGCGTGCACGTCTGGGCGACCGTGCGCGAAGCTTCCTGCGGCGGCGACGGCGTGGGCTGCGATGGCGGCAACGACGGCGGGGGCGGCGTGACTGCCCACGGCACCGCCGTGGCTGTGGTGCCGTTCTTGCCTGCGTTCTACGTGGAGCCGCGGGAGGTGGTACTCTCCGGGCGACATGCGGCAGCGATGTTCACCGTGCACGCCACCGAGGAGGCGCTGCGCTACCTGGAGGTGATGCCGGAGCGTCGCGACAAAACGCGTGCTCGACACGCCGGTGCTGTGTGCGCGCGTGTGGTTTGTGTTGTTAGGCTGGAAAACCCTGGACCAGTTTCAACTTCAACAGTCTCATTGGGAGAGTAAAGGCTGTTAAACAAATGCTGATGTGTATTCAAATTATGTAGAGCAACCATAAGAGATTCAGTGGGAAGTGTGTAGTCATTCGATTGCTTTCTCTGAGAATTGGTAATTTCAGCTACACTTACCCACTCGCTCACCCATGTTTATGTTTGGAGCAATACAAAGTTACATAGTCTCTGGTTTGGAGTTTGTAGCCTCAGTTGCACACAAATGGTGACTGAACATCGATCATCAATTTCCCAGTCAGAAAAGCGACATTTGAAGCTGATGATGACAAATGTAAACAAAGATATTCTAGTCAGCGGTGCTTGGCTTAACTACTTCTTTGTGTTGGTGCCGTGCCCTAGGTGAGCAGCAACAAGCCGTTCGTGCTGGTGCAGCGCAGGAGCCTGGGTGGCAACTGGGTGCAATTCTCAGTGCAGCTGACGGACGACAGCACCGCCCTGCGTCACGTCAACGGGGAGGAGGCGGCAGGGCCGATGTCCGAGGCTGTCCCCGTGGTCTCCGTGAGCTGCTCTGCCACGGGGCAGCGGCAGGAGCTGCATGTTCACCTTGCGGTCGCCGGTGACGCCACAGCCGCGGCATCGCGTGAGCCCTCCACCGCAGCACCACACGTAGTTTAACCGGAATGTGAGTTTCCGATTGGTCCTCTGACAATTTGAAAGCTGAGATGGAAGGTTTGTGTTGAAGCTATTGGTAACTGGCATCTAAGTCTTGAGCATTCGTTATCGCAAAATCTTGTGGGTCTGGTCCATCGCGAATGTGCGCTGATCACACGTAGTAAGCTGTTTGGAATAATACCTTTTAAGTCCTTGGCAAAATGTTGAGGTTGCTGATGTTGAGGTTGTTGAGCAGACGTGGAAAACTGCTGTCAAAATCTATTAAAATATTAATTCTGTCACTTTACACATTTTCTCCGAGTAGATTTGAAGACCGCTTTGCACCTCCGATTAGCACAGTTGGCTATGTACGGTGCAAAAGAAGTTCAACATACCGCTGTCAAAAACGATGACAAATAATGTAAACCTCCATGCTCACATGAGCTTTGGCAAGTGCTCATCCCACGTGCAGCATTTCTCAAACTCGAGTCCTTGCAGCTCCACCACCTCGTGCGCCATGCCACCGTTAATAGGTGCTCGCTAATGACATTCTTCCCAACAAGACTGTTGAGGCTATACAGGGAGGTCTTTGTCTTTGTGTTTCCATCAGTGTCCAGTGAGCCTGCTCGTGAGGGCTCATTTCAGCACCTGATGAAGGGCCACCAGAACTTCCTGCTCATCCTCTTCCTCATCCTCTTGAGTTTTGCCCTCGTCATCATCGGTGAGATCGCAACGTGCGGACAATGGAGCTGCTCTGTTTGTTTGTCTCGTTTGTTTCTGGCGTTGCGTTCTGTTTTGCGGAGCTAGTGTGTGCATGAGTAAAGCTGGGAGTAACACTTCGTGCCTCCTGAATGTCGTTTTAAAGGTCAATTTGTGCACGTTTTACATTATATTCATGGATTAATGAGTGGCAAAGTGTTTGCGACAGCTCCACAATCCCATAAATGTGGGTTCCATTTCCTGCTATGGGCAACATTGGTGGGAAGTGTGATACTCTCTCCACATCCTCTAATTCGACTCGACCTTAAATGAGTACCTGGTGCTGTGTGGTAACAGCAGCAACACCACTCCCTTGTGCACCGTGCGAACCTTAATAGATGAAGTCGTTTGTGTGTGTGTGTGTGTGTTAGTGTACTACTCAATAGTGGCACCGGGGCAGTCTGTGCAGCACCCGGCCTTCCTGCCACGTGGAGCGTCTCCTCTCCACAACAACTCCCCCGGTGAGTAACGGCACCAGCGGTTGTGCGAACCGCGAGCAATTCCATTCACATTAACAATGGGCGCATGTGCGAGGGCTTTGTGAGCGCGTGGGAGTTGGACGGCGGCGACTGATTGTGTGTGTCCACGCAGCCGCCCCTCTGTCGCCGTGGCGCTCCGATTCTCCCGAGAGCCCCGCCTCGCTTCGATCTAGCCCCAACAAGCGACTGTGGAGCACAGAGACCGCGGACTACCTGCACCGGCGTAGTTAACCAGGCGCTGGCCACGGGGCCGCCAGCCGCCGACCACGCACTGCATCACCGGGATGCCTCCTGCACGATCCGGCACAACTGCACTGTCCCCCACCACCACCACAGGCACCGGCCTCCTCCACCCACCCGACACCAAATGGCAAAGCCAGCACTCATTCACGGCACTCACACACAGGCACTTCGTGAGCTTTCCTCACTTAATGGTAATTGAATAGTGTTGTCTTTCTTTATGCGTGTCGCGATTAAGGCAATGCGAACATCGCAGACTATGCTGGCCGGGCCGGTCATATATTTGCAACTGGGGGCTTGCACTTCCAAAGGCACCGGGACTCTTAACTGCTACTCTCAGGTTACATGAGAGTTGGTCACATGGCCTGAAGGCTGGTCACATGGTGGACAGGAGTAAATGTGATAACGCGGAACGACCGATCCAGGTTATTCCCACATTGTTCCACCGAGTACCAACGTTCTACCGAAGGTCAGTATTTTCCCCTCTTATACGGAAAGTTACTGAAGTGTATATATTTTTTTACTGAAAAAGAGAATTGAATAATAATCGAATAATGAATATTGTTGCGTATATAGCGTTTTCGAGCCATGCAACTGTTGCTTTGCGAGTGCTTTGTCTTGTTTAAGTAAAGTTAAATGCTTATCGAAATTGGCTTCCAACGATAATGCGGCCACATAAGTGTGCTTTGGTTTTCTTATGCATGCTATCTTATTATTGTTTTAAGATTGATCTTATTTTTGAAGTGTATTTAATCAAACCTGTGAATTCGGCTTCACAGTACCATTCAGGTTGTACGATTTGGAACTGTGACATTCATTGCAAAAAGAGCCTTACCTAGCGAACCGCTGGTGCCTCAATGCTATTGTTTAGCACAATTTTTGTTTTTATTGCGTTCCACGGTGCGGCTTTCTTGGGTTAACATGTATAATAGTAAAAGCTATGAAGTGCAGGGTTCCATTAATACGGTGGCAATTGCGAAATAATACCATGTGGTTCTGCAGAATTTGTGTTCCACAAGGTGGCCGGCAGCTGTTATTGGAATAGTCGGGCATTTAGGCTTTTCTCCTTGTGTATCAGAAATCTAAACATAAATCGGCTCTAGAATAAGCAGTTGTACTCCTGCCTAGTATGACATTTTATAGCCACCAGGCATGTTACGATGCATCGAGTCATCAATTAGTACAAATTATGTTCATTCATCAAGCATTGGATCGATTACTTTTTGGGGTGATGAAATGATCCAGCGGTAGCGCACTTGCCACTTTTTGGTGAGGTTCTTATTTCAAGCCCTGGTTGATACTCGGGTGTATTATAAATAAGCACCAGTCTGCTTCACAGCGGATGTTAATCGACGTTATTTGAGAGGAGGCCATGTGTGCCAGCAGCACCATTCCAAATTTGCCAAATGAGAAAAATTACCTGCAAATTGCTTAATTAGCATTCAAAGCACCATCACATTAATACTCAACATAAACACTGAAAATTCTATACAATGAGAAAAATAGATTTTTTATTCTTTTAAGTTATATGCAGATGATTTGCTAACGTAAAATTTTTACTTACGGATTTAGAGCAAAAAACGCTTATATAGTGAAATAATACACACGTGAATGTAAAAACTTTACGAAATAATCGATGCCAAAATCAAATGGCGGCCTCCGCTTATCAGTTAATGCCTGTGAACCACATGGTATAGAAACCTTGGAACCCCACTGCTTCTCTCCCGCTGGAGCCGAGACATGGCCCCGGTGAGTGAATCTGCAGGGATTGCGATGGGCACTGGACCACTCCTAAAGCTGCGCGCTACGTAAGCAGCGAATGTGAAGGATTCTAAGTGGGAACTGGTGGGACGCTGGCTCCCTCGCAAAGAGCCATTTGTACGCGAGGGACCAGCTCTACCATAAAACACCCAGGGCTTAACGTCAGCCTAGTCTGCTGTCTGGATCGGCGACACGGAAATTGTTTCCCGCAGCCGGCATGCCACATCCAGTATGTGTAGCCACATGCGGTATAAAACCTCTCGCTACGGCTGTGGCTGCTTTTGTCACACGTCAGTCGATCAGTGACCCGGAAAATATTCAGTGGGAACTAAAGTTTTGCATAAACCAATCCAGGTATTCCTCGAGTTACGAAAGGGATGCGTTCTTCAAAAAACACGCGGAAAATTATATTTCGTACATGGGAATGGCTTTTTCCATTAGATAAAAATAATTAGGGGTGTGTTTCGGACAGACATACTAAACGCCTAACCAAAACATGTACACCTATATCACTTTTCACAATACAAAAATAATAAAGAACATACATTTTAAAACGATTGAATAATAATTTTTTAACAAAAATAACCTTTTCAGGGAACTCTCCAAAACATCTTCATGTTGGAAAGACTGAAAAGGTGATATTGAGGCGTTACTATTGCACTCTGGAGATATACCGTGACGCTGTCGCGGATGAATGACGCATTCTCCCGGGTGCTTCTTGTTTGATCTCATGGCGCGTGGCATGTGAAATTTCGTTTATGCGGAAATTCTATTTCGTTAATTGAAGTGTCCATAATTTGCTAATTGCTGTGAACACGAATTTTTGTAAACCGAACGTCTAAATCGAAGGATACCTGCCCCATATTGAGGATTCAGAACGATTGTAGAGGTGACATTGTGTGTGTGTGCACTGTGCTTTAGACAGCACTGATGACAGCCCTTGGATAAATGGGGCAGCCAAAGATGCCAACTCCCCGTGAGTCATGCCAGGTCCAATGATGTGGACCTGGCATGGCTAACAATACACCAGCCATCCCCACCCCCAGCTGCCCACACTGAGCCTTGGTTGGACTGTTGGTTGAGACAGCAGCCCTCGTGCATGTACGAGACTGTCACAGGGCTGTGAGAAATTCTGCTGTTCTGACATAACGTGTTGCAGCCAATCGGTAGCCCGAACCCCAAACCCTATACACCTAACTCGCAGGGGCTATTATAAAGAAATGTGAACATTGGCCATGGGGCTCTGTCATGTATTAAATGCGTTTAGTATTTGGCAACATAGCATTTACAGTGTACAGGGCAACATTTACAGTTTGAAATGGATAAAGTTTTTGTCATCACTTGGCGTTAAAATCGGCCTTGGTTGCACGGTTACGTTAAACCCATCGCCACAACAATTGCTCATGAGCCCCACTGCCGATTGTGATTGATGCCAGCGGTATTTTTGACGACAGCGTTCAGGATGATGAGCAATACAGGTGATGAGCACTGTGTTATCGCCCACGGGCCTCAGATTTACTGTGAATTTGCAAGTATGATGCCGGGTCTAATCGTCACCTCGACAGGATCCCAGGGTGAGATGTACACCTGTTGTTTGAGCTGCTCGCCACTCGTGTGTGTGTGTGGGGAAGTACGGAGTGTTGTTTGCTCAGGCACATTAGCCTATGTGATTCACCACTGTAAAAAAACGTTCATTTTTGGCAGCTGTTGTTATTCTTAGGTGATTGTTCTTGACTGTTGGGAGATGACCATTAAAGAGCTTTGAAATATCTGCTACAAATGTGGATTGTATATGCATAACATGCCATTGAGAGTCACCTCATACACCTGCCTCATTCAAACCGAATCCCATTGAGCCGGCAAGACTGAATGAACGTCTTACCTTCATATGTAGAACTTCTTTTGCACCATACGTAGCCAACCGTGCTTAATCACTTAAGACATAGCTTTTATTATGGAGTGCTCGACACAGATTGGTTTTTCATTAAATCTTAGGGCAGGTAATTTTCTTCTGCTGAAATGTTTGGGCCCAGAAATGCATTGTTAGCTTTTGCTCACAAGAGCAAATCTGCCCACAATACACTGTGCCAGCAACATGTTATAATTCTACGTTTAATATAAGTTTAGTGGTAATACTTTTTGATGTTTGCAGGGTTTGTTTGTTACTCAACAGCTACTATTCTGTAATTATTCATACACCGATTTTACAACTGGTCCTCAGAAAACATTTCTAAATATTGAATTCTCATCAGGCCCCATGGTGTAAAGTCTCAAAGCCTTAACACTATGCCTGGCCTATATTTGCTATGAAGAAGGGTAATTTCCCAAAACTTCAGCAGTTATATTGTTTATTTTGAGGCCAGTGTTATTGATGCATGTTTTCCTTAATTATGCTTATGCATTACTGCAGCAGTAGCAGCAGCAGCATCACCAAATTGTGTTATTGGGTGGGTTCACGTTAAGTGCGTCTAGACTCTAGAATATTAAGAGGTGTGCAAGTGTTTTGACGTGCGAATGAAGCCGTCTTTTCGTACTGTGATGTGCATCTGAGACCCTTGCTCGAGTGGTGTGGTGTAATACATGTTGGTGTGTGCCGTTTGCTGGGTCTCAGTGCGTGCAAGGTATAGTAACAAACTAAGCGCATTACTGTGTGTTGGTGTAGGACAGGGTAAACCCTTTGCGTAGGGCCTGCGAGAAAGCGGTATATTGTCCAGGTGCAGGGGGTCGCTAGCCCATTACCAGTCATGTCACCATATTTGGGAGGCTGCATGCAGAAGCGGCCACCATTTTTAAATGGTGGATTAATGGACTAATAGTCCCAGCTTTGCTCTTGGTGTGTAAATTATGAAACAGGAATAGTACACAAGTTATAAGGAGGCTTTGTTAATTCATCGTGGCACAGGATGGTAGTCACGGAAAGATGCACAGAAAAATGAGTTGTAAAGACGATCCGTTTTATTGTATTTTTTACAGCATATATATGGAAAGCACATTAAAAAAAACAAAGTTTTCTTCACCGGGTAACGAATTTGTAGAAACGCGCGTCACTTGCTCTGTTCCTTCACTCGGCGATGGGGGGGTGGAAACGTCAACCTTCGGCACTACAAACATCACGAATCAGTGTTGAGACTCCACCACTAGCCACCACACACCCCTCAGAACACACTTGAGGGTCATCTCACGTGGTAGGGCAGCCAAGAGACAGGCTAGTGCCACAGTGGTTTTGATCGCACGCAGTTTCCGCTCCACAATGGCCTCGCTCACCCAGCTTCTCCCTGCGTCACTGTCGGCTCGTTTTGGGCGTCTCCCTCCCGTCCGCGCTGGCGCTGGGAAACACGCTGACAACGCAGACGACAGCCGCTTAGACGAGCCGGCACCGACGGCAAAGCAAGCAAACCCACACGGCACACTCGACAAACTCCTAACCAGCACTGTTCAACATCATCATTAGCAGGCATCTATCCACTGCTGGATGAAGGCCACCTCACACAGTCACAATCCATCCAACTCCTGCACACGCGCTGATCTAATTACGTTGGTCCGCCACGTGCTCTGCTAGTGGAGACCTTGCTATAACTTGCAAAGCCCAACTCCACGTGGTTTTACTTGTATGCTAGAGCTGGTGATAAAGTTTGAGGGGGCTGAGCTTGTCAGCACTAACCACCCACTGCCTAGGCGGTGGGAGTGGCGGGGAAGCATGTCAGAGGTTATCACTTTTACACCGGTGGGCATTATAAACTTCCAGCTTGACATGTGGCGGTAGTGCGCTACCGACCCCTGGACCAGTCAATCACGACGGGGGGTAAGGGTGCATCCATGTGCAGTCGGGCGCCTCACCCATTATCCTCCTTGAGGTGGCAGTAGAGCTCGGCCCGTCCACCAGCACCAGTGACCAGCCGCCCCGCGAACTCCTGGTGCTTCCTCGCGTGCAGCGCGTCCATTCTGCTTGTCCACATGCTCAGCAGCGACACGGGACCTGGCAATGCCCAACACAGCAATCATGTCGCAACAGCATGAAAGGGGGTGGGGGCAGGGGCAAGGGCAAGCAGAGCCGCAAAAAAAACCATAAGTGCAGTGAACGTGGGCATGGGTAGGGCAGTATGGGTGCGAGTAGGGTAAACAGGTTTGAGAAGGATAAATGGAAGTGAGTAGGGTGGCACGCGTGTGCGTATGGTGGTACGGACAGGGGCAGGGCGACACTGGCTTAGGAACGATGGCCCCAGCGAGTATTTACCCCGGGCCTTGTCAAGAGGCTTTGCCTCGTCGGAGGACAAGCGTGGTCGCTTGGAGGGGACCGGCTCAGGAGAGTCCGGCGAGTCCTTGATGAGCTCCGGTTCCGCTGCTTCCTCCTTGTCTCCGCTCCGCTCACGAAACCTGTGGCGTGGGAAGATGACAAGCTCTGGCGATCACGCATTCTCTGTAACTCCAAGCGCTGGGTTGTGAATTTAGACCCCAGGGTCAGAATATTTATAGGACACCCCCCCTCCCCGCCATGATCATTTTAGGGTTCGGGTTCTGACTCCTTTAGGTGAAAATTAGGTGGGGGGGGGACAGTTAAACTACTACACGGAAGTTTAAATATGTTTTGCCGCACCGTGATGCCACAGGATCGGATTAGTATTGTACACGAGTTAAAATACCGTCAGACTGGCACATGGGCCTGAAGGGCCAGCGCACGCGGGCAAGAGAAGAGTGCAGCGGTGGGGGGGCACCTGTCCGTCTCGGCGTCCGGGTCGCGCAGGCCACTCCGCTCGGCGCGCTCCTCACGCTCCTCCTTCTTGCGCTTGCCCTTCTTGCGTTCGTCCTCCTCGGTGGGCTTGCTGCTGCGGCATGCCAGCAGGCAGTCGAGTACGCGCTGGTGCCCTGGCGAGTCCCCCGCGTGCGCCCGCACCAGCGTCTCCAACTCGTTCCACATCAGCCGGTACTGCTCGTCCCTGCGCCGGCGACGGGCACAAGCGCGAATGCACGGACGTCAAACGTTATGGACGCTGGGCCGTAGCGGTGGTACAAGCCCTGCATGCAAAATGCTGCTTTGGGAGGGAGAGTTGGTGGATCGTATAGAGATTGTGAGACCCGCAAATGCAATGGGCTGAGAGGTGGTGGTGCAGGAGATGGCAGTACAAGTGGGGTTCGCGAACCCATCTGTGAAGAGTGCATTGGAGGGCATCCCTGGTTCCCTCCCACAAGAAAAATACATTTAAATATGAAACTGGCCGAACATCCCCAAGCAGGACCCTCCTGAATAATTTTTTGAGACTCCATAAAGGGGTAGGATTAATCTATCATGCCATTATTTGTATTGACTTAGAATAGCATTTATTCATCATCAGCCATGATCTATCCAATGCTGCATGAAGCCTCCGTAAGGCCAACACCTACTCTTGCGATACAACAATCCATCCAGAACACAAGCTCATTTAATCGCTCTATCTCCGCGGTGAACGTACCCCTCATGCGTGTTCCCTCCTTTGTCATTGACTCCTAAAATATTTTGTTTTACACTCGAGCCGACTATGGCCATAACACTGCAGGTTCAAAATAAGAACCACCACACGCTGCGAGTAAAACCGACTACATCTTGAAAGCGATTGCGCAAGAACAACGGGTGCGCTGCCTTTACCGCTTGGGCCCCTTTCCGCGGGTCCCGGCCGTGGAGATGGGTAGTGGGTCACTCTTGCGCTCCATTTCCACAAGGTGGTAAACAACTTTCTGGCACTCGAGCACGTCGTCTTCCATCAGCGACGCCCGTACCACCAGGTTCGCCAGCGGCACCACCTGCTCATTCACCACGACGACCACGAAGTGGCGTTGAAGTCATCACAGCACTTGTGCCAGGCTAAGTGCACCCAACTCATTTACGAACACACGGTCGTCAGGAGTTGTGGTGCCACTGGTACCAGAAGGAGCCATGTCACTGTGTGTGTGCACGTGTTTACACAATAATGGAGTGGTAAACGCACTGCGCTACGAAATTGGTGACCTGAATTCGATTTCCACTAACAGCCAATGTCAGTTATGAATATCTTAACCGGTCCTCGTCCTCCCATAGATCAACTCGGCCTGAAATAAGTACATGGTGTGCTGTGTAAATATTAGCATTGGGGAGACAAAGGCGGCTGGGCATGGTAATGGTCAATTCACCCGTGTGTGTGTTGTGCTGGCCTTCATCGTTGCTCTATAACAACAGCACTTGCCCTAACAGCCAATGTGACTAAACAGGGGGCGTCTGTCCGTGTGTGTGTGTGTGCGCGAGTGCGTACGGCCTGCATGTTGAAGATTGTGGTCTGGGAGATGATCATGGGCCAGTATCGCGTATGTCGCTCCAGCTGCGCTCGTGCTCGGTCCAGAGGGGTCTCCCCCGCGCGAGGCAATGGCCCCGGCACCGGCGCCAGGCGGTTTTCCTTCATGAACTCGCCAAAATCCTGCGTGTGTGGGACACGGGGACAAACACACGTTCGCACAAATACACGTATTGGTACCGACACATATGCACTCGCAAACAACCTGACTCCAAAGAGAGGCTTGGCCCAGCGTGCCGGAAGCCGCCACCAGCCTAACATCAACCCTGCAAGGAGGCCTCGATCAGGAGGCTTGAAAACTCTCGTCAAAGTTATTTTCAACTTTCTCTCCCGGAATACAAAACACAAAGATCCCCTGTATAGCCTTTACAGACTGATGGGACAAGGGCTGTTAACGAGCACCTATGAATACCATGGCACGAGAGGGTGGGTGGCCAGTACCACTCCCGACCACCTTTGTCTCCCCAGTGTTGATGTTTACACACTGCACCAGGTACTCATTTGAGGCCCAGTCGACCTAGGGGAGGATCAGGACTACACACCGTGATGCGGTAGTCGGTGACGCGGCCACCGCAGCCCTCGCTGATGGAGGGGGGGTCCTCCAGGGTGGAGCGCGAGCTACTGAGCACGTGCAGGAAGATCTCCCCGCCATGGCTGCACAGCATGTGCCCAATCACTTTCGTGCCGGACTTGCGTGGCTGCTCCAGCATCACGGAGCGGCCTAACGCAGCGAGGAGACGGAAACGCGTTAGCCGCTAGTGATGGAGGTTCGTGGTTCAGGAATGGCAAGCGGCCCTGGTTAATACTCGAGTCAAAGCGATTTCCTGGCTCTGGCTCAAATGAGTAGAGGCGAGGTTCTACTCTTAACAACCCTGAGCCAGTTGTGGAAAATCCACATTCATATTGCACGTGTGAAACAGCTTCACGGTTTATTGCATTTGTCCAGGATAAATATTCTGAATCTGATGAAGATTCTGACATTAACATAGCAGGAGAGTCAAAAGTCCAACTAGGTTTTGAATTCACAACCTTCCGATTGCGAGCCGCTCGCTCTACCGGTTGGATTAATACTGTGGTGAGATTAACTATGAATACTACTCGCCGCCTGGTTCACAGTGGAACTCAAAGAAACCGGTGCAGAATATACTTGTCTGTGGTACAGCACCTTCATGACCAGCCTTGCTCTATAAGAATGGCACGAACACCAATTTAACTTATTATTTAACTTGATAACTATGAGATATTGGCACGGGTGAATTTCATCACAGCCAGGTGCAGGAGAGCAGTTCTACGATTGAAAACGTACATTTCAGACAATTTAGGATGTTTAATGCAACTCGCAATTGCTCGTCCAAATTCAGTGAGGCCTGGCGTGGCCTGGAAAACCTCAGAGGGTGAGGAATGGCTGGGGAAAACCATGGGTGGCCAGGGAGAGCCAGGGAAGGCTGGGGGTGGTTGAGAAGGTTCAGAGAACGCCAGCGACACACCATTGAGGAGGAAGTTTGTGAGGCAGGAGGAAGGCCGGCTGTTGACATCCACAGGCGAAATGCGGAATGCCCCGGTGCAGTAGTGAAGCTCTTCACGCCACACACATGGGGGTAGCAGCAGCAATCCGTTACAATACCGAATGGCTTACACATTCATGTGGATAGGACTTTTGTCAATCCACTGCTGGATGAAGGTCCGTGTAGGTTGGTGAAGGCAGGGAATCCGTGCATGGTGAGCACTTAATGTTGCACTGCCTTCTGGTGACCATTACGGAGCACAACCATGCAGCCACATATACGACATGCATGGGGGTTGCCCATCTAAACACTATCCAGGCTCAATATTGCTTAGCTTCTGGGATCTGAAGTGAACGGGCATATTCTGGGTTACCATGGTCACATCATGCAACACATAAAAAAAATCCAAATTTGATTCCAATCTTTCTTCTAAGAGTTGTGTCACGTTAAGTGGAAATTATGAAGACTGCAGTTACATCACTGCTATGAGTCACGTGTCGTTCGCTCCAGTCTACTGGCGATCTGGAAAATATCTCCACAGCTGGCATACCACATCCAGCACCTCTCACCCTGGCTGTGGCTGGGACTACTGAAGTTACTTGCCGTTTAGTCCAGCCTATCATTAGTAGCCGCCCCTAGCCAGGCCTCCTTGATAGGCATGGTCCACATTGCTGAGCGCGATGATCCGTAAGCACTCTTGGGTAGCGAGCCCATACTGAGTGAGGAATTAAGCGCTGGCTGTGACGTAATCAAACTTGGGTAGAAACCGATGGGGGTGGGGGCATGGGGGGACCTTGTGGTCGTACCGATGCTGTTTGTGCGCGGTGTGCACCACTTGAGTGTCACAGTCTCCTTGGTGACGCCCTCCCTGCCGCCGCTGCTGCCCGGAGTCAGCGCGCTCAGGTCACCTGAGAGGAAGGGCGCACGAACGAGAACGATCAGCCAAGGTGCACGCGTGTGTGTGTGTGCTGGTGCGTGTGTTGTCCGCGTGAGTGTATGTGTACGTGTGTTTGTTGCGGAACATTTAACAGTTGACTAACACTGAGGGCAGTTATATTAGCATCACTGTGTGGGAATTCAACTTCCATAGTCATGTGGAATTTCCATCAACTGGCTTCCGATTGAGGATAGCCAATGGAAATAAATACTGCCCGATGCGTTTGCATGTGAAGACACTTTCTAGAGTAGTTGATTTGACTTTGTGTGTGAATGTTTTTGTTTTGAGCGGTAGTGTGGGGGTTAGCACACTGCGCTGTGAACCCGGCGACCAGAGTTAGATTCCCACTCACGGCCAACATCAGCCTTAAATGAGTACTTTGTGTGGTGTGTAAATATCGGCATTGAGGAGACATGTGGTTGAGTGTGATGTTGGCCACCCACCCCCTCATGTGCAGAGCTTAATAGCTGCTCACTCAGCAGTCTGCTAAAGGCTACATGGGGGATCTTTGTCTATGTGCATCCACGTGTGTGTGTGTGTCCCTGCGTGTGTTTTTGGCTGTATCTGTGTGCATGTGTGCGCCCCAGTGACTGAATGTTTGTATATCTGTGCGCATGTACGTCCTGCCACGATATTAGCTTTCACATGCACATGCCCTCGTGTGTAATGGTGCGTGCGGTGTGCCATGAGCTGCGCGTGCAACCGCGTACGTACGTGTGCAGGCGTGCGGGCGCCACTCACCGAGTTTAAAAAGCTCGGCGTGCGCGTCGCAATGGTGCAGCAACTCCACGTCATAGTTTGCCGAAGTGTTGGCATGCTGTTCCTCCTGCTCGGTGGCACCGGCGAGGAGTGGGTGAGGGCGCACAGATGCACGCAATCAGCACCCAGAATAGGTGGTCATTGTTACTATTGCGCTCGCTTACCCAGAAAAGATTCAGAGTCTCAAGACCCTTTGATTCAGGAGGGTCCTGAAACTTTTCACAGTAGGGGGTAATGTTGCTGCTGTGCATGATCCCAATTGAGTTCTTTGCAGGTAATATTTCAGCATTGGGATGTTTTGTCCAATACCAGTGACATTACATGAGGGTGTTTTTTAAAGGAATGTAAACCATCACACGAACTCCGGTCATCCTCACACGCTTTCAGATCCGTTTCTGCGGCTGTCTGAAACGCTCGTCCTTCCGATATTAGGAAGCCACTGGAATTATGCATTTTTAAATCTATATTCAAAACTAATTTCTTTAGAACTGTTTTTTGTGTTTCGCTACATACGATGTGAAATAAGTTCAACATACATACAGAACAAGGGGAGAACATACAACCCCACACAGAAAGGCACCCTCATTGGGAATCGAACCCCATTCCTTTTGCTAGAGGCACAAGTGTTATCACTGCACCACTCACCTTCCCGATTATGAGAGTTGTGGTGATAACGGCTGTGATGATGGCGATGGCAGTCGTGATCGCAGTGTCGCATCATTGTGCTATGTGGTGTTGGTGGTGAATGTGATGTTGGTGGGACATGACTGTTGTGCTAGTTATGGTGAGGAGTGGCGTGTAAGGTGGTGGTGATGGTAGTGGTAATGAAGATAATTGTGGTGGTGGTAATGGTGGTGGTTGTGTCACATCCTTATGGCTGTTGGTGATGGTGGTGATGTTGGTGATAGGGGTGGTGGAGAGAGTGGACAAGTTCTGTATCTGGGCAGGTGCTTATGAACAGCTCTGGTTTGGCAACACAGGTCTCACTCCAAGTCAGAAGAGCGGCATGATCTTTTCATCAGCTGTGTAACGCTGTGTGGAAGCTAGCTGGCCTATCATCCCATAAAGCTCCAGGTCTTCTTGACCACAGGTATGCCCCCCCTTCTCTACCCTTGCAAAACGTGGAGACCTTTAAAGGAACATCTGCGCCAGTTTTAAACATTCAGATTGGCCTGCCAACGATCCATCCTGGGTTTAAACAGACAGGATTGTGCGAGGAGCTCACAGATCCTTGAAAGATCTGGATACAGTCCCATCAGTGAGCTCCTCCAGCAGGCAAGGCTATATTAGCTAGGTCATGTAGCCCACATGCCCACCCACCGCATGCCCAAGCAGCTACTATTTGGATGGATAAAATGGGCTAAACAGGCATGGCACAGGCAAGAGAAGAGATGGACCGATGTGGTACAGGAGGATATGGAGCTGAGTGGTCTTGCCAGCAACTGGTACCAGTGGTGTCAAGATCAGCCTCTGTGGAGGCTCGTGAAGGACGCTACTAGGAAATTGGAGGCAGTTTCCCTCCAACAAAAGCAGAGGGCAGAGGAGCAATGCTCACAACAACGAGCGGAGCACCGGGCGGCTATAACACAGCAAATTGGCATAGTGGGGAGCACAGGTGGTGCATCTGCCAATCATCTCAGTCAACCCATAACATCTGGGTCTGTCCGGTGACCTCTTGCCAACAGCAAACTATCCACACTCCATGTGATAATCTCAATGTGCACTTAGCCTGGTACAAGCGCCCTGGTGACGTTGCTGCCACTTAGTGGGGAACGGTGGTTGTTGTTAGTTTACCACGACTGTTGTGATGGCGTTAGTGGTGGTGGTAGTAATGGTTGCATCACCGTCACGACGATGTTGGTGATGATGGTCGTGATAAGGGTGGTGTTGGTGAGGGTGGTGGTTGTTTCACCTTCATGGGGATATTGGTGATGGTGGTGGATGCCAGGTTGAAATGCTGCTGCACCAGCGTTGTCAGTTTGGCAGGCAGGTAGCGCCCGGCACGTACGCTGTACACCTCGCTTGACAGGATCGGAGACAGCTGCACACAAAACAACACACCGCTACAATATGATACAGTGGTACGACTGTTTTTTTTCAGTCGGGCACCAGGATTTGTGGTTTAAAGCATTTTGGAATATTTACTTCTGTCCGAACAACGTATTTTTTTAAAGGTTATAATTGTTGTGTGTATGTGCTCGTGTGCGTGCATGTGCGTTTGAGCGGGTCACGTGCCTCTCGCTTGCGGTGCTCGGACACGCAGCTCTCGTCGCTGATTGGGTGAGTGTGAACCAGCACCAGCTCGCACTGCTGAATCGGCATGAGGCTGCAAACCAGACCGTCACCGCCGTCACCGCCGTCACCACCATCACCGCCACCATCACCGCCGGAAAAACACAAACATCCACCAGGCAAGATTACTGCAAAGTCAAATTTGTGCAAGCAAAGGGAGGGGTGGTGCCCATCCATAGGTAAGCGTTATTGAACTCTATTTTCTGGCAGTCCACATAATAAACTCAGTGTGTGCTGATGGGCCATGCAATGCTATATATATTACGAGTACAGATGTCCTCGGGGCATATTCGGCCCTTGAGCAACCAGTTGCAGAACCCTGCGATAGCCTATGTCACAGATTTGACTCACGTAGGCTGGACTGCAATTGGACTAGACTCCAGGAGATAGACATGTGTAGGTGAAGGTCATCAAACCCAACTCTCTGACAGTCAAACTGTAAAAGACTCAAGACTCTCAGACAAGGTTACCATGGACCAACAGACTAGACTCTCTTCCAGACTGGGCAATGTCAGATTGGTCACAACGCCAATACCATCGGATCCAACGACATCTTAAGGTATGCGGGGGGTGTGCGGTGCTGGGAATAGAAGTGACGCCGGGCACGATGGCACCCACCTGTGATCCGGTGCTTTGGAGGTAGGGGTTAGTGGATCCCATAAAGATTTGTGAACTCCTAATTGTGCTGGGATGCGAGGTGGCGGTACAGACGTGGCAGTACTGACCTGTCCGAGCCAGCGGCCAGCTTGTTATGCTCCTGGATTGCCTCCTGCACCGCCTCCTCCAGCATGCGCACATGGCTGTCCCTGTCGAAGCATCAACGATATGGAGGTTAGCGCAGCGGCAGTATCCGCGAAACTGCGAGCACCATCCCACAATGATCAATCAGACAGCCACAGAGCACAAGAAGACCTACGTAGATAGAAATATTAACACAGGGACACGCATCACAGTAAGAGAAAAACAAGATGTGTTGGTAGCATTGTTTAATTTTTGGTTTGGTGGATGGCTGCGTCACTGCTGGTCTCAGGGAGGGATGTGCGATTGTAATGGTGGCACCGTTGCCAAACGCAAACAAAAATCAATTGTCACATGGCCACCTATCCCTCAAATCCCTTCCTCCCTTGTGCCACTGACTGATTGGGGGTGAGGCCTAGACGTGTGTTGACACAAATCGGTGTGCGATGGCACAGTAACATGAGTGGGGGAGTTGGAACACGGCGATACGAGTCGTTGTGTGTGACGGCAAAGTGACACAAGTGAAAAGATAGCCTGTGTGTGCGAGTCGGTGTGCGATAGCGTGTTGCACCCGCGCAGGCTGGTGATGGCGAGGATGCGGCCACGGTTGGAGACCCGCTCAGCGCGCTCGAGGAGGCTGGTGCGAGCCTCATGCTGCAGTTCCGAGCACTGGCACAGAGCCTCCACTGCCTCCATGACGCCCTGCAGTAGGCTGCAGTACTCGGGCTCCGAGCGCGGGTCTGGGGGCCCTACCATCGCGAGCGACGCCGAGATCTGCGCACAACGTGGAGGCCGGTGGCACAAACGATGGCGGGGGGAGACGATTGGAAGTGGGCGATCGCTCTACATGTGACATTTCATCATCATCGGCCACAATCCACCATCCACTTCTGGATTAAAGTGTGCCAAAGTCATCACCATCTCTCACGGTCCTGCAATGTAATAATCCACCTAGCAGGTTCACACAAGCTGGTTTAATCACCCTGCGTTTGTGCGCGAAACGATTTATCCATTGAAAAATTCATATTCTACCGATATGCGCATTGAACTGTGCATTTAAGTATCTATTGTTACAAATCCATTTACGTTGCATGATCATGGAAATTTGTCAGGGTGCAAAACCTTGAGTGCTGTCTCCTCTTGCACATGGGTTCTCTGGGTACTCATTCACACACATATATAAAACTCTTGAGACTCAGCGAGGCGTTCCTTAATACATTAAATTCTTATAAAATGAACTCAAATTTAAATAATCACCATTCTACCGCTGAAATCAGTGTGTGTGTGTGTGCTGGTACCATACGAATTATTGCGTCGCATGATCGTGAGAGGTGGTGGCAGATTAAACAGGTCTTCATCCAGCAGTGGATAGATCATGGCTGATGATGATATCTCACTCAATCGCTGCTAACGTAATAATATTTTTCAGCCTCTGTCAATCCACTGCTGGACGAAGGCCTCCCAATACCGTGTGGGTTATCTCAACATGACATCCCTCCCGGGACACAGGAAACCCTGCTCACCTGCTGAAGGCTTTGCTCGTCCTGGTTCCAGGAGTTGAGTGACCTCGCCTCCGAGTCGCTGACGATAAAGCGCACCTGGGTGAGCGAAACGAGATGGAAGAAAATGACCGATGAACAGAAAATGGCTACACAATAGCTGTAGAAAATATTACAACTGTTTAAAACTAAACTTGCTATCTTTGGCACTTGCACAGCCTAACAACATGAAGTTTAATATTTCAGTTGACAAAAATGGCAGCCAAAGGAGACAATATGCCTGCTGAGGATGACCACTGTGATAATGGAAGGATGAGATTAATTCTTGTGCAGGAGCGAGACACATTGCAGCATCATAAAACTGAGGGATGGCAAATACATGAGGGGCCTCACCCAGCAGTAGATAGACCATTGGTCATGATGATAGACCATTGGTCATGATAGAGGCCTTCGACGAGGCGCGAATAGATATTTAACCACGGGTGGACAGCTGATACCCAGATTCAAAGGATTATCAATTTAAAGCTTTCGTGACTGCAGGGATTCATATTCTTAGTTCTTTCGGTATGAATATAAAGGATTATCAGCGGTGCCAGCTCCATTTGAGTAACATGGCGGCACAACATTGACACTTGTGCCTCTCAGCAGGAACCTGGGTTTCGATTCCTGACCTGGCTGCCTTTCTGTGTATAATTTGTATGTTCTCCCTTGCTCTGCATGGGTGTTCTCCGGCTTTCTCTCTTACTACAAACACACAATCTCATCGGTGTTGGCCAAACACCCTAACGTAGCAGGACCCTTGCTAAAAAAATGAGTTCTTCAGACTCGGTGAAGCTTCTCCAGGTATACATGCAAAGTGTCTCCGACACATCCATTATGTTCAGAAGCCCCCACCCCACACACCCCAACAGGAGCCACATGGCCACCACCTCCTGCTCACCAACTTCCTGCTGGGGAAAATGTCGTAGAGGATGCGGCAGTACTCGACGGCCGACTCGACGGCGCAGGTCCACAGCGACTTGGAGACGGGCGCCAGTGGGATGAGCCCCGGGGCGCGGCTCTTGGTGAACACGTCGAGCTCCACGCTCTGCTTGCACGACTCGCCCATGTGCACGCCGTGGTCCAGCACCAACGCCGTCTTGTGCGACAGGCCGAACATCGCGCTGCCGGAGGAAACGGAAAACGACAATAATAACAGCAGCAGCCGGCATTCGCCGCTGAATGGCGGTGATAGCCTGACACAAGCGCCGTGGTGACATGTGCGCTTTTAAGGCCACGTGAAGTGTCGACCGCCCGCTAGCAGGGGGTCAGGGGACAGTCCAAGGTGCCGTGGGTTGACTGACCGAGATGACTGACCGATGCACCACCTGTGCCTCCGACTGTGCTAACTTGCTGCGTTTCAGCTGGCATAAACAATGCACGCACACACACGTGCGCGTGCATCGCAAGCAACGTCGCAATCGTCGTGCACGATCGTACACAACGCAAGTGTCGTACACGACAATGCAAGTGCCAAACACAAGCATGGTACGCAACAATGCGCACGTCGTGCAAACCTGTATCTACTACGCATGTAACGAGTTTGAAGCCAGCTCTCATTTCAGTGATCACAAATCAAGATTTCAATTTAATTAAGCAAACATTTACACTGTGGTGAAAGTAGCGGCCTCTAGCGGCTGCAGGGATTAAGTCAACGATGTACAATATATACCTTTGTTGGGCTCTGTGAGCCGTAGGCACGTCTAATTATTCCTGAGAATGCTGAGGTGGGTTGTGATCGTGGTTCGGATGAGCGACGAGGCCAAGTCAAATCAAACGCTGAAGATGTCTTCATGCTGCAAACACGCAATGGGCAGTGTCCATGCCCACTGAACATCCTAAACCAGAAGCCAATGAGTGACAAATTACACGTTACTATGGCACGGGCAGTACCTCTCTATAGGACAATGACCGCTTATTCCCAAAAACAGCGATACTAATTTAACTGACCTCAGTGTTAGGCATTTGGCTTCCCAAACAAAGCTACATTCATATACTCTAAATACCCACCTGGGTTTTCCTAAACCCAGTGTAATGGAAAGGTTAGCCCGATGGCCCTCTCTGTTAAGAGGTCGTGGTTAGCATGGCATTGGTTAAACCCGGTTTGAAGTGTTTCACTCAAAGTACTCCACTGCTGGATGGAGACCTCCCCCGCCGTTCGGTGTCAGTAACTCGAGCCGCTTGACCGTACATCAACCACGCAGGTCAGTGGGGGGGTTTGTAAAGTTGTTGAGCGATTCCCAGGGCCCGTTGAGCTACACCATTGGAACCTCCTTTGCCAGTAGCAAAATATAATAATTTTTTTACCCTTTTATCTGGCAACAAAATTGACACCTTTTTTTACAAGGAGTCATGTTTGCATTGAGCACAATACCTGCGGTCGGAATGTAAACAAAAAACACACAACTCTGATAATGATATGCACTGTCCTTGAAATTGATTGGTCCACACCCGAGACAGCTTTTCTTAGAGCCTAGTCTCACATGGTGTTGGACCAGATGACGCCAAAAGGCGCACAACTCAAAGACAATGCACCATCAGAGTATGAGAGCTCGGGGTAATAATTTACACCATTGGAACCTCCTTTGCCAGTAGCAAAATTGCATACATCAGAGTTGTGTTGTTTTTTGTTTGCATTCCGACCGCAGGTATTGTGGTCAATGCAAGCATGGCTCCTTGTAAAAAAAGGTGTCGGTTTTGTTGCCAGATAAAAGGGTAAAAAAACAATTATCAAGATTAATTTGGAGCTTTCGTGACTGCAGGAATTACTCTTTGGTTCTTTCGGTAAAGTCACGTATAAAGATAAAATAATAAATAAATAGATACATGCCTATGTGTGTTCTCTCTCTATGTATCTTGATATTCTGTCTGCTTATATGTCTGTCTATAGTTTTCTGGCTAGATTTTTGTTGCTATTTCATTTATACCTGATGATGATTGCTTGTGTTGCAATCGAAACGTCGTATGCTATTTTTAAATTTATTATTTTATCTTTATACGTGACTTTACCGAAAGAACCAAAGAGCAATTATCAAGAATTGGGTTGTACCGTCGGACAACTGCCACTGATGTTAGCCGTGGCCAGGAATCGAACTCAGGCAGCCGCGTTTCACAGCACGAACCTCGCTTGCACCTCATCAAAATATTATAAATATACAATTAACTCGCCGACACGTCACAAGACAATATCACGAACAACAAATCAAGTTACAAGTTACCTTAAATGCATCGACTCTGACCACAACCTCCCTCCACGCGCGGCGTCTCCCCGCGCGGGCTCCGCCTCGCCCTCGGCCCGGCCACGCGGCTCAGGCAAGACCGTAGGATGAGGCCTATCGCGTCGGGGTCTTGTACGGACCCCAACCCCCCGGGTCCCCTCGGTGAACCCCTCGGTTCGCCTCGATCGCCCTCGGCCTTTCGAGGGTCCCGGTGATGCGAGGGGACCCCAGGGGACCTCTCCCCCCTCGTTAATCCCGTCGGGTGCTCGCAGTGGGGGGCTGCGAGCGACTTGTGGTGATGGACACGGAGCGAAGCCGCGGGGGTTGGTGCCAGATCAGAGGGGAGGGGGGATGGGGGGGAGGGGGGATTGGGGGGAGGGGGGATGGGGGGATGAGGGGGGTGGGGGCCTTGACCGGCCTCGACTCTGCTGATGAGACACCTGAATGTCGAAACCGGTTCAATTGTTCAATTGTTCTTTGGTTTTTTCGGTAAAGACTTTACCGAAAAAAAACAAAGAATAATTCCTGCAGTCACGAAAGCTCCAAAATTAAGATCGGTTCAATTGTTTTAAACTGTAACACGAAACTTTGGTTTTAGATATTTTTTTTACCATCGAGTTGTTTTTTCAGAAGCGGCCTCGCCCAAAAAAAATGATAGATCAGCGTATTATGTGGAAATGTACGGCTCTGGCTCCAGCAACAGCAGCAGCACCACCAAATATTCTTCACTCGCGATGTTGATCCAAACATGTGGAGGAGGAGGGGGAAACCCGGAGGGTCCCGAAGACAAATCCACGCCACCACGGCGAGTGAGACACGCAGACTCCAAATATACAGCAGCAGCAGGCGTCTCGGTTGGGATCGAAGCCACGACCTCCTGTGTACCAGGCGAGGTAGTTAACATCTCCTAGCCACCTTAATGATGAGAGAGAGAGAGAGACGCAGACTCCAAATATGCAGCAGCAAGCATCTTCACGGTGCTGGATCGAACCCACCACCTCCTGTGTACCAGGCGCGCGTACTGCGAGATTAACCATTATCATCTCCACCGGCCGTGGTCTATTTACTGCTGGATGAACGCGTCATGATCATCCCCAAAAAAAGAAAGTAACAAATACAACGATTACCTGGTCAAATGAGCATTGAAGCGGTGCGCTTATCTCCGACTTACAGACAGTGATGGAAATTCCACGTGCCCATGGCGGGAGGCGAGTCTAACACAAAGTGTTACTAATTTTATAGACCCCGGAGGGATGATGGGCTTAGTCAACCGCCAACCAAGACTTTAACTCGCATCATCAGCCCAGATTAATGAGTATTCAGTAACCCGAAGATTCCTGCAGTGCGCAGCTCATGGTGATGATGCCAGGTCTGAGGTTAAATAAAATACCTTCCATGCATTGTGGCTATGATCCATCTACTGCTGCTGGATGAATGAGTCGTCATCATCAACACCTTTACCAACCCGCACCGACCGGCCTTGTGAAATATGGTCACGCAACCCCACACGACAGACACGTAGAGAGGCATTCATCCAGCAATAGAGAGACAAAGCGCTCTAATAAAGTGGTGATGCCTGGCCCATACTGTGTAGGTCTCGGCGCCACCTAAAAAAAAACTGACTGCTAATGATGGTTGGTAACAATACCAATCCTATACCTGGCCCGTATCGAGCCCACATCGAACGCATACATAACCCATATCTAGCTCGTACCTGTCCCATACTAAGATCATATACCTGGCCCATATCGAGACCATACTGAACGCATACGTGGCTCATATCTAGATCATATTCCTAGTTTATACCTAATAAACATACCTGGCCCATATCCAGGCTATATATCTAGACTATACGTGGCCCATACTGGTCCATATCTAGCCCATATATCTAAGCCATACCTAACCCATATCTATGCCATATACCTAAGCCATACCTGGTCCACACATGACCCATAACTGGCTCATACCAGGCCACTATCTAGCGGTTCTATGTAATACCTGGCCCGTACCTGGCCCGTATCTGACCCATACCGGAAATGTCCATGGCTGCGTGTCCATCTCTGCCGCCGCCGCTGCTGCTGCTTCTGCTGTATCCATGGTGCTCCGTAGGGTTGCCTGCACATCGATCCCTCCCGCTCCCCTCTGCATTGGTTCATGATGACGCCGAGACCATAGCCTCAGTGCAAGGAAGGGATGGGTTCGACTCCCACTGCACAGTCACCACTGCCGATCCGTGACTTCATTTAAATATAAAATTAATACATTCCAGCCATTTAAAATCCACCAATTGATTAAGCTGCCCCCGCCCGCCCTCCTCCCTTTGTCATGTTGATGATCACAAGGTGGGGGAAGGTATGATTGACCAAATTAATCATTTCGATTTAAAGCTTTCGTGACTGCAGGGATTCATATTCTTGGATATTTCGGTAAAGTCACGTGAATTTACCGAAAGATCCAATAATACAAATTAACCATACTTCTCCACGCTGGTTAGCTCGGGTTGATGGATGGGAAGGACAGGACCGGTTTTTATATCACCCACCACCGATGTCACAGCCGTGGCTCGGAATCCAACTCGGGTTGCCGGGTTAATTTCTCAGCGCTCTAACCACTGCGCCTCCGCTCCGCCCGCTAGACCGCGTGCTCCAGCGATAGGGCGTTGGCCGCTTGCGTTCCAGAGGTTCGAATCCAGGGGCCACCCTAGTTATCACTGCGGATGCAACCACCATGATTCTGTTAATAGCACGCGCAGTCTGTTACACACTGATACGTTGTAGAGCCTGTGACGTCTTTCGCACGAGTAGGCCCATAGCCTGTCAACCCATACGACGGTTTATCCCGTATTCTTGTGCAGGGAAATTTAGTTTTCAGGTCCATACAGCGTACAGCCGTTTCCGTATGGGCAAAACAAAATGTGTCTTATTTGTTTGCGTTTCTCCCTTGTGATGGGACTTTGTAGATTGAACGTTGAGATGTATAAGGGGCACGGGGTGATCAATAAGGTCTGCATTGGTCTGTAATAAGGTAGGGCACTGATAAGGGGCCGTCCATAAATGACGTCACGCGATTTTGGACGATTTTTGACCCCCCCCCTCGTCACACGGCGTCACAAAAAGTCAGACCCCCCTCAAACATGACGTCACAAAGCTCCCCCCCCCAAAATAAAACATGGTTCAAATCGCTTTAAACTATTGCCATTGTAGTACGTATTTAATGTGGCGCTGCACTCTGATGTTGTAGGAGAAAACATTTATTTAAAAGTGTATTTAATTAAGTAGAACGTGTTGTCTATATTTATTTAAAGTTGCGCATTTTGATGTGACGTCACATTTCTCAAACCCCCCCCCGCTCGTCACACATCGTCACAAATATCTGACCCCCCCCCCCCCTAGGTGCGTGACGTCATTTATGGACGGCCCCCAAAGCAATCATAACCGTATCGGTGCTGCATGTATTATTTTCAACAAATCGATCTAAGCCTGTCCTGGATTCTCACTCCATCCCGACCCCCGTGACCACCCACAACGCCCCGCTCCCTTCCGCCACGTTCACAAACCCGCACTGACCAGCGTGGTGAAGTATGGTCAAACAATCCATTCCCTCCCCGGTGACCGACACCGCGTGGGTCGTGATGCCTTCATCTGACGGTGAATTAACAACGGGAATAAATACCGTATTCTCTAGATAATATATATACCTCGATGGTCATACATACCGTATATCCTCCTCTTACACCCCGTATTTAAAACATCGTTGGATAGGGTGTGTGTGTCTGTGTGCGTGTGGAGCGGTGGTGTAGTGGTTAGTACGCTGCGCTACAAACCCAGAGTTCGATTCCCGCTCACGGCCAACACCAGCAACGATTATCTTGCACCGGGTCCCTGGGGCCCCTCCCCACTAGGTCGACTCGGCCTAAAATGAGTACCCGGTGCGGTGTGTGGTAAACATTGCCACTGGGGGAGACAAAGGCGGCCGGGCGTGCTGCTGGCCACCCAACCCCCTCGTGTGCTGTGCCAGCCTTCATATGTGCTGCTCGCTAACAGCACTTGCCCCAACAGTCTGTTAAAGAAACATATAGGGAGATCTTTGTCGTTTTATGTATGTGTGGTGGTGGTATTGGAACGCGCGCACACCAGCTCCGGTTAAACTTCCATTACTTACCTGTGCGGGGCGGTTGTAATATCCCTAGCCAGGGCCCCTCCCGGGGGGAGGGGGCTGTGGGGTGTGTGTGTGATCTCACAGAACCCCGCCCCTCGGTGGGGAATTGTATAAAAGGCGAGACCCTGAGAGAGAGAGAGTTCAGTTCGAACAAGTCGAAGAACCAGCTGAAGACCCAAGTCCAGCTAGCTAGACCCTGGGACTCCTCCGACCCGCTGTCCGTCTAAGGGCCGGGCGGAGCAAGCCAGTGGTGCAACCCCAGAGCCTCGGAGCCCGATGTCCTTGTAAGGGCCGGATTCGTGTGGCCGGTGGTCGAGACCTGTGCCTTGGCTGAGCCAGGTCAGATAGTCTCCTGGAGAGGAGGGTCGTGGTATAGGTGGGGAGTAGGCGAGTCAGATTGGGAATACCTCCCTTGAGAGTAACGTGTGAAGAGGCCTTTACCTCTTCGAGTATGAAGCTGTAACGGAGATAAGAGATAATAATTACGTGTTGCCTCTACTTCAACCGTCTTTGTCGTCACGGTGCCCGCTACATATGTATGAAAGACCAAAGCAGTATAACTTTATTGGTGCCGGGCACACAGGTTTGTATTGAAGGTGCCTCTTACTTCCCCTTCTTCGTCCGGAGAATACGGTCATTACCTGGATGCGCGCGCGTGGTACAACGACAAGGTTTGATGGTGATAATGGGGAGCAGCAGAGGACACCGCGGCCAGACACGAAATATGAAACATCACTTAAAGGGTTGCGTTTATTCATTTATTTATGTATAAACCACCCCTCCCCAGAGAGAAAGATATAAGAAAACATAATTCCATTTGCTACTTGAACTTGGTCATTAATGCCATTTTAATCGATTAAGAGCCACAACTCGCGAATTTAGCACCGAGGTAACAAGACATAAAGACCCTGTGTCAATCAATTAAGGCAGCGAGTTAGTCAATACAGCCACACACATTATACAGCATACAGTACACGATTCCTTTGGAATTCTCACGAGAAACACTTTCAAGTCTCTATGAAACGCATCTAATGCCTACATTCAAGTGAGCATTGCTAAAAAAAAAAACTAGACTTAAAACGGGCGTAAGGGGCAAAATTCAATTATAAGAGGCAATTAGCATTAGCATTAATTAGCCTACGATGAGTTCACGTGACAAAATGCCATACTTTGTTAGAGTTCACATCAACAGTGCCAATGTAGTATCATCGTCACCACCACCATCATTAGTATCATCATCATTACTATCACCACGATTACTATAATCATCATCAGCATTACGATCATTACCATCATTGCTACCATTATCACGATTACTATAATCATTATCACCACTAATATCATCACCACCACTGTTATCATCATCATCATCGCCAGCACAACCACATCACCACCACCTACACCGCCCCAGTAAACGTGGAACTTTGGGCCTAAACCAGACGCCAATGTTGGCACCAACTCCGGCCGCAACGTTGCCATGTTTACTGGGACTTGTACCACCACCACCACCACCTGTTCGCAGCAGCGTGGCAGGAATGGAGGGGTTGACTGGGGGCGTGTGTGTGACTGGCGTAATGAATTAGGCCACTCATTCATCACCACGTGAGGCTCCTTTCAGGGCTGGCTGCACGAGTTGCACGCAACCTGCACGAGTCGAAATGTTGAATTGGGCCAGGTGCTCGTTCCGATTAATAGCAGGGGTGGCAATCGAAGACATAGGTAAGTTACCGAAATCAATTACGTTTTTATGTCTATTGTGAGTTCACGGTCAAGCCACGGTCAGATGTAGGGTTAGCAGGTCAGGGTTTAAATGGTTACTGCTTGGGGTTAGAGATTGGAGGTCACAGTTTTTTCAGATTACAGGTTCGGGTTTGTAGAGGTCTTAGGAGAACACAGCAACAACAATAATAACGTGAGCCACGTGACACGTGGCTCACGCGAGTTTCTGAGTTGTCGAGGAGCCTAAACCCAGATGACTTATTGAACCGAAAACTAAACTCGTCTTACTCACAAGCTAGATTTAAGGGCACGTTTAAACCCGACTTACCATTTAAACGCGCGTCTAAACCCATTTCATTTATTCATTCATTCTTACAAAACGACGCGAAACCCAACTTAAATTGCTTAAGATCCCAACGTGAGGCAAACATTTGAGTTTATTGAGCCAAGACGGTTTTAAACCGAGTGTTTAACCCCACCTCGTTGAAAAATAAAAGATAAACCAGGGTAGTGACCCAAACATTGTACCTATTGATACGACCAGAACCTTATCACTTCCTGATATTCGATTGAATCATTGATTGACAATTGAGTTATTGATTGATTGACAACATATGAATTTATTTATTGGTGTTGCGAGGACCTGTTTGGCCATAACCTCTGACCCTGTCATCACAAGCAGCGTCGAGTTTCCTCCCCCTCCTCGCTGACTCCGACGCTTGACCCGACCTCTGACCTCTCCCTAAATGAGGCATCCGCGCTTACTACCACCAGCACTACGACCGCCGTAACCACCACCGTAACCGCCATCGCAACCGTCATCATCGTCGTCGTCGTCGTCATCGTAGTCGATGGGCACGCTCAGCGGGGGGTACACGGCATTGAAGGGCCCTGCCAGCGCACCCTGCACCAGCTTCCTCTGCAGCCGGTGTCGCGCGTAGCGAGCCACCAGCAGCACAAAGCCCAGCAGGCCGAGGGCGGCCAGCACGGCATACACGAGGCTCAGGCGGGTGGCCGCGCCGGCCCGGTGGCGCAGGGCCCGCACCGGTGGCTCCGGCGGGCCCCGGCGGTCCCCCTCCTCGGCGGCGGCGGTGGCGGTGGTGGTGAGGTTGACGCAGCGGGAGGAGGCGGCAGTCGTCGCGCACACGGTGTAGGTGGTGCCGGGCTGCAGCTCTGCCACGCGGTGCTCGGTGACGCCCGGTGCCACCGCAGCGGAGTGCGCACCGCCACGGGGGCCCTCGGCACTGTGCCACCAACGCAGCTCGCTCACACTGCCGCTCAGCTTGCCGCTCACCCCGCTGCTCAGCTTACTGCTCACCCTCCAAGCGACCAGCGCCGAGAAGGAATCAACCTCGACCACAGCGAGGGTCGGCGCCTCCTCTTCCTCTACCTCCTGCTTTACGGAAGAGGCGGCGGTCGCGGGTAACGAGATGGTGGAAGACGACGAGGTGGATGACGAGGTTGATAGTGGGATGGATGGCGATGATGACGTGGAGGCGGAGGACACGTGCCCATGGGAGGCGTCGTCACTCTCGCCACCCACGCGGAGGGTGACGCTGCGCGTATCGGCGCCCTCCGAGTTGAACGCCACGCACGTGTACACCCCCGCGTCGCTCTCGCGCACCTCGGCGATGCTCAGCGTCCCGTCGGCCTCCAGCCAGAACTTGTCGGCCAGCGTGTCGGTGGTCACCTTGTCCCCGGCGGGCGACACCCAGTAGATGGTGGGCTCGGGGTCTCCCAGCGCCCTGCAATAGAGCGTGACCAGGGACCCCGGCCGCGCCGACGCACGCGCCGGCAGCGCGCCGCGCGCGATCAGCGGCAGGCACGCCTCCTGGGGCTCCGCGCCGTCGGCCCGGCGCCTCGCCGCCGCTGCCAGCATCGCCTCGGCGGCCGGCCGGCCCCTGGCCTCGGGAGGCTCCGCGCACACCGCCAGCTCGGGCCGCGCCACCTCGAGGCCGCGCCGGGCCGTAGCGCCGAGCCACCATCGGTTGACGCAGTCGCAGCGCAGCGGGTTGGAGTGGAGGGACAGGCGGCGCAGCGCCGGCAGGGCGCGGGCCACGGCGCCGTGCAGGCCGCCGAGGTCCCCGTTGTCGAGCAGCAGGGTGGCGAGCCGGGGCGCGTCGCGGAACGCGTAGCGGTGCACGAAGGAGAGGCGCGGGTTGTGCGAGAGGTCGAGCGACGCGAGGCTGGGCAGCGACTCGAACGCGTCGCTGTCCACCGCCGCCAGCCGGGGCATGTCCCGCACGGAGAGCTCCTCCACGCGGGACAGGTTGCGGAAGTCGCCCTCTTGCAGCGCCACGATCGGGTTGCGGTCCAGCCTCAGCAGCCTGAGACCCGGCAGCCGGCGCAGGGCCGCGGCGGGCACCTTGGCCAGGAGGTTCCCCTCCAGCGACAGGTCCTCCAGATGCTCCAGCCCGTCGAGCGCAGCCTCCTGGAGCCGCGACACGCGCCACTCGCTCAAGTCCAGGCTGCGCAGCTGGCGCAGCCGCGAGAACGTGCCGTCCGTCACGCTCGCCACCGGGTTGCCGCCCAGCGCCAGCACCCGCAGCCCGGGCAGAGCGTCGAACCAGGCGGCGTCCACCGAGCGGAGCACGTTGTGGTCGAGGAAGAGTGTGCGAAGGCTGTCCAGGCCTGCGAAGGCCGAGCCCGACACACTCCCAATGCGGTTGTAGCCCAAATACAGAGACTCCAAGCCTGGGGAGAGAGAGAGCGACAGAAAGAGAGAGCGAGAGAGGGAGAGAGAGCAAGCCAGCGAATCGGCATGCGAGAAGACAGAGAGAGAGGAAAACAACATTACCCGCGTGGCCACACGTGGGCGCTTGTAAAAGGATTTATTTTTTAAACACAGTTGCTGAATACAGGCCAAGATTATCATCGTCAATACTGCCATCAGCAATCAGCACTATTATTAAAGTTGTAATTAAAGTTCGCGCATTTGTTGAAGTGACCAAGGGGAGGAATAATTGTCAAACGCAGGGCCTCCCGCACTCCAGTCCTTTTTCCCAGTTTTAACTTTGATGTCACGCAAAACGTTGTGCCCGTATGCACACCACGGGAAGGGCAGCAGAGGCGAGGGTATCGTGAATGGGGAGTTGTGTTGGTCACGATGGCAATGGGATCGCGCCGTCCCTCACCTCCCAGCGACTCGAAGCACCCCGAGCGCAGCGCCGCGATGTCGTTGCGCACCAGGCGGAGCTCGCGGAGGCTCCACGGCCCAGGGCCTCCTCCCAGGCGGAGGCCGCACGCGTCGGCCACCGCGCCTCGGGACAGGTCCAGCATGGCCACCTCCTCGTAGCCGCGCATCGCGACGTCGCCCGGCGGCAGCTCCGCCACGGCGTGGTCGGTGAGGAGCAGGGCCTGCGCGCCACCCGGCAGGCGCAGCGGCAGCGCCGTGAGGTTGACCCCCCGGCAGTCGACGGCACGGCTCCGGTTGACCCCGAGGAGGGAGCACGAGCAGAGAGCGGGACAGTCGTCTCGCTCGTCGTGGCTCGGCCACGTGGAACCGATCTCGTCCGCCTCCTTCTCCGCCTCCTCTGTCTCCTCGACGTCCTCCGCCGCTCGTTCGTCACCCGGCGGAGAGGCGGCGACCAGGGCGGCCCCGAGGGCGACCGCCAGGGTCAAGGCGGCGAGCCAGCGCACGGTGGCGGGCATGGTGCCGGCGATGGCACGGGATGCGGAGGCGGGCGGGTCACGAGGCTAATGTTGATGATGATGCTAGCTTGATGAAGGCAGAGATGCGAGTGATGGTGTTGATTTGTGGGAATTATTGCGGAGATGTTTTTCAAGGTGGGGATGTGAGTGTTGGAGGTGGAGATGTTTTTAAATTGGATGTGTGGTCGTGGCAAGGGTTGCAATGTCCCCTGCGAGATACAAACAGACACAGGTCCACCGTTTAGCCTCACAGAGTCATCGGGGTGAGTGCTGTTAGCGAGCTCTTATTTAGGCCAACACGGCCTTTGTCTCCCCACAGCCGATGTAAACTCGCACGAGACCCAAGACCGGTCAACCAAGGCGAACGTCGCGGACCGGTGGTAGCCTTTGGCTGGCCGCGTATCGAACTCTGGTCGCCCGGGTTTGCAGCGCAATACGCTAACCACTGCGCCACCGCTCGACCCCTTGGATTGTAAAATACCTCCCAGTCACCCTCTGGAAATCCATTCTCTCTCCGTAGCTACGAAGATGTGCATGTTCCAACCCTACCCTCCCCCCACCCCCCTTCCCCCACTACCCCCACCCCTCCCACCCCATTCACACGGCTCCTTGGGATGCAATAGCCCCTCACCCCCTATGCAAAAATGCACGTGGCTTTGTTGCGCGGGCGATGGCAGCTGTGGCTGTGAAGGATTGTCTCTCAAGGGGTCATGGGTCACCGAGACTCAAGACGGCGGGGGCAGCCCGAGATGGGGCAAATCTCAACAATACCGACCGCGCCTACACACACCCACACCATCACTCCACCATCATCGCCATCACCACATCATCACACACACATATCCATCATCACGTCATCACTATCACCATCCCGCTAAATCATCAAGACAAAGATCCCCTGCATAGCCTCTAACAGACTGTTGGGGCAAGTGCTGTTCGCGAGCACCTACAATGTGGCCAATGTCACACCCGGTCACCTTTGTCTCCCGAGTGGCGATAGTTACAAACCGCACTAGGATCTCATTTAAGGCTGAGTCAACCTAGGGAAGGCCCAGGAACCAATTCAGATAATCGTCACCGGTGTTGGCCGTGCCCCGGCATCGAACTCGGTTCACGGGGTTCGTAGCGCAGCGCGCTAACCGCTACTCTACCGCGCCCCTCCCAACCACCACCACCACGTACAGCAGCATGCCAATGTAGGACAACTACCATGAACCACCAACAATGCCGCCGCCACCACCACCACACGCGCGCAGACACAATGCAAGCCGCATAAAGACCGCTTTTAGTCCCGGCTTCTCGGCGTCACGCCTTCTCAAAGGGAGAGTCAAAGGGAGAGTCACAACATCTCTGTGCTCACACGAGCGTGGCGCGTCGCTAGTCTTCGCTGGCGGTCCTGTGAGTCGGTGATGGCAATTACACATAACCATTATATAAACGGAGTGGTAGCTCCTGCAATCTCTCATTTACTTGATACAGCCGTCGTGGCTGTGACGGTTCCACCTGAAGACGGAAGCTTGTGTTGCCTCCGAAACGTCGTGATTTTTTATTTTATTTTACTTTTATTAATTTTAATGTTTTACCTACGTGACTTTACCGAAAAAAACCTAAGAATATGAATCCTTGCAGTCACGAAAGCTTCAAATCTAGAATTACACATTCCTATGGCGGTTGGCTGGGGGGCGTTATTAATACGAATGTTGAGCCATTGTTCAAGTCACTGCCGAGATGAAGGCTCTCCCCAGGCCGTGGTCGAATGTTTTACCATACTTCACCACATTGTGATAGTGGTGGTGGTATTGACGATGATACTCATGATGGTGGTTAGTGATGGTAGCAACAATGTAGCGGTATTTATGATGACGATTGATAATGAAGGCGGTGGTAGGATGATGGTAGCGGAGTAATGATAATCATGATGGTGGTGGTGGTGTTTATGATATGATGGTAATCGTGATGATGGTGTCATTATGATCCTAAGCCACAACTTTGCCCGTGCACAATGCGTCCATCCATGATGGACGCTCGGCGATCGGATGAAGATCAACAACTTCTGATCAATCGAGAGAACCAGTAAAGAGGGACAGGGAGATCACTCCGGAGGGGGGCGGGGAGGGGGTTGGGTGTGGGGGAGGGGACATGTGGGGGGAGGGGGACCCGAGGTGCCAGATCCCTCGCCACGAAGCGCGAATGTGCATTTCGGTTTCTCAAATTCCACCTCCCACCGCCTTTGTCTCTCTCCCCTTCATCAGTGAATTCACACGCGACCGTGGTCGACTGGTAAACACGGAACACGGGGGGGGGGGGGGGGATCAAGGGGGGGGGGTAGCCGGGTCTCCAGAAACTACGAGAGAAGCGAAATCCAAGCCGAACTCCTCAACTCCCGATGTCCACGTGACTATAAATGGACGTCTGAATCAATGACCAGCCTTTCGGCTTTCCACACCAAACTTTTGTCAAGCAGCGTCAATCGTTAAGGCACGCGGACACGCGGAGCGGTTTCGACCTTCTGGGTCTCATCGGCCAGAGGCAGAGAGAGAGAGTCAGGCTGGTTAAACCAAAAAAAATGCGGCGAGATTGCCAAATTTGTTTTTGCAAGAGCACTCCCACCGCAACTGTGGGCCCCTGTTCGCCCGTGTGGTGGCGTCGAGTTCCACTCCACCTTTGCGGTGTTTAATAATTAACGTCTCAGGAACAACTAAACACGGCCCGGTAATTAACATAAGCGAGCAATTTGCAGTGCGAGCCGCGAGGACTCTTTGTGCGGCCCCAATGTGATCGCTGCCGTGTTTAAAGTCGAATTTTAAGATTGAAGGTTAAGAGCAAAGTCTTGTGAAATGTCCATGGCCCCGATTCCACGACTAACTCATAGTGGCGAATATCATCGCAACTACCACCACCACTCCCCAACTCTACCTTATATCACAACCATCACCAACATCACCAATACCATTGCCCCTACCACCACCACTCCCAACTCTAACTTCTATCCAATAGAAGCCTCTCCTCCGCAACTAAGAGTCCGAACATCCCACGTGGGCAATCTCAGTGGTCTCCTGTTCCTGGATCTGCCAGATGGAGTTTGGCCAGGAGGCGTCATGAACGCCTTGGTGTGGTCCAGCGTGGTGGAGGGGTAAACCAGCCGCTCACACCCACTGATCTATCCACATCTATAACTTCTATCACAGCCATCACCTCAAACACCCCCATCAGCCTCTCACCACCCCCCTCCCCTACCCCGCCCCCGCGTCCACGCCGCGGTGGAGGCGACAGCTGCTCGATGGATGAGGTCTGGGGACCCGCGGGCTTTGTGGCTCCCTCTCCCGCCCCATTCTCATGCTAATCCACATGGGACGGGGGCTGGGGGCCTGGGGGGAGGGGGGCTTGGGGCGAGGGGACCCTGGGGGAGGGGGACCCGGGCAGACCCTGAGCTTTGTGAACGCGTGAATAGCGCGGCGCGATCTGCGGAGGGGTGTGCAGCGTGATGGGGTGTGAGATGGGGGGGGGGGGCAGTGTGAGATGGGGGGGGGGGTGATGGGGGGGTGATGGGGGTGTGATGGGGGGGTGTGATGCAGTGTGAGATGGGGGGGGGCAGTGTGAGATGGGGGGGTGATGGGGGGGGTGATGGGGGGTGTGATGGGGGGTGTGATGCAGTGTGAGATGGGGGGGGGGCAGTGTGAGATGGGGGGGTGCAGTGTGAGATGGCGGGGGGGTGATGGGGGGAATGATGGGGGGGTTTGATGCAGTGTGAGATGGGGGGGCAGTGTGAGATGGGGGGGGGCAGTGTGAGATGGGGGGGGGGGGGTGATGGGGGGCTGATGCAGTGTGAGATGGGGGGGGGGGTGATTTGAAGATGTGGTGAGGGGTGAGTTTGTGAAATATTTCTGAGTGGTGTATGTGTGTGTAGAATTATGCTTCGTGTGTGTGTCTCTGTGTATGAATGCGCTGCGCTACGAACCCGGCGACCCGAGTTCGATTCCCGCTCAGGGCCAACACCAGTGGTGATTGTCTGAACGGGTCATTGGCCTACCCTAGGTCGACTCAGCCTCAAATGAGTACCTGCTGAGATGTGAAAACATCCCCACTTGGGAGACAACGGCGGCAGGCAGTGGTGTTGGCCACCCACCCTCTCGTGTGCCGTGCCGGCCTTCATAGGTGCTCGCTAACAGCACTTGCCCCTACAGTCTGTTAAGGCTAAATGGGGGATCTTTGTTTGTTTGTTTGTATATGCCTGAATGTGCATGTGGGTCAGTGTGTACTGTGTATGTGTATGAGCGCGTGGTGTTTCTGTATCCATGTAAGTGAGCGCATGGAGAAGGTGGTGGGGGCTGCCCCTAAGTGGAGACAATGCGAAGGGGTCAGCCCCCCACGCTGCCCCCTTCGCCCCCCACCCTGCCCCCATCGCCCCCCACCCTGCCCCCCTCACTCCCTCTCCTCGAGTCCTTAACTCGAGCCCCTCCCCCACCCAGCAGGGGCCGTGTGCCCCATTGTCCTCGACTCCGTGTGCAGGAATGGGGCTTAACGGCACTGCCCTGGAGACTACGCTCCTCCAGAACCCCCTTGCATGAACCCCCTTACAGGGACCCCTTCGCATGAACCCCTTGGCATGAACCCCCTGACACGGGTACCATTAGTGACCCCTTGCATAGACCCCCTTACATGGACCCCCTTGTATGAACCCCCTTACAGGGACCCCTTTGCATGAAACCCCTTACAGGGACCCCCTTCGCATGAACCCCCTGACACGGGCACCATTAGTGACCCCTTGCACGGACCCCTTACAGGGACCCCCTTCGCATGAACCCCGATGGGAATCCACTTGAATTAACCCCCTTCAACGAAATCTCCGTTACACGAATCTCGTCCGTCAATGAACGCTGACTGCGAGAGCACCGTCGCATGCTTATCCCCTTCGAGTGCACGTCTCACTCGATATTTCCCGGAGCGCTGCTCGTAAAGGATTTATCGGCGTAAGGCACTGCCACGAGAGTGCACTCTGTCATCGGGGGTCGTCAATCAAAACAATGACAAGAAGAACCATTTTTGTTCGAATCCGTTAAAACAACAAAACCAAACTCAACAAATTATTTGGATCTTTCGGTAAAATCACGTAGATTGGTTCAAAGAAAATAACCAAAAGTAACTAAAAAAACTACTTATTTTCTTTGAACAAAAGAATGTGAATTCCTGCAGTCACGAAAGCTTTAAGTCAAGATCCAACTCAACATTTCAAGAGCCGCAGTGCACTGTGGTGGTGACCGCGAGACGCCGGTTCCGTGATCAGCAACGGCACGAAGCGGTCCTCGAAGAGGCGCACGCCGCTGTCGGAGCCGCAGGTTGATGACCCCTGACCCCCCAACGCCGTCCACAGCGCCGTGTTATTGTACCCCTCGATAGCGACCATCCTATGAACCAGCTTTGTACATTTTGAACGCGTGGGTGGACCTTTACCTTGTTGTTAAGTGTGCATTGTTGTTGTTGTTTTAGATTTTAAGCTTTCGTGACTGCAAGGATTCATACTCTTAGGTTTTTTCGGTAAAGTCACGTAGGTAAAAAATAATAATAAAATAATAAATGAAAAGAACTCAATTAAATCACCGTCTTCAGGTGGGACCGTCACAGCTAGATTTGATGCAGTAAATTTAGCTGTGACGGTCCCACCTGAAGACGGAGACTTGTGTTGCCTCCGAAACGTCGTGATTTAATTGAGTTCTTTTAATTTATTATTATTTTATTTGTATTATTTTTTACCTACGTGACTTTACCGAAAAAACCTAAGAGTATTGTTGATGTTGTTGGTTAAATCAAGGCGAGATGGATGTGGAGTGGCCGTTTACACAATGACCCAACAGCGTTCCGGACTGTCCCAGCTGAACTTATACAACAAACCTGCATGGACCCAATCCCTGTTAGGTACACGGACTCCCCTCTCGCAGGGGACCAGCCTTGTGTGCACCCCGTTTGAATGAACCCCACTGCGTGTATAATGACACGTGTTAGTAAACGTTGAACGTTGGCCCAACGTTCAGTGCGCTAACCACTGAGACATCTATCCCCTCCCTACCTCCCCTATGTAATACTACACGTGCAGCCCCTGTGGCAATCCACTGCTGGATGAGGGCCTCCCCACGCCCTGGGACTCGTTAGCGGAGGGGTTATGTGACCATATTTCCCGTTTGAATTTGAACAAACACAACAAAGCAACTGGTAAAAACTGTCCCCAACACAGCAACGTTGTTGTTCGTTATCAGCGATGTTAAAACGTCTTGCACGAGCTCTACAACCACCAGATTAACAACGCGCGAGCCCGAGTTGACGTCTATTCCTTCCCAACTCAAGTGCCCACTCCACATTGTCGCGTCGAGGCCGAGTAAGTTCGAGCAAAACACGATGGCGCGCAGAGGTCTCACCTGTCTGCAGAGATGGGGAGCTGTTTCCCCGACTCTCTCCCTCTCTCCCCTCTGTCGCCGTCTCACTGACTTAGCCGGCTCTTGCACTCTCCCTCCCTCTCTCTCTTCCCCGTAAGCCTCCCACCCCCAACCTCAATCGGTGGGGGGAGGCAGTGGGTGAGCCCAGCAGCCCCCACACTTCTCCCCCCTCCCATCCCGTCTGCGACACACGGCTCCGTGTTCGCGGATAGAATTGGGGACTTTTGTGGTTTTCGTATCACGGGACAAAAAAAACCTGCCAGGCGGCCAGAAACAACCCGCACTATTGAAGTTGTAACAGGCAATAAGAGTCAACGCGTTTGTGGAGGAGAGAGAGAGAGAGGTAAATGTTGCACGAGCCTCGGGGAAGAGAGACGATGATGCATTGGGGGGAATTCTACAGCACAAAGTCTACAAAAGGCAATATGGGACATCTTTGTCTTTGTGTTGTTGTGACTTGCGGTGTGGTGGTTGAACGCGGTGTGGGTGAAATCCACGTCAAATGTCTGGCAGACCGAATCCTCGCCGTTGGTAGATTCATTGAGGGAACAGGGACAACGGTGGTAGCAGTAGCAGCTGTAGAAGAGCGATATGGGTTAAAGCTAGGGTCAGGGTTAGTCGTTAGGCTTCGAGTTTTAGGAGTTCGGGGTGAGCGTTTACATTTGTGTTATGGGTTACAGTTATAAGATTAAAGTCAAGAACTAAAGTTAGGTCTTGAATTAAGGTTGGGGTGAGTGCTAACATAAGAGCTTGTGTTAGCATTATCGTTAGCGTTCGTGGTCAGCGTTCAAGTTTGGATAACCTTTAGTGTTAGGATTCGGTGTGGGGTAACGGTTCGGTTGAGATGGTGTTAGGATCAGATTTGGGGTTAGAATTAGGGTTGATCAATTATGTGCTCGGGTTAGGAGTACAGCAGATTTGTGGTTAGCGTTGTGGTTCGAGCTGTCTTTGTGGTTAGGGGTTAGAGGCTTTAGGGTTCGGGTCAGGGCATCCAAAGGAGCCGTGTTGCTCTGCAACGAGATGCCCACGCTTTGCCGATTCTTCTCCCCCCACCCCACACACAAAAGAAAAAGATCCCACGTACAGCTACGGAAAAGACAATTGGGACAAGTGGAACTCGGGTCACCGGGTTCACGTTCTCACGATAAAATACGCTCACAGATACATTCCAGCATGGGTATTCCCATCTCTTACAAGCTGCATTGCCCGCGTGTAAGAGACCAAATAGCCTCCAAGAGTGGTTCTCTAAAGTTCTCTCGAGTGGAGGAGGACCTTCTGTCAGCAGTGGGCGTGAGCGAGCTATTGCAGCGCTGCGCCTTTATATTGTAATTGTGCACGCGCACACACCCGAAGAGCACGCCCAATTCAAAAAGAGTCTCCCGTTGACAAAGCTTCACACTGGCGTGGGACAGCCGGACACACATTCTCGGCGAGACTCGCTGCAAGAGCCGCCTGTTGTATTAGGGCCAATTCTTCTTTAACACGATGCTTGGGTTTCCGGAATCACAAGATGACGATTTTGTCGTTGACGTTTTATATATCTTTTTTTGTTCACGTGTGCGGTTCGGGCCCCGAATAAGGGCTCCGCTTACAGCACTTGCCCAAGTCTGTTGAAGACTATTAAGAGGGGTGGGTGTCTGTCTTTTATAATTTCATACACACACAAAAGACCATACACATGCAGGCAAACACACACAAGGATCCCCTCCCGGACCGTGGTAAAATAACTTGCAACCCCACCCCCTCCCAAAAGTTTAGCTCGGTACGCCACTGACCAGTGAATGAAGGGTTTCATGGGGGCCGTGTGGCGGCTGTTGTTGCTGCCGCTGCAGCAATAAAAGCACGGCGCTGTCACAATAACACGCGGGGACAGAGCGAGCTTCATCGTTTTATTGAACACTCTCTCTCCACACTGCTTCAGGAACAATCCTCGCTCACAATCGAGCGCTCCAACAGCAGCAGCGGCGGCCCTTTCTACACGCAACAAAATAAACCGGTTCAAACGTTTTGCTCAACTCGTACACTGTACATAGACGGCCACATTTGCCAATCCACCGTTGGATGAGGGCTTCCACACGCCATGCGGGTCGCGGGATGATTATTTGACGACACCTAACCACGCTGGCCAGTGTGGGTTGAAGGTGGAAAGCGTCGACGTGGGGGCATGGTCCAGTTCAATGATTTTTGCTGCACTGCCCTCTGCTGCCCACCACCTAACCCCAAAGCAGCCTACGTTTGTTTTTTTAATGCTCGGTGATCAACCATCCAAGCACTATCCATGCTTCGCGCCTGCTTAGCTTCCGAGATCGGATGAGATCGGGCGCATTCCAGGTTTGATTTGGTTTTCGCTATTTCGTATGCTACCAAGTAAAACTAGTTTTTTTGTGAAACCGCTGTGAATTTAACCCATCTCGGGCACGAAGCTGAATTGGTTTGGTGAAAACGGTTGCGATCAACTGGTTTAACTCGTGTAGAAGCGGTCACCGAGGCTCAGGATTCTCACGTTCCGCTTAGTAAAATGTAATAATGCACGTGTCCCATCACTAACAATCCACGACTATAGTACGCGCACACCTCCAGACGGCGGGCGCTTTAAGTTAATTAGTAATTAAAAATTACCTTCATTATTGCACTTGGCTTTCAGAGGCTACGGTCAACAACGCGGTCAACTCAATAGGGATAGACAGAACGACAGACGCATAACGTGACAAACGCGAGACACAGACACATGGGAATGAGGACACGGGAGGGAAAAAATACACAGGGTTCAGACATGCATGGGGACTGGGACCAGAGACACATGGGGACAAAGACACAGGTCATGAGGTTGACATGGGAGACAAATGGATACACAAAGGCACACAAGGAACACGGACACTCACACGGGGACACCAATACCAATACCCGCCATTTGCCACTAAGTGACGGTGACGTCACCACGGCGCCTGTGCCAGGCCAGATGCACTTTGAGGCCACGTGAAGTGTCGAAGGCTCGCTGACAGGTCCCGGGACAGACCCAGGTGCCATGGGTTGGCTGACTGAGATGACCAGTAGATGCACCACAGACACTCACACACGTGTACCCATGCTCACACATATGCTTCTTGGGTACACCGATACTTGGCACGTCCTGGCCACAGTCCAGACCCAGGGATCAGCGGCAAGGCACCCTGCGTCACGTGGCCCTGCTTAATAAGCAAGGAATTTGTTTGACTGGGCGATGAAACTGTGCTCATGGCGACCACGGCTTCACCCGTCGCACTTCGCCGGCCACCCCCCTCCCCCCCCCGATGTTTACCACAGTCTGGTCACGGTGAATAAACTGCCCCACTCCGCACACCACCCCCCAAAAACTTTACGTATGTCGGGAGCTGCGTTAAAGCCCCATCACGCTCCACCGCGCGTTCCTCCGTGTGTCACTTGGGCTCACGGGTGGGCCCCGGTGAGAGGAGGGCACGGGGAAAGCACAGGTCGCAAAACACGGACAGGCGACCGCCGCAAATAAATTAGCAGCTGTAGCGGCAATTATCATAGAAATGTAAAACTGATAGGTTTAAACTCATCGGTTTAAGTTCAGCTTGTTTTTCCGCTCTCCCGATTATATTTGAAATGTGATATTTGTGGTGTCATCTTACGAAGGAATTTCCAATCACAACTCTTGCAGGGAACAGTGCACAGTATTCCCTCGTTATTCACGAGCAATACATTCCGAAAATGCTTGTGAATAGCTAAATTTGCAGATATCGGTCTACGAACATCGTACGTGCAATGTCGGCAGATGCTTCTAAAACTCGATGTTGCCGAGTAAAGTTCCAGATGCGATTCGTGGACAGCCAACATCGCGGATAGAAAGTTTGTAAATAAGAAAGGAAAAATGTACCACCTTGTGTCCAAGAATGACCCCAGAAGATGACACCTAAGAACTACTTGGCAAATCAAATCACTGAAATAAGCCGACTTTATCCACACGAGGAACACACTATTTACATGCCCTGCAAATAATGTTTCGGCTATGTCTTATTGAACTGCATTTTTTTGTCCTCAAGAGTTGAAATAAACCGAATTGTACGAAATAAAATTAAAAAGTTTTTGTGCAGTCATTGGTGATACTGGCAGAGACCAACAGCTCACTACACTTGAGAAGGCAGTTTAATCATCACAGGGAGGCTGCCGCAACCCAGATTCAAACCTAGGGTCTCAAGCAGTTGCCAGCTCAGTGACTCTGGCATGGCCATTAGAAACTCCTTGAGCCACTTAGCAACCTGCTTAAGAAAGTTTGTTGCCGCATGCGGCTCGATAACACTTGAGCACTTACGTGGGGTTGGGTGAGATGATGAGGGGGCAGGTGGGGAAAGGTTGGGGCTTGCAGGGAGGGGGGGGCTGGACAGTGTCATGCCCCCGAGCACTCCGTGTAGGTCGTCACCATGTTTCCGATTCTCTGTGTGACCGTACGGCAGTGCTGCGACCTGGCGCCGCCATGCGAGTGCGCTTGAGCGTGCGCTTGAGCGTGCGCGTTAGTGTGCGCGCTAGCGTGAGCGTGCGCGTGAGCGTGCCCCCTGCTCCCAGCCTTGGCGCTGGCGCCGCTGAAGATGGAGTCGGCGAGCGGGTCGGCCCTGAACAGCTCCTCGAACAGGCCGTTTGTGTCGAAAAACTGCTGCCGGGCGGACGCGCGCCGGGGCCGCTGGTGGTGCGAGCCGAACGTTGAGTCGGCGCGACTGCCGGCTCCTCCTCCCGCTTGCCTCCCGAAGTCAAAGTTGGGCGCGTCGTCGAAGTGCCGGAAGAAGTCGTCAAAGTTGAAGTCGAAGTCCGCCCCCTGTTGCTGCTGCTGCTGTTTGAAGCCGCTGCCTGGCGCTCCGCCAGCACCCGCACGCCACCCAAACGTGTCGTAGTCGCGGCGCCGCTTCTCGTCAGACAGTACCTCGTAGGCTGCATGCGACGCAAGGGAGACAATGGCACGAGTCAGACATGAGCAGTGAACGTGTAACATCTTATCATCCTAGATTTGAAGCTTTCGTGACTGCAAGGATTCATATTCTTAGGTTTTTTCGGTAAAGTCACGTAGGTAAAAAATTCTAATTAATAAAAAAAATGTTTTACTTTTATTCATTTTAATTTTTTACCTACGTGACTTTACCGAAAAAAATCCTAAGAACATGAATATCTTATCATCCGCCCGCTTCTCCGGCAACTGTACACGCCATCTCTGCCACCGATGCCACTCCGAGATCCCTTTAGCCCCTGACCTTGTGCAGGCAGGCTACCAGTTGGGGCCCCATGGAGATGCTACAGGGAACTTTTCTGTGGAGAAGATTATGTACCACACAGGGATGACTTACGCAGAGGCTGTAGCTGGTGGCTGAGGCTGAAAGCGAAAAGCTACAGCAATAGATCCAACAAGCAGACCTGCACTATAAAGAAGATTTTACAATTAATTTGTCTAAATTCCAGCTCAGAGCATTACAAATTTCAGTTTTAGTGTCATGCAATGAGCGCTGCACTCTGAAGAAGGGTGCATGGGGCACTGCAGCGACGCCTAGTGTGAGCTTACACAGGGATAATTTTCTAAATAAACCAGTCTACCAATAAACCAAGAAAATAATCCGAACCCAGGACACCTCATTCAGTTATTACCCCCTCGCCATTGTTGGCTCGCGACGTCACGTGCCCTCCAGTCTAACCAGCGATCAGAAAAATAGCCACTGGGAAATCGAGCACTGCCACCCAGTGGTCGCCATTAACACATCACACGCCACTTCTGCAGTTGCCTGCGTAGAGTGTGGCGGCGGGGTTAAAATACAGGTAGTCCCCGAGTTATGATGGTCCGACTTACGATATTTCGATCTTACGATGGAGATACGACAAAATTGCCATCAACAACCTAACATCGTTCAAGTATGCAGACGACGGACAGAATCTTGGTGAGTACAGTACAATACGATACGTTCAATGCATGTATGATACATAGCTTTAGCGATTTCATTTTAAGGTTACCACGATACGATACGTTCAATGCATGTTAAAAAAAATTCTAGCAGATAGGATTGTTTCCTGAAAAAAGTTTCTATTAAATTGCAGTTCATATAGGCAGGCTAAGAATTGACCTCGTTTTTTTAACTTTACATTTTACCGTGCAATACAGTATTGTAATTAATAAATACATACAGTATATAGTTTATACAGTACGGTACTGTAAATTGCTCTGTTTTGCTAAATTATCACCATTCTTTAAGACTCCTGGGTAGGCTAGGCCACCTTCGACTTACGATATTTTCGACTTACGATGGGGTCGTCGTAACGCATCTCCATCAGCAAGTAGAGGACTCCCTGTACTCAAAATTATTTATACCCCCCCACCCCGCCCCCTGGGATAGTTTTAACCCCTCCATCCAGTGTGTCATTCTCATTCTCCCATCGATAATTATGTTGGGAGTTTGCCTGTTAGTCTTGTACCGACATTTAAACAAATGTGGAATTGAACTCGGTTGTAAGATACCTACATACTATGCTGACCCAGGCGGGGAGGCAGGTATCGTATTGTTATCACCAGCAATGATCAAGCCACTGCTGAATGAAGGACTCCCCAAGCCGTTGCCACCTCTCGCAATCCCGCAATGTAATAATCCAAAAGGCACCCGCACACACAAGCCGATTTCACCACGCAACTACAGCAACAGTATTTTTAACCTAGTGTCCAACTGATATGTATAAGAATTCTGACCCCGAGGTCAGGATTCCACGGGGATGCCCTATCTGACAAGGGCGCCGCTGCTCACCCTCGGCGATCTCGTGGAAGCGTGCCTCTGCATCGGGGTTCTTGTTCTTGTCGGGGTGGTGCGCCATGGCGAGCCGGTGGAACGCCTTCTTGATCTGGCGCTGCGAGGCCGAGCGTGGCACGCCCAGAACCTCGTAGTGGTCGCGCTGCTGCTGCTGAGTGGCGCCCAACAGCTCCGCCAGCAGCAGCACGCACAGCGCACTCGATAGTACACTCTGGGGGGACGTCATGATACACAGCGCTGCCTGGGAGGAGAGGGGGACACACTGGCGAGTTAGAGGTGAGTGAGGGGGAAGGCAGCATGCCTTGTCTGGGGGGGGGGGGGGGGGGACAGCTGTGATGCACAGCGCCGCCTATGGGACAGAGGCGGTTAGGAGCATGCAGGCACTACGAGTAACTTGGCAAGTAAGGGAACCACACAGCACATACAGTCATACAGGGTACGTACAACCGTCACAAACAACGTATGTACAACATGTATAATACACACCATCATCAGTCAAGATCAAACCACTGTTGGATAAAGGCATCCCAAAGACGCCACATCTTTCTCATGATCCTACGATGTAATAATACAAAACATACATTACACAAAACACACGCCACATATTACACACACACTAAATACAAAAATATAAACACATATCACATACAACAAAAAATAGCTACATATTACACGCAATCATATCACACACAACACATCACATAAGACACATCCATTTCTGTATACATACACACGGCAAATACAATATACGTATACATGTTGAACTTCTTTCGTGCCTTACATAGCCAACCGTGCCAATCGGAGGTGCAGGGAAGAGGAGTGAGGGGGGGCAGAGAGAGGTGGACTCGAGCAGAGAGCGCAAAATTTGGAGGCACCAAAACAGTGACGCCAACACGGCGCTAAATTTAGAGATGAATTTACTTCCTACAGCGAGACAGGTTCAGTGAACCCAGCAGCGTCAGCATCAATCACATAACAGACTCGGCATCACCACACACACGGCATCACCACACCCAGACTCGTCACGCTTAACATCATCAAGACACGGTACCGTCAAACCCAGCCCCATCACTCAAAACCATCACCACACACAGCCCCATTGCACTCAACACTATCATCACACCCAGCCCCATCACCACACCGCCCCATCATCACACTCAGCCCCATCACACCCAGCCTCATCACCACACAGCCCCATCACCACACAGCCCCATCACCACACCCAGCCCCATCGCACTCAACACCATCACCACACCCAGCCCCATCGCACTCAACACCATCACCACACCCAGCCCCATCGCACTCAACACCATCACCACACAGCCCCATCGCACTCAACACCATCACCACACCCAGCCCCATCGCACTCAACACCATCACCACACCCAGCCCCATCGCACTCAACACCATCACCACACCCAGCCCCATCGCACTCAACACCATCACCACACCCAGCCCCATCGCACTCAACACCATCATCACACCCAGCCCCATCACCACACCCAGCCCCATCATCACACCCAGCCCCATCGCACTCAACACCATCACCACCCAGCCCCATCACCACACCCAGCCCCATCATCACACTCAGCCACATCGCACTCAACACCATCACCACCCAGCCCCATCACCACACCCAGCCTCATCACTCAACACCATCACCACACACAGCCCCGTCACACTCAACACCATCACCACCCAGTCCCATCACCATTCAACACCATCACCACACACAGCCCCGTCACACTCAACACCATCACCACCCAGTCCCATCACCATTCAACACCATCATCACACACAGCCCCATCACCACCCAGCCCCATCACCACCCAGCCCCATCACCACCCAGCCCCATCACCACTCAACACCATCACCACACAGCCCCATCACCACTCAACACCATCATCACACACAGCCCCATCACCACCCAGCCCCATCACCACTCAACACCATCACCACACAGCCCCATCGCACTCAAAACCATCACCACACCCAGCCCCATCACTCAACACCATCACCACACCCAGCCCCATCACCACTCAGCCCATCACACCAGCCCATCACACCCAGCCCCATCACCACACACAGTCCCATCACACACAGCCCCATCACCACACACAGCCCCATCACCACTCAACACCATCACCACACAGCCCCATCGCACTCAAAACCATCACCACACACAGCCCCATCACACACAGCCCCATCACCACTCAACACCATCACCACACCCAGCCCCATCACACACAGCCCCATCACACACAGCCCCATCACCACTCAACACCATCACCACACACAGCCCCATCACCACACACAGCCCCATCACTCAACACCATCACCACACCCCCATCACCACACACAGCCCCATCACCACACCCAGCCCCATCACCACTCAACACCATCACCACACAGCCCCATCGCACTCAAAACCATCACCACACACAGCCCCATCACACACAGCCCCATCACCACTCAACACCATCACCACACACAGCCCCATCACACACAGCCCCATCACCACTCAACACCATCACCACACAGCCCCATCACCACTCAACACCATCATCACACACAGCCCCATCACCACCCAGCCCCATCACCACTCAACACCATCACCACACAGCCCCATCGCACTCAAAACCATCACCACACCCAGCCCCATCACTCAACACCATCACCACACCCAGCCCCATCACCACTCAGCCCCATCACACCCAGCCCCATCACACCCAGCCCCATCACCACACACAGTCCCATCACACACAGCCCCATCACCACACACAGCCCCATCACCACTCAACACCATCACCACACAGCCCCATCGCACTCAAAACCATCACCACACACAGCCCCATCACACACAGCCCCATCACCACTCAACACCATCACCACACCCAGCCCCATCACACACAGCCCCATCACACACAGCCCCATCACCACTCAACACCATCACCACACACAGCCCCATCACCACACACAGCCCCATCACTCAACACCATCACCACAGCCCCATCACCACACACAGCCCCATCACCACACCCAGCCCCATCACCACTCAACACCATCACCACACAGCCCCATCGCACTCAAAACCATCACCACACACAGCCCCATCACACACAGCCCCATCACCACTCAACACCATCACCACACACAGCCCCATCACACACAGCCCCATCACCACTCAACACCATCACCACACACAGCCCCATCACCACACACAGCCCCATCACTCAACACCATCACCACAGCCCCATCACCACACACAGCCCCATCACCACACCCAGCCCCATCACCACCCAGCCCCATCACACTCAACACCATCACCACACAGCCCCATCGCACTCAAAACCATCACCACACACAGCCCCATCACTCAACACCATCACCACACCCAGCCCCATCACCACACAGCCCCATCACTCAACACCATCACCACAGCCCCATCACCAGACAGCCCCATCACCGCAATGCCCCATCACCACTCAACTCCATGACACCCAGGCCCACAATAACCGTTACTCTCTCCATTGCGTGCGTTACTCTTATTAACGTAGAGTATCTCCAATCAACCAAAACTGCGAATGATTAAAATAGTTCACACATGTTCATCACACGGCTCTAGTTAATAGCATATGTCTTTTATACTTGCACGTAGGAGTATTATCGTTCTAAATGATCATCATGATACGGTGACTTTATTATTTTACCGAGGGCGCAGATACCTCAAGACCCCTGAGGTAGTGAAGTTCTTCAGCGAAACCGCAGCAACACTATTACTTACACGTTTAAAACAAAACAAAAAAACACATATGTTGACCAGTTACGACGACATTCAGTTTAAAATGTTACAATTTTAATTCGTAAAAAAAAATGAAGGCGTGACACGAACGCTGCTACGCGCCAAGCAGCTTCCAGAACGGACGAGACCAAACCACGTGGGGGGGGGGGCTTTAACTCTCAGTCGTGAACGCGTCCACACTCACACAAGAAGATGCATTTTCCCATTAACAAACCACACTCTTCAGTAATAATTATAGATGTAATACACTGAAAACACGTTGCAGTAATTCGTTTTGTGACGTGGTATTGTTGGACGAGTGTACAGCACTGTAACGATATTACCTTCTACCCCGATGAGTTGGTAGAGTCCGTTCCGAGCTTACAACACGAAGCTTTTTGTGATTGGTCCACGAAGCGTGTCCCACAGTGCACCGGGCGAGAGGGGAGGGGCTCCGGAGGGGGGCGGCTCGGGGTTGGGGTGGGGGGGGGGCTCGGGGTGGGGGTGGCTCGGGGTGGGGGGCTCGGGGTGGGGGGGGGGGCTCGGGGTGAGGGGGGGGCTCGGGGTGGGGGGGGGGCTCGGGGTGGGGGTGGCTCGGGGTGGGGGGGGGGCTCGGGGTGGGGGTGGCTCGGGGTGGGGGGGGGCTCGGGGTGGGGGTGGCTCGGGGTGGGGGGCTCGGGGTGGGGGGGGGGCTCGGGGTGAGGGGGGGCTCGGGGTGGGGGGGGGGCTCGGGGTGGGGGGGTGGCTCGGGGTGGGGGGTGGCTCGGGGTGGGGGGCTCGGGGTGGGGGGGGGGCTCGGGGTGAGGGGGGGCTCGGGGTGGGGGGGGCTCGGGGTGGGGGGGGGGCTCGGGGTGGGGGGGTGGCTCGGGGTGGGGGTGGCTCGGGGTGGGGGGCTCGGGGTGGGGGGGGGGCTCGGGGTGAGGGGGGGCTCGGGGTGGGGGGGCTCGGGGTGGGGGGGGGCTCGGGGTGGGGGGGGGGCTCGGGGTGGGGGGGGGGCTCGGGGTGGGGGGGGGGCTCGGGGTGAGGGGGGGGGCTCGGGGGTGAGGGGGGGCTCGGGGTGGGGGGGGCTCGGGTGGGGTGGGCTCGGGGTGGGGGTGGCTCGGGGTGGGGGGGGCTCGGGGTGGGGGGGGGGGCTCGGGGTGGGGGTGGCTCGGGGTGGGGGGGGGCTCGGTGGTGGGGGGTGGCTCGGGGTGGTGTGGGGGGCTCGGGGTGGGGGGGGGCTCGGGGTGGGGAGGGGCTCGGGGTGGGGGGGGGCTCGGGTTGGGGGTGGCTCGGGGTGGGGGGGGGGCTCGGGGTGGGGGGGGGCTCGGGGTGGGGGGGGGCTCGGGGTGGGGGTGGCTCGGGGTGGGGAGGGGGCTTGGGGTGGGGGGGTGGCTCGGGGTGGGGGGGGGCTCGGGGTGGGGTGGCTCGGGGTGGGGGGGGCTCGGGGTGGGGGGGGCTCGGGGTGGGGAGGGGTGGGGGGGGGCTCGGGGTGGGGGGGGGGCTCGGGTGGGGGTGGCTCGGGGTGGGGGGGGGCTCGGGGTGGGGGGCTCGGGGTGGGGGTGGCTCGGGGTGGGGGGGGGGCTCGGGGTGGGGGTGGCTCGGGGTGGGGGGGGGGCTCGGGGTGGGGGTGGCTCGGGGTGGGGGGGGGGCTCGGGGTGGGGGTGGCTCGGGGTGGGGGGGGGCTCGGGGTGGGGGGGGCTCGGGGTGGGGGGGGGGCTCGGGGTGGGGGGGGGCTCGGGGTGGGGGTGGCTCGGGGTGGGGGGGCTCGGGGTGGGGGGGGGGCTCGGGGTGGGGGGGGGCTCGGGGTGGGGGGGGCTCGGGGTGGGGGGGGGGCTCGGGGTGGGGGGCTCGGGGTGGCGGTGGAGAGTCTCGGGGTGGGGGGGGGGCAGTCTCTGGGTGGGGGGGGGGCCTCTGACCCCACATCTGATTTTATAACTGCAATTGAAAGAATGAACCATCAGTGGCATTACCTGTACCCTAGGTAATTAATTAAACGTTCACTCCAGTTGCCTGTGTTTATTGAGCAGCTACACGATGTGGGCAGTGGACAGCAGTGCACCAAGAACAATTGTTGTACTGTAGTTTCTATGCTCCCCCCCCCCGCTTTCGCTAACCCGCACTGACTGGTGCAGTGAATTATGGTGAAAATGACACCCAGGACCTGCATTTACAAAAACATAGGGCTGTACTTGTACATACACTGCATTGGTATTGACTTCATTGGGCCTCATCAGAAAGGCGTAGACTTCTAACCCACGTGGAGCCACGGTGTGCTTGTGGTCCAACAATAGTATTAATTTAATTAAGCGACAAAATACACACATCCCCGGATTTTCTGTCAATGTCATCATACTATCCAGAAAAGCATCACTCACTCAAAACACAATGAATAAGCAATGTCTCCATATTTCTACGTATAAATATACAATTATTCCTTACACAACCCCATGAGCTGCACGCACGGCCTTCTGTGAGTCCATAATTTCAGCAGCATTGATTCAAGACAAGCAGATATCTTGACTAGTTGTTACATGAAGTGTCTCATCAGTCCATTATTTCAGCAGAATTGATTCAAGACAAGCAGACGTCTGGACTATGAGAATAGGTTTTCCCATTTTTCTGGCAACAAAACAGGTGTTAAGATGTTAAAACCCCAAACTGAAACCTTTTACAAGGAATCATGTCTGCATTAACCACAATTCTTGTGGTCAGAATGCAAATAAAAAACACACTGATAATATATGCATTGTCTTTGAAACTGATAACTGGACTAGTTTTTACATTAAGTGTCTCATCAGTCCATAATTTCAGCAGCATTGATTCAAGACATGCAGATGTCTGGACTAGTATAACCATTAAGTGTCTCATCAACAATGGTGAGCAGCCAATCTTCCAGGCAAGGACCGCCATCTAAGGAGGGCCCTGGACTCTTCTTTTGGTCAATATGCTGTCAGCAGAGCTGCCTTAGTTTGCGTGGAAGTGAAACTGGGGTGCTGCACAGTAATACCCCGATTTAGGTGTCGACCTTCCACGTCGTTTCGCCAATACGTCGTCACGTGATTAACACCACGATCTTGATGTGGCTCACCTCAACCCGCACTTAGTCGCTGACAGCGCCCGCCCGTCCTTTCACGTAAGGGGGCGTCCATAAATGACGTCACGCACCTAGGGGGGGGGGGGTTCAGACATTTGTGACGATGCGTGACGAGGGGGGGGAGGTTTGAGAAATGTGACGTCACATGAAAATGCGCAACTTTAAATCAATATAGACAACACGTTCTACTTAATTAAATATACTTTTTAATAAATGTTTTCTCCTACATCAGAGTGCAGCGCCACATTAAATACGCACTACAATGACAATAGTTTAAAGCGATTTGAAGCATGTTTTCTTTTTGGGGGGGGGGGGGCAGAGCTTTGTGACGTCATATTTGAGGAGGGGGTCTGACTTTTTGTGACGCCGTGTGACGAAGGGGGGGGGGGGGCAAAAATCGTCAAAAATCGCGTGACGTCATTTATGGACGGCCCCTAATCGTCACCTCTCAGCCTTCGCCTCCACCCCCTACCCTGTACACTAAATAGTTTGCGTCCAGCGTCAAGAAATGTACCGGACTGCAAACATGACTCCTCGTAAAAAAAAGGTGTCAGTTTTGTTGCCAGATAAAAGGATAAAAAAAATAATTATCATATTTTTTACTGGCAAATGAGGTACCAATGGAATACATTACTTGTGTACAGTATCTTATTGTACCCTGTTTAGTGTGTGTCAAGGTTTACTGCTGTACACTAGAGTTGAGCACGGCATGTTTGTTTGTAATTGAACGTAACGTTGCGTGTAACGTCGTACACTCCGTTGTCTTCTGATTTGGCTCTCGTGGGGAATTTACGACGTTTTGATATTCGACGCCGCAACTTTCAGGAACGCATCCCCACCCCCCCGACGTAAACCGAGGGTATTAATGTACCCAGAGAAACCCCATGCACACGAGGAGATTACAATGAGGTCCGCACAGAAGGGGCTTAGGAACCCAATTGATGTCTCATACTCTTTGGTGCTTTCGGTAAAGTCACGTAGATCGAAAAATAATAGATCACGACTGTTTCGATCGCAACAACAAGCCAACTCTCCGAGTTGCATTACATTTCTACATTTGCTAAGTTTTATCTTTTATTTAACGGTTTTACTGAACTTGATTCCTGTGTCGTGGTCAAATCTTGTAATCAAAATTTCGTCCACTCCCTGTTGTCCAATCAATTCCACATTTTGCACACGTACTCAGATCGGATGACAATGCATGCCTCTAGCAAAATCGGCATCAAATAATCAATTAATCCGCTACTTTAAAGCAATTTACATTTAGTATGGACGCCTTATTATTTATATATTTTTGTGTAGGTCAAAAACCGCCGCGGGCCCGAAACTCTCAAATCGCCTCGCCCAAGAAGCCGGCGCCACGTGTTTCACGCGTCACGTGTTTCAAGCGTCACGTGTCTCGGGCGCCACGTGTTTCAAGCGTCACGTGTCTCGGGCGTCACGTGTGTCAAGCGCCACGTGTCTCAGGCGCGCCTGGTCCGTGTCAACGAGTTACAGGGCACCCTCACTCCACACAAACAAAAGTTGTACATTGAAGATTAATTCATAAAGTAATCAATTAATTCAAGTAAGCGTTGATGTGGAAGCAGGCGTATCATCATTGACGTACTTCGACCGTGAATAAAACCGTTGTTTTAACAAAACACTTTTTTTAAATGAGTTTTTAATCTATCACCTTGTTCCCTCTTTGAATTTCATCCTCTTGTCACAGCGGCTTGTTTCACTTTCTCACCTGAAGATGGTTGCTTGTTGTTGCGATCGAAACGTCGTGATCGATTTTTTTTATACCTACGTGACTTCACTGAAATAACCAAAGAGTATGAATTCCTACAGTCACGAAAGCTTCAAATCAAGATTGATGTCTCGTGTTTATATTTGCCCTTGTGTCGTGGCCCAAGGTTTATTGCCTTGCAAAATAAACCCGTCCTAAATCGCCTGGTAAATTGATGTTGACGTGTTTACACGGATGAATTAATTTCTTGGCAGACTGTGGCAACTCAAGCGCAGCACATTCCTCAATATCACTGCCCTATAAGGTAACCACATTTAAAAAATGCCACGTTTCAGACAATGTGGCTTCTTCACAGCAGCAGGCAGTGTAATTCAGGTGTTGTGATTTGTATTTAACTTCTTTCGCACCGTACGTAGCCAACCGTGCTAATCGGAGGTGCGGGGGAAAGACCACCCTCAATGCAGCATCACCAAAACGTGAGATCAACCAAAGACCAGTAGCAATAACGTGCGCAAGGACTTGACCACGCCAATAATGATCGAGTTGACCCCAGAATCATCAGGCCATCGTTGCCGTGGCAACAGGAGCTGTCCGTGCCACTCAGGCCGCGATGGCAACGGGAAGGGCCCTCGAGTGAACGAGCTGCACAGCTGCAGCGGGGAGGCCTTCGAGAGGAATTCGAGAGAAAACAAAACCAAACCCAACGTCCCCGACATTCACCCCAGACCACACAGCACTCACTTCATCAGCCATGATCAATCCACCGCTGGATGAAAGCATTCGGCCCAAGCTGTCGCCATGTCCGTCGGTCCGACAATGTTAACGCATGAGTCAATAGTTTTTGCTTCAAAGTTAACTTCCCCACAAATTTCAAATTTTAATTTAAGTATATGATTCAGGCTTATACCGTTTATTCTGGATAGCCTCGCCGAGTCTCAAGATTTTTATCAGGAGGGCTCCTGCTGCTTTTGGAGGTTTGGCCAGTTGCATGAGTGTTCGACATCATGTGGGAGGAAATAGGTGCTGTCATGAAATTATTTAGTAAATGTTCTCCCTTCTCTCATCAGGCTAGATTCTCTCCATCTCATGGCTCTCCCCTGAATTTCCCTTCACCACTTTCCCGGGCTTTCTGTTGGGATATGATGGTGTGGAAACTCTTTAACGGAGTCTGGGTGGAAAAAAAAACACAATTTTCCTGGGACCTTTCCAAGCTCCTGAGACCTGAAAGGCGGCAACTGTTTCTCTCTCTCTCTCGGGTCTGCCTCTGAGAAGCCGCAGAGGTCAGATTAACAATGCGCTGGACCGCGGAGTGGGCCTGGCTACTGGAGTTTTTCCTTCAACATCATGGGCTCTCTGGACTCTTGACGGCTGGCATGCCTATGCCGGACATTGTCTATAATTCGTACTTTTATTCAATTCGTCTTCAAACGTTTAGTTTTTCCATTCAGTGTATTGTTGAATTTTACATTCCATCGCAAAGTACTTTGAGAGTGTGTTTCAGTATTTACCCACTGGATGACATACAAATCCTTTTCCTTAAATAAGAAATAAGATTCCACTAATTATCAATAGACCACTAATTTTTTACCAATCCGGGAAAAAAGCTGACTTTGTCCTTAGGAGGACAAATGATGTCCGGATTGTATGTGTTGAACTTCTTTCGCACCGTACATAGCCAACCGTGCTAATCGGAGGTGCGGGGGTAGGACAACAAACTAAACGTAAATCAGTTCTCAAGAAATTCGTTTTCAACCGAGATTTCAAAGTGCATAGCTCCAGTGGCTTCCTAATATCGGAAGAGCAATCCAGACGGCCGCAATGTATTGACCGTATTTGTTCGATAGTTACCCAAAAGCCACTGCGAGGATGGCTTTGCGTGATGGTTTATGCTCCTCGACTAGATCACCAAGGTATCGTGGTTCATTTGTGGCAAGAACTTTGTGTGTAATAAATAATGAACGCGACCTTAAACTCAACTGAAAAAACGTGGCACCTCGCGGTCTGATTTCCACAAGACGGCGCACGAGACAGACGCGACAGCCTCCTCCTCTCTCTCATGTTTAATACTAAAACACGATAATAAATGCTCGCGCATTAAAGCTTTTTCTCCTGCTAATAACAAGAGCGCGAGCGCGGGGTCCTGAGCTGAGGCAATCGAGCGCACGACTGCTGGTAACCGTGGGCCGTACATATTTACACAGCAGGGCACTTCCATGTTTAAAAAAAATTACACAAAATAGTATTGTGCGTTCGCACTTTGTAAAAAAACAAAATCGCTCTCTCTCCCAAAATCTATAAACGCCAATTAAACATCGTGCAGTTCGTTTAAACAAAAACAAGCGGCAACACGGCGACAACGAAGCACAACTGAAACACGAGGCTGGCGTTTTAGTTTAATATATAATCTTGGACCAGATTCCCACGCGGTGGGGCGGCTCGAAGTTCTGGAGCAAAAAACACGGCGCAGCAAGGCGAGGACGACCGCGCTTTGCAGCCGTGGACCAAACGCAGCGACGTCAGCGCGACTCGGCCGTCGGCTTAGGAGGCGTGGCCCTCTCCTCGCGGATCTCGTGAAACGTGGCCAGTGAATTTACGTCACGGCCACATGGGGGCCCCCGGCGGCGCGGGATGGGAAGCGTCGTTGATAATGACTTGTGGCGAAGAGACTCAAGACGACTCCATACCGGCCTCGTCAAAGCACAGAGCAGGCACTGTCGGGATCATTAGTTTGAATGCGGGCAGCTGCCGGTGAATGAATCTCATATGCGGTGAGCTCATAGTCAGCCATCAACGAATTCATTAATAAATCGTAATATAAAATGTTTCTTTTATTGCCTTGATTTTGCATATTCCGGCCCTGAGGACATATTCATTCCATTAAAATCAGTCGGCACAGTGCATAATTGTGTGAATTCCAGTTTAGGGTTAGAGGGGCCCATGAAAGAAACATCTTCCGGGGAGCCATTCCACGGCACAACGCGAGGTCCTGCAGGTATGGCGACTGAATAAAAAAATATCATCATTGCAAACAACGAGCTGTGAACCGGATGTAAAACAGACAGCAGGTACAGAAGAGACCAGGCAAGGCTGGCTTTGGAGCAAGAGGGCTTTTAGTGTCACAGACATTTCCAGCTGACGGCGAGGTCACCTGTATAAGGCTTTTCTTGGTCGTGCGTGCACGGGTGCACGAGAGTCTTGTCCTGCGAGCACGAGAGCTCATGAGAGGTCGAGCCTCCGCCTGCGCCTCCTCCCGGCAGTGTTGGTGGCGCGGTTGGGGGGGGCGTGGGGGGACATGGCGGGGACGCTGGAGGGGCACGCGGGAGCCTGGGAGCCGCCGGCACGGCACCGCGTGTAGAAGAGGATGTAGGCCTGGGCACGGCAAACCTCCGCCACGGACACCACGTCCAGCCGCGAGTCGTTGCAGTGCACCCAGAAGCCTGCGCTCGCCAGACGCGCACGCAGAACATTCGTTGCCATGCTCACAGGACCCACCGTGCAGACCGCACACACAGTACATACAGAACACGCGTACAATGCATGCTAGATGCATGGCACACACAGCATGCATGCCAAACAGAGCAATACCAGATACATACAAAGACAAATACTTGTCACTCATACAGCCTAAACAGACTGTTGGGGCAAGTGCTGTTAGCGAGCACCTATGAAGGCCGGCACAGCACATGATGGGGTAGAAGGCCAACACTAAGTCTGACTGAATACATTGCACACTCACCGGATCATAACACACACACACGCAAAAATATCAAACACAAAGCGCGCACGCATAGCACGTACACCATGCACGCGAGATACAAAGCCGTTACGTAGCATATACACGTATGTCAGATACACATAGCACACACACAATGTAAAGTAATTATTTACCAGGGAAAGCCCACTGAGCTATAAGTTTAAAAAAAAAATCAGAGGCGACCTGGCTACACAGTTTTTTGAAGGGGCTTATCATGTGGAGGAATTTATAGTTGCAGCCAAATAATGAAAACACGTGTTTCTAGCTATGGAGAGCAAAACCAGAGGAACCTGGAGAAAAATCGCCATCAACTCCAAATATACAGGCATTGTCAGGGTCGGGCTCAAACCCACTAACTTCAGGGAACCAGGCTAGGGAGATAACATCTCACCACCACAGTGCCCCTAATTACATGACACGCAAATCACAAACACACAACGCACACACACGTATATATCATGTGCATCAGGGTCATGGTCAGAGTCATGAGCGTACCGCCCTCGGCGTTGTAGCAGTACGCCGTGTAGTGTCCCGAGCCGAAGCCTCGCCCGTGATGCATCACCACGGCTGAGAGGTCGTATGTGCTGGGGTCGGCACCACCGCCGCCGCCGCCGCCGCCACCACCGTCATGGCTGCAGTACGGCGTCATGCAGAGTCGCTGCTCAAACGCCACGTGCACGCCAATCTTCTCGCGGTGATTTCGGCCTGACCACCTGCACATGGCCACACCGTGTCGCTCACAGGTCAATTCACACAATGCTGCGCCCACACACTCATCATCATCATCTTCTTCAGTGATGATCTATCGATTGCTGAATTAAGGTCTTTTCTAGCAGTCGCTATCGTTCATGGTCTCACAATGCAATAATCTATTTGTGGATTTACAGGAACGCACAGGCACGCATCGGGACTTACAGAGATACATAGCAGTCACACATAAGGGCACAAGGGGACACATAGAGATACATAGGGACAGAGACACGCAGGAAAAACACAGGAGAGGTACGTACAGACTCAGGGGGACAAACAGGGACACACGAGGACACACAGAAACACAGGAGAGACACAAAGCGACACACGTGGGGCAGCAGTTCACCTGAAGCGCTTGAGATGCAGGCGTAGCACGCGCGGCAGTCTGTGCACCAACAGTTGCTTTTGCGCCTCGGTGAGTATCGGCTGCTTGGAGGAGGAGCGACGTCGCCGGCCTGCCAGGCACGGAATGGCAGCATGACATCGCCGGTGAGAGTGGCACCGGGTCGCGCCACAAGCATGACGAGCACGCGACCACTCGTTCACCACGAGCGTGTCTATCCTTTATGCCATGCGAACTCAAGCCGAGCAGCTAAGCCGTCGCTTGTATCGCTACGTAGTCAATTTACACGCTGTATGCAACTTGTCTATTTTTTTAATTCGCGGAACATCCGGCATGCAGCTTATCTAGAACGATACGCACATGACTCCTGCGCACATAAAACATGTGTGACGTGATGTGGCACGGGATGATGGTGTTGCATGGCATGATGTGGCGTGATACAGCGTGGCATGGTGTGGCGTGGCGTAGCATGGAATTGCGTGGTATGGTGTAGTATGCCGTGGTGTGGTGTCGCGTGGTCGGTGGTGGTGGAGGTGTGGGCGCGAGCTCTCACCGTTGCACGTGTCGCAGGAGTACACTTTCCCGCCATCCAGTGCCTCTGTCTCGGTGAACTTGGCGAGCATCTCGGTGAGGGTGCAGCCGCCGTTCGTGCTGCCACCAGCACCGCTGCCACCAGTGCTGCAGCCACTGCTGCCACCACCATCGCTCTCCACTGCCTTGACCAGGCCGTGGTAGCGCTCGGGGAAGTCGAGCGAGAGGTCCCAGAATAGCTCATTCCTCCGTGACGTATGCGCGCATGACAGGCACGTCACCTACATCCAGGAGAAAATAAAACGGCTATGTGAATTCATATTGTGGCTGGGTGTGTGGGTATCTGTGTGGCTGTTTGGATGGATCGGTAGCCTGTTGGGTGGGTGAATCGGTTGGTGGGTGGGCGAATGGATGGGTGCCTGGTTGGCTGGCTTACTGGGTGGGTGGGTGAGTGAGTGGTGAAAGGGTGGCTGAGCGGGTGGTCAGTTGCGTGAGCGTCTGACTGCATCGCTCGGTGGCTGGAAGCCCCTACCTGGCTCAGCAGCTCCCCCTGGAAGATGCTCGCCACCACCCGTAGCACCTGGCGGACGAGCTTCCGCTGGGAGAGCGGTGATGGCGGGAGGCGTGGGAACGGGGACACGGGCGCCGCGTTGGCGTGGGGCGGCCCCGGAGGCCATGGCAACACTGGTGACACCGGCGACACTGGGGAGCCGGGCCCGGCGGAAGAGGATGATGCCGCAGCCGCTGCCGCCGCCTCCAGCTCCTGAAGCACCTTGTCAAGCAGCTCGCACAGGAACTCCTGAGCGTCCTGCTGCGCATAGCCCTGCCGGCGCACACGGTCCACGCGATGTTAACTGCGGTCGACGTCGTCCCATCGTCGTTGTTACCGCCAATTCACAGTGAACGCATCATAATTTAAATGAAGGCTGGTCAAGTGACATGGTTCTGGATTCCCATTTGAGATCTAGACAAAAAAAGGTAAGTTTCTCCGATGACACTTGGCACATTTCCAAAACGAAATGCAGCGTCTATCGCTAAATCTGGTCGTGAGAATCGCTCTTCAGCCCGCCGGTGAGTGAGCTGTACATCGCATCATCGCTACCGTCACAAACATTCGCGTGAACCCCCCATCCGCCGAGTGCCAGTGACACCGCGTACGACTCTGGCCGCGCGTCGTCGGCCCGGTGCCCCGCACGCTCACCTTGAACGACGGCACGAGGCGCCACACCGAGTGCAGCATCGCGTAGGGCGACACTAGCGCCCACTTCCCGGACCACATGACCCTGAAGAGCGTGTGCAACTCGTGACAGAGAGACACGCGCTCCTCCTCTTCCTCCTCCCGCTGCTGCTGCTGCTGCCCGTGCACCTGCTGCTGCTGCCCGTGCGTCACTCTCTCTGCGCCACCCCCGCCGCTCAGCCCGGCCCTGCGGCTCTCACGTCTGGCGCTGTCCGTGACGGTGGCCGCCGCCTGCCCCAGCCCCGTGGCCTCGCGGTAGCACTGCTCCGAGAGCTGGCGGGCCAGCCCCACATGGCGACGCTGCCGCCGGGGGCCCGTCGGATCGTCGCCCTCGAGAGGCCACGAGGTCGCACCGGGGTCGGAGCCGGCGCCGCTCAGGTCGAGCAGCAGAAAGCACTGGCGGAACGCCTGCAGGTGGCTCAGCACCTGCACAGTAGCACACAGCGATGTCAGGCGCACAGGCAATGGCTGAGTGGCAGAGACTGCTACCATTGGCAAACCCGCTCGTGCGAGCAACCCCCTCACGCGGGCTATCCACTCCAATAGGCAAGCGACCACATGCCGTGTTGACACAGCACCACCACAGCAAGCAACGCTGCTGTTGTTCCCGCCGCCGCCGGTACCACTCGCACCTGCAGGATGGAGTTCATGTAGCACGTGTTGCCCAGGTTGCGTAGCCCCGTCACGCCGGGGGTGACCGTCGGCCTGCGCTTCAGCGGAGGGGACGGTGCGTCTGGAGGCAGCGCCGGGGCAGGCGACGGCGGGAGAGGGGTCAGTAGCATCGCCATGGCGACCGCCTCCCCGGTACGGGGAGGCAAGGCGGCTGGCGTTGGCGCGGGCGCTCGGTGGTTGCGGTGCTGCGCGACATTGCTCAGACGAGGGCTCTTCCTCGGGGGCCGGCTGGACATCTCCTCTACACAGGGGAGGGAGCGAGGTGGGGGTGGCGGAGAGTGGCAGCAGGGAAGTTGGGTGGGGGGGGGGGTACGGGGGGCCTTGTTAGAAGCAAAAATTACCACTCACATCCGCCAAAGTAGAAATAATCACGAATCCTGGGCACTCTCACCCGGATATACTATATGGTCTAAAAGTCTCAATCAGTTTAAACTTCTCGTAAATCACGCGACTTCTCTGTGTGTGGCCACCTCCACTGCGAATTCCTCCCCTGCCGCTCGCTGTGAAAATAGACGCTGCTCCCCCGTGCATCAGCATCGAGGCCCTGATGCAGCCTCTTCCTCCTCCTGTCCTCATCTCTCCTGACCCATTGCTCCCGTTCCTCTTCCATCAATACCCTCACATTTTCCGTTCATTCTCTTCCCCTTTCCCGTTGCTTTTTCATACATTGCATCTCTGACTCTACTCCCCTTCTCACGCTGTAGCATGGGTAAACGTTTTTATTATTCATACGTGCAGGAGTTCATTGGACTGTTGCATTGCAAGACTAGGACAGATGATGATGACTTGGCGAGGACTTCATCCAGCAATGGATTGATCACAGCTGATGATGATGCTCTTTATATTTATGAGAAAATAAACCAGAACTGTTTCCCTCAATCTAACCAAACGTTTTATAGACTACACATATACAGCCCCTTTGTCAAACCATGCTGAATGAGTGCCTCCCTACACTACATTGGCCATGTGAGTCAGAATATATATTTAGACTGGAGGAATCCGATGAGCTATGAAGTTCTTTTTCACAGATGTCCAGTAAGTAATTTGACCATGCTTCACCAATCTTGTCAATTCGGTGGCAGGGCGGTGCATGACCGGTTCAGCTATCGCACTCCACTGATGTTGGCCGTCACTAGGAATCAAACTCTGGTCACAAAATTCTCGCTGAATCTCAAGATCTCTTTTTCACCGGTGGTCCTGCTACATCGTGTAAGTTCCACCACTGAGTGTTTGGCTTCACACGTGAAACGAATCTGTAGAGAACCCCGGGGATGAACCGGGGTGAACCCGCCACGTCGCACATTCAAGCCCCATGCACGCTCAATCCCGCCACTGAGATCTGACGAAAAATCTGGCTCATCGCGGGCGTATGTAGGTCACAAAACGGGTTTTGATTCCTTACCCGTACCCGGCCGCACCAGGGTCGCAAACGAGTACCCGTACCCGGCCGTACCCGTACGGGTATCGGGTACCTGATTGTGACCTCTGGGATGAAGCCATGTTGCAGGCGCGGGTGGGTTGATTCTAGGAACTTGAATTGTGAGAAGAGACAAGACGTTGGGAAATGAGTGACAAACAGTTACTCACCAGTGACTCACGGTCTACCCGTACCCGGCCGCACCAGGGTCGCAAACGGGTACCCCGTACCCGGCCGGGTACGGGTATCGGGTACCCGGTTGCAACCTCTGCTCTACGTAGCCAACCATGCAAATCGGAGGTGTGGTGAAAGGACAACAAACTAAACACAAAAAGCAGTTCTTAAGAAATTCGGTCACCGGCCAAAAACTCGGCGCACCTCTGTGTCGCCGCCTGCGCTCCTGCCGCTCCCTCTGCGCGTCCTCGCGGCGCCGTTGCTCCTGGGCGGTGTCCGACTCGTGCAGCGCACGGCGCCGCCCGCTCGCCGTGAGTCCCGCCCACGCCGCAAACACCTTGCGCGCCAACGCCAGGCGCCGGTGCCACAGCGCGGTAAACATGCGGTCCTCGGCGCGCAGCTGGGCCTCCACGCGCCGCTCGCTGGGCCTGCCGGGGCATGGAGAGGCAGCCGCACCGTGTCAATGCCGCGGGTGGAAACGTGGAGACGGTAGGGAATAGTGACACGGCAAAGCTGAGGGCACAGAAGCTAAGCAAAGCGGCTTTAAAGCCTGCCTAGTGCTTGGATGGGAGACCACGCGCATTACAAAAAAACTCAACACATTGCCAAAAACAGTGCAGCCTTAAGAGAAAAAAAAGATAATAGGCGACGTTTTGGGCAAAGGCCGTTCTTCACAGCACATTTCACGTGTTCATTGTGCTTGTGCGCAAATGCGTCACCAAATAATATGCCAACGTAACAGGTCGTTAGAGGCTGATGGGCTTCCAAGATCAGAGGAGATCCAGCACATTCCGAGAAACTCGCACAAAGGCACCAACGTTCCTGCTCAGATGCACTGTACAGCGGCGGTGTAGCCATCGAGGGAGTGTGCAGGCAGTGCAACTGCACCGGGGCCCATGGCCTGGTGAGGTAGGGGGGCATTTCATTCATTCCTATGTCAACCATGCTGCTATGCTACTAGGCTACTGGCAGTAACATGGGGGGGGGGTAATGAGGCAGTGCTGGCAGCAGCAATGGTGGCACTGTTGTCACCGTGTCAACGCAATGGTTAGGGGCACAAGGCAGAAGCCATCTGCTGTGCATGCTTATGCGTGTTGCCATGCAATACACACGTCTATGTAAGTACACGATGTGTATGCATGCATCGTGGTGTAGTTCAGTGTGTATGTGCAAACGTCGAGTAAATGTGCAGCCCTTTGTCAATCCACTGCTGACTGAGAGGGCCTCGGCGCCATGCAGGTCGCGGGGGGGGGGGGGTTATTTGGCCCGTGCTTCGCCAAGTCAATTAGTGCCGGGTTGGTGGAAGCTGGGAGTGCAGAAATACAATACAACAATGGATTTTGCTGCACCGCCCTCTGCTACCCACAACAGAATGTACCAGTATGTATGTATAAATGTAACGTGTAGTTTTGTTATTTTACTACACATTTTACAGGGTGATACATTTATAGATACCACACTGGTATTTAACGACTCTCCCTCTTACTTTCTTCTCAACAGCTGATTGAACATTGTGACAGTGAGGGCTCCGCATCTTACACACGAGAGCGCTTATCGACTTAATGAGCGGGATCGAGTTTGGTGGGAAGGATGCATAGAAAGTTAGAACATAATTTGTGGATTGTCAATTTCTCCAGATTATAATAATTCGTTTTATATCGAGCCATGCATGCAAATTGCATCTTGAAACGCTTAACATTTTGAACCCACAACACGAACATCTTAAAGTAAAAAAAAATATTTACGTCGTAAAAAATGTACAAGAACACCAAGGATAAACAAAAACAAACCCCGACTAGGAGCACGGAGGCGGCCAGAGCACGGACCACGTGGGGCAACATCATTCGGCAACTCAAGCTCCCGACAGCCAAGAGAGTCCAGGGAACAATGATAATAACAATTGGATTTCACACGGCGCGTTATGCATGCAAATAGTAACCCCCCCTAAAACACTGAACATCACGAAACCCGAGCACACGTTGGCTATAAGCATCAATAAACAAGGACGTGTTTATTAAGTGCGATTTGAATAACGACAGGGAGCTGATTTGATGACATGCAGTGGGAGTGCATTCCACGCTTTCACGCGTACAAGTTAACCTTATCCCCAGTTGTGATAAAAGTGCAGTGCAGTACATTTGATTTGCGTGTTGGTGGGGGAGAGGGAGCTCTCTGATACTGGGGGGTTGTCTTGATCGACTGCTTGGTAGAACCAACCAGTTTTTGATGCCCAACAAAGGCAGCAGCAGCTGGTCTGAATAAGGATAATTTAAATCTTGGAAAATGAATGGGCTGATTAAGCCAAGCCGGGGTAATTGAAGGCCGCAGGTGTAAAGAGGTGACTCACCCCTAATTATAATGAGGCCCGATAGGCCAATGGCAAGGCAGCAGGAGGGGGGGGTGGTGGCTGGCTGAGGTAAGATAAGGGCTTAGCCAGAACAGGGAGGTGTTGGACCACGGAGGCGTTCAAGTGCTGAGGAGTGCAACATCCAACCAACAGGCTCCGGGAACAACAGGCGCTTTGGCAAGAATCTGCCTTCGAGGCTGGGGCCCTGGTGAGAGTGCAAGTCTGGAGAGCAGAGGTGCGCAGAAGGCGAGGAAGCCACAGACAGGACGGAGAGAGAGAGGTTACAGCGGCAGGAGGTTCAGCGAAGGTGGCCAGGAGATGCAGCGACCAGCGGTGGTGCTCGCGCTCGGGAGATATTCAGGCGGAGGACTGAGGTGGCCTGGTTGGGGGTCCTGCAGCAACACAGTGCTGGCCTCCCAGTTAAAACTCCGTGAAGCTGATGGGCTGTGCAGCCATGCAGAGACTTTGTGGACTGTTGGGATTGTGTAGGGCCATTGGCTTGAGGTGAGGTTCTGACTCGGGCATATGACTTTGATTGTATTTCTTGGAGATGATGTGGCACCATTTTTGAGGTGTTGCCCACATCTCACTCAATGGATGTGACCTGGCAGGAGCAACAAGCAAAATTGCCAATCCCTTCAAATTGCCTCCGACTTGGTCAGTGACCGGTGTTGCCCACCTTACAGTAAAGATCACTTGAGTGGAACAAGTTAAAGATCGTCGGGGGATTCGCCTTCTGGGGAAACCCTGGGTGAATCTACCCTTGCAAATGCGTCGCTCGCACACAGATGGAGCTGCAAATTGGAAAGCATGCTGGTCAAAAGTCGCGCGCTTTATTTTTGGTGTGACCTAGCAACTCAAAGATGAGATGAGCGAAGGAGTCCTGCTGGGGTATACGGAGAAATGAGAGGAGCAATGAATCAAAACAAGGTCATGCAATATTCTACGGCCGAGTGCAATTTTGTAATGAATTTGACACCTGATTGGAAGACGGTGAAGGGAGAATTAAATGGGTGTCACGTGGTGGTATTTATGGGTGCCGAAGTGCCCTTGCAGCAGCGTTGACTACGTTGAGTGTCAGGAAGGCCAAATAGGAGAATTAAAATCTTGGAGTCTGGAGGTTACAAAAGCACGAGGTTCAGGTTTTCAGTAGCATCTTGAGTTGGGGATTGTGGATCGGGGAAATCTTGCATAGACGAAGAGCTGTTTGAGAAACGTGAAATGTTGAGAGCGAGATGGCTCTGAGTCCAGGAGGACCCCAAGATTATACACGTTTGACAATATCCACGTCTGTATGAACCCTTTCCTGTTTTGAGACTTCTGCAAGTTGCAGGGGGCGTCCCGTTCACCTGAATCTCGGAACTGGCAAGCAGCTCGGCATTAATTTCATTTAGAAGCATCACGCCGTTGTTTTTAAAGACCTTGTACTTGCTGCAGAGAACTGTAGTCACGCGACCGCACTACGATAGTTGATGCCACGTGCCCTCCCGCATGGCCTTGTGGGAGCCTCCGTACCAATAAAATGTTATTTTCGATTTTCGTCCGGTTTTGATGTACACGTACGTCATCGGAACAAAATCGGGGGAAAAAAACTGACGTAGACGTATGGCAAGGTTAAGTGAACAAAAGGTGACTGGCATTCAGTACGAGTAGATCTCTTACCAACAATAAGGATTGCATTTTCTGTTAAAGTTGCAGAAAATTTCATGCAATCCACTGAAGACGGAAGTGATATGGGAAGAAGGGTAAGAAAAGGGATGTGGGGTGGGCCTGGTCAATCACAACAGAGCGGCTGCGTAGTCATCATAGACGTGATAACCAATACCAAACCTAGAAATTAGTTTTTCCTACAGGAAGAAGGTATAGGGCAAAGAGCCAAGGATGGAAAATCTTAGTGTAGAGGATTGCGAGGTAAAAACATTCCTTGGACAGAAATGAAAAAGTTACGAGTAGATGGATATGAAGGGAACCATGCAAGAAGTGCATCAGATGCCCACAAGGCTGTGTGGGAGTTTTTGAGGATAATGGAGCGTGCGAAAGTGTCAACGGAGGCAAATGCTTTAAGAAGCACCAAGCAAGAGAGATCCAGAGCGGAATATCGATTGGGACTGTGTCCAAAAACCAGATGAATGGATCCTAAAAGTCCTGTTGAAAATTATGACTGGTGAAATAATTGAACGTGACATTCAAGAATCTTGGCCATTAATGGGAGGTTAGAGTTAGGATGGTAGTTAGTTTTATCGATTTGATCAGGAGGTGTTATTAAGAAAGGGAGCGACAAAAGTTTTTTTTTTTAAATCACGTGGAACAATTCTAGAAGAAATGGAATGATTAATTGTTTGAGTAATGTATGGAACAAGGGTAGATGAACAGGGCACGGTAAAGGTTGTTGGTAGAGGATATAATACAGAGGGGGGTTCTTTTCTTTAAATTGTGAAAAATGGCAGACTACTTTTCATGAACCGGTGATGGAAGATCTACGCAGCGTGGGATGGCATTTGGTTCAGGACAATTTTAGGATGCAGGAAGAACTAATATGGATGCTCGAGGTTTATGAACATCAAACGGGAGCCGAATATTTCGGAGCGAAACGGTAGGAATGAACGGTGAGTGACGTTTGCGGTGCATGAGCGTTAACGGCTTCTTATTGGGCTTTGGGGTGGTCACCGGCAGCATCGTTAACCAACTTGGAAAAATAACCCGGATGTAGGTTGGCCAAGGCCAGGGCCAACCGACATACAGATTTGAAGATTAACCTCAAGGTTAGTAGTTGAACATAATTTTTTCCCCCATTTGCATCTAGTGGTTTTCGATTGGCGAAGTTATGGTGAAGGGGGCACGAGAGGACCGACACGAGGAAATCCATTTTTAATAGGGGTCAGTTTGTTAACCACGTTGGAAACTGTTTTGTTGTCATTGAAAGACAAGGTCGCAGTAAAAATTATAGGGTCTTCAAAAGGAATATTGAAGGAGAGCAGGGATGGTGTTATGTTTTTAAAACAACGATAGGAGGCAGATGACTGTGCGCACCGTGCATCGTCGCCGGTGCCCGAGCGGAGCGTGCGGCCACTGCGCGTGGTCAGCTGGTAGCGCTGGCTCGTGACGGCGCTGAGCGTGGACCGCAGTAGGCGCAGGTCGCCCGTCGCGTTGTCGTTGAGGACGTAGTCGTCGCACGCGTAGCAGTACACGTGCAGCTCGTTCACCTCCAGCGCCAGCGGGTGGCCTGTGTTCTGCAAAGGGGGCAGGGGGGTGGGGAGGCAGGTGTGTAACACGAAAATAAGGTCTCTGTATTGTTCTCCCCCCCCCACCTCCCCCCCTGAACTTGTTGCACGTGACTTTTGCTTTGGTAGTATTTATCTCGAGACAAACTTTTCAGCCTTTAAGTTCTTATAAACGATTCCTGTAAGGAATAATAAATTAATTTATCTTTGGGCACTTAAATGCCCCAGCATATCAAGCGTCAAGTTTGTTTTGCATAACCAGGTGAGTGATTCAAGAGACCAGGGTAGCCTAATTTATTTTCAAGAGTGACCTCGCTTACCAAAATAAATAAAAACAAAAATCCAAACAAAAACAACTGTCACATTGTGAGGAATTGAAAATATCGCAAGCGTAATTTACGTGCAGCGCAAATCGGCTCCGGCAGATTACCTCCAGATGGAATAGGGCGCATATTACAAAACTGACCTAACACGAACGTGACCATCAAAGAAGAACCGTGTGACCTAAAGTACAAATATGTACACAAGGATATATATCAAAGCCCCTTGCACAATAGCGCAGCCGTCGATCGAGGGTCGAATTCGAACCGTGTGTGATCAGCATCGCGCTCGCTGAAGGTGAATGCTTTCAGGGAAGTCGTGAACTGTATACGCAACTGCGCACAATTCTGAGTCGCTTATAACGGCTTCGCCGTTACTTATTGCGAATTATGGACTCAGACTCTTGTCCTATCATATCATGGAGTCCCTGGCACAATAATATGCTACACAGTGGCAGTGGTGGTTGCAAAATGACGATTTATTACTAATAAACCCCAATGATCCGATCGAAATTCCTAATTTCGATCGGATCATTGGGGGGGGGCACGTGCCACCCCACCCTGCCACTGGCTCTGCCAGTGCCCTTGCATCACATTAAATCTCATACATCATTCCAATGCCCAGCTGCAGTTTGTCACTTTTGTTGATTTCGAGCCTGCGGGCCCACCTGGTAGTGCAGGAGGGCGTGCTCCGAGATGTAGCGTCCGCAGGCGACGTGCGAGCAGCCGAGGCAGGCCCACACCGACTCGGTGGTGCCGCACTCGGCACACAGCCACTTCTGCGGGTTCATGATGGAGTGGTCCTGGGCGAGACGCAGCCGGAACACGTGGCGGCACTTGTCCATCGCGAAGAGGAAGACGACGACGCCGCTTCCGCCGCCTTCACCGGCACGTGCCCCCCCCCCACCTTTGCAGCGTCCTCCAGAAGAGTCAGGTTTTGTTACGCGGAACTGAGCGTCTGTGAGCAATCGCGGACATCAAAGTCGGTGTGGCCGTCATCAACAACGCCACCATCGGCACCACCGACACGAGCATCACCACGACTACCATAACTACCAGCTTCGGCACCATAAACACCATCACGACTACGAGTTTCATCAGCACCACCGACAAGCACCATCACTATCCCAGCACCATCACTACCCCGACTACCAGCTAGCACCATCACTACTATCAACAGTCCCACCACCGCTATAAATACCACCACCGCTACCATGACTACCAGCTTCAACACCGACACTACAATTACCACCACCGCCAGCAGCATCAACACCGACACGACTACCACCACCGTCATAAATACAAGCACCACGACCAGCATCACCATTGCCGGCAACACCACTACCCGCTACCACAACTAGCCGCTTCAACACCACCGTACCAACACTCGCAGCACATCCACTCATCACCATAATCACCGCTTCCACCAGCAATAAAAACGCCGCTACCACGACCAACAAAACCAACAGTACCACCACCACAATCACATCCCAGCCGCCACCAACTACCAGCTACTATAACCATGACAAAGATCCCCCCCCATATATTTTAATAGGCTGTAAAGGGTTTTTTGCGAGCACCTTTTGAAAGCCGGAACTGCACACGAGAGGGGGTGGGTGGCCAACACCACGCTCGGTCACATTTGTGTCCCAAGCACTAATGTTTACACACCACACTCATGTACTCATTTAAGGCGGAGTCGATCTAGGGAAATCCCACAACAGTTTCAAATATTCGCGACAATCACTTGCGCCACCATTCCCCCACACCGCAACAACATCCGTCACCTCCACAATCATCCCTTAACACCACCACACTACTCCCACCACCACCACTATCAACAAACATCAATCATTATCAATCCACTGCTGAATAAAGACTTCCCGCAAGCAGTCGCACCGTTCTTCACGGACCCGCGATGTTTAACAATCCATCAAGGACCTTCGCAAACGCGAGCCGGATTTGATCTATCTGTCCGTGGTGTTCGTGGCTTTTTATTATCGGGGTGTGACTTCTGATTTGTCGCTTGAGCCTTGAGTTTCGACCACGGGCCATCATCATCATCTCTTCCAGGTTACTTGTCCTTCCCAGGTCGGCTCGCTTGTCTTCTCTGTCCAATACGACGTCTGTTCGCTTTCTTACGTACGTACGGATGTTGAAACTAGATTTTTGTCGCACCACCGTACGGAACCAATCGTGCCAATCGGAGGTGCGTGGGAAGGAGAACAAACTAAACGCACACAGAAATCGAATCCACGTGTTCCTCTTTACGGTTTCTCGGCGCAATTCAAAGCCTGCGCCTTGCCTCCCTCCCCATTCTGTTTTGCGTGATTTGTCCACTTTTGTCCCGTGTTTTTTTGTGAATGTCAGCATCAAGTAATGCGAAATTATATTTTAAAAAACACATGTCTCTGGGCACACGGTTGGTAACTATGTTGATTGTTCATTGCTAATATATAGTATTACACAGACATGCAATTGTGTGGTAAACATTCGGGCAGTTATTGAAAGTAGACTGAGGATCGAAATGAGGAATAAGCGGGGCGGGTTTGAGTTTGTATTATTATTTAAGAACCACTAACACCATCAATACAACTACCACTCCTGACACTACGACCATCACCACCACTGTCAATACGACACTCAAAGTCTCATCAAACTACGGAGAAAAACACCGTTACCTATCACTACCACCAGTGTTCCCAACACCACTGACATCACCTCACCACGACCACCACACCATCACAAACACCACAACAACTAATACAGAAATGCCTGTAACACTTTCATGACCACCACAATAACTATTATATAACCTTAAGAACAACCATCATATCCACCACCACCATCATGATCCAAACATAGCAGCCACCACTACCATTATTATTCCCAACACCACTACCACCACATTACAATAACAACCACCACTGCCCCCATAACCACCACCACCTCATTACAATAACAACCTCCACTGCCCCCATAATCACCACCACCTCATTACAATAACAACCTCCACTGCCCCATAACCACCACCACCTCATTACAATAACAACCACCACTGCCCCCATGATCACCACCACCTCATTACAATAACAACCACCACTGCCCCCATAATCACCACCACCTCATTACAATAACAACCTCCACTGCCCCCATAATCACCACCACCTCATTACAATAACAACCACCACTGCCCCCATAATCACCACCACCTCATTACAATAACAACCTCCACTGCCCCCATGATCACCACCACCTCATTACAATAACAACCTCCACTGCCCCCATAATCACCACCACCTCATTACAATAACAACCTCCACTGCCCCCATAACCACCACACCTCATTACAATAACAACCTCCACTGCCCCCATGACCACCACCACCTCATTACAATAACAACCACCACTGCCCCCATAACCACCACCACCTCATTACAATAACAACCTCCACTGCCCCCATAACCACCACCACCTCATTACAATAACAACCACCACTGCCCCCATGATCACCACCACCTCATTACAATAACAACCTCAACTGCCCCCATAACCATCACCACCTCATTACAATAACAACCTCCACTGCCCCCATAACCACCACCACCTCATTACAATAACAACCACCACTGCCCCCATAACCACCACTCATTACAATAACAACCTCCACTGCCCCCATAACCACCTCATTACAATAACAACCAACACTGCCCCCATAACCACCACCACCTCATTACAATAACAACCTCCACTGCCCCCATGATCACCACCACTCATTACAATAACAACCACCACTGCCCCCATAACCACCACCACCTCATTACAATAACAACCACCACTGCCCCCATAATCACCACCACCTCATTACAATAACAACCACCACTGCCCCCATAATCACCACCACCTCATTACAATAACAACCACCACTGCCCCCATAACCACCACCACCTCATTACAATAACAACCTCCACTGCCCCCATAACCACCACCACCTCATTACAATAACAACCTCCACTGCCCCCATGATCACCACCACCTCATTACAATAACAACCACCACTGCCCCCATAACCACCACCACCTCATTACAATAACAACCTCCACTGCCCCATAACCACCACCACCTTATTACAATAACAACCACCACTGCCCCCATGATCACCACCACCTCATTACAATAACAACCTCCACTGCCCCATAACCACCACCTCATTACAATAACAACCTCCACTGCCCCCATGATCACCACCACCTCATTACAATAACAACCTCCACTGCCCCCATGATCACCACCTCATTACAATAACAACCTCCACTGCCCCCATGATCACCACCAACGCACTCCTCTCAACACCGCTGGCATCACCGCACCACAAGAACGACCACAACAACTACCGGGGACCATCACCACGAACTCCCAACCACCAACACCACCACCAACAACACAATCACAACAACCATCACCGCCACCATCACTAACTACTACAACGACCACCACAACTCCCAACACCATCACTAACCAACAACACAATCACAACTACCATCACCACCACCACCCAACCATCACTACCACCACTAACCAACAACACAATCACAACTACCATCACCACGAACTCCCAACCATCACCACCACCAACGACCACCACAACTCCCAACACCATCACCACCACGGTGTTGAAAGCAGCGGGGTGATGGCGAGGCCCAAACAAAAGCCCCCGGGCAGACAAAGCGACAGTGACAGGGGCACAGCACGGGGCCCTCTCTGGCCTCGGCTCCATCTCCTCCTCCTCCTCCCCGCGGCCCCGCGGGGCCTCCCCGGACAAAGTTGCGGCGTCATGGCTGGCGTGGGCACGACGAGACGCCGCGCTTACCTGTAGCACGACGAGGAGGAGGAGGAGAGACAGAGGAAGGAACCCAGTTGCAGCACCATATCCCTGGGTCTCCTGGCCACAGGGGGGTCTCGGTGGCGCTCAGGCGGTGACCCCGGCGGGACCCCCGGGGTCACGGGGGCCGTGCGGCAGCTGGGACACGGGGAGAGACGACAGCAAGGACGTGGCCGGCAGCCGGGCCGAGGGTCCGCGCTGGGTCTCTGCGTGACCCTCACGGTGGAGCCGAGATGGAGAAGAACCAGGCTACTTGGTTGGGAATTGAACGTAGGTCTCCTTGGAGTCCCCTTGCGGTCAGGGTTCAGAGAGGAAACTTTCAGACTCCCGTGTCAAAGCCGAAACCCGCCAACAGGGTTCAGGGTCTCGTCTCGGCTCCGGTCCTCCGATAGCCGAGTTGTGAGGGCCAGCGTCAGCGAGTTGAGGAGTCGAACTACAAAAGCGACCGGGTTCCAGGGTGGAACCGATGTTCCCGGGGCCCCGGGTCGAGGGTCTAAGTCGGGGGAGCTGAGACGCGCAACTCCCCCGCGTGCTGCGGTCCGCGAGGCTCGTGGCTGAACCCGCGCTCCGCAAGCCCCGCCCCTCACCCAGCGCTCCGCCCCTCACCCCAGGCCCCGCCCCCCTCACCCCAGGCCCCGCCCCCCTCACCACAGGCCCCGCCCCCCTCACCCCAGGCCCCGCCCCCCTCACCCCAGGCCCCGCCCCCCTCACCCCAGGCCCCGCGCCCCTCACCCCGCGCCCCGCCCCTCACCCGCGCCCCGCCCCTCACCCCCGGCGCCCTGCCCATCACCCCGCGCCCCGCCCCTCACCCCGCGCCCCGCCCATCACCCCGCGCCCCGCCCCTCACCCCGCGCCCCGCCCCTCACCCCCGGCGCCCTGCCCATCACCCCGCGCCCCGCCCCTCACCCCGCCCCTCACCCCGCGCCCCGCCCCTCACCCCGCGCCCCGCCCCTCACCCCGCGCCCCGCCCCTCACCCCCGGCGCCCTGCCCATCACCCCGCCCCTACCCCGCGCCCCGCCCATCACCCCGCGCCCCGCCCCTCACCCCCGCTTGTGTATCGGTCTTCGTGTCTGGGTTTTTCAAATTTCACACTTAACTTCTAATTTAGCAATCTTTGGAAGAACGTAATCAACCAGGCTATGCGTTAATTGTGTGTTGACCGACCCTCTGTGTTGCATTGCATTACATTTCGAAATGTTTGCTAGGTTAGTTAATTTAGTGTGTCTCTCTCCCTGCCTCCTAATTTTTTCAAGCTTTCGTACCGTACCACTCATCGTGCTACTCATGGACATGCTAATTTCTCTAACCCCCCCTCTCTCCCCGCCCCCGCCCTCCCCTTTCTCTATTTAAAGCCTCGACACAGAGGCGTAGTTTCTTTTTGTGCATATGTCTGCTCTCTATGTATCTCTGTGATATCTGTCTGCTTATATGTCTGTCTATGTTTCTGGTTCTGTGTTTAATCTCTCTCTCAAATTTAGCATTCTCAGGAAGAACGTAATCAACCAGATAGGGTGTTGACTGTTATGTTATCCGACTCTCTGTTGTATTACATTACATTTCTAAGTATACTAGATTTGTGTTTCTATTGAATTTATACCTGATGATGATTGCTTGTGTTGCAATCGAAACGTCGTATGCTAGTATTTAATTCACTATTTTATCTTTATACGTGACTTTACCGAAATAACCAAATAATAATTCCTGTAGTCACGAAAGCTCCAAATTAATATCGTCACGTCCATTGTACGTAATGACGTCACAGGCATTCGCGTGCTCACGTGTGTTAACGTGATGATGTCATTACGGACGTGGAAGCTTGCATGACGCACAGATGGATCGATTAGCGATTATAGTTGAAGTTTGTCTTCGCGATTCGTGCGTCTAATCGCATGCACAACTAATCGATTAATGCACCGCTTATGTTGGGGCATGATTTCTTCATGAAAATCCCTGCAGTAGTTCTCTATTTAGAAGGGCACCGTAGTCACAAATGATATAATCGATCTGTGAATCGAATCGACAAATTAAAGGCGAAGATTGGGGAATCGATACAACTCCACCGCCCACTCCCTCGCTGCGGTTGGCCCACCCCATCTCCGCGAGTGCTCGTTTACATTTTTTCGTATCAATTTATCGCTCCAAATTGAGTTAATAATCAATCGAACAAAAATGCTACATATCAATCAAAAACAATTTCGACTCCATTCAAGTATAAATTATACTGGTAGGAACGAAGTGGACCAGACCACCAATAGATTAATGTGTCCGTCCGTCCGTCCGTGGGAGGGGTGGTGTTGAGGGTGGTGTTGGAAATGAAAGACTACGAGTCTTTAAATCTCACAGCGTTTCTTGTCAAAACAAACACTTTTAATTAACGTTACACTAGAATACAGTAATTTTTTCTTTCACTCCTCTATACCCGGTCGATATCTCTGTACCGGTACTAAGTATTATTCCTACCAGCCCACCCCGCAGGGTCCTGTTTTCGCAGTCGAGAGTAACAAGCGAACCGGTCAGGCACTCGACGCGGCCACCCTTCGCCTGTTGGGGGTGGGGTCCTCTTTGCGTCACGTGCTGTGGTGGGCGGGGCTAGCAGTCGCAGCGAGTGCGAAGCGCTGAGCGCGCACGTGCGTTTGAGTCCCGGCCCGGGCCACGCGACGCAATGTCCTACTGCCGCCAGGAAGGTGAGCGACGGGGAGCCACAGCGAGAACATCGCGGCTGTACAGGGGGGTGGGGGTGGTGGTGGGGGGGGAGCAACGACACCAAAGCCGCTTTTACAACACAACTCGCAGCTTTCGCAAGCGCGCATGCGCCCAATGTCACGGAATGGGGGGGGGTAGCATCGTGAAGCCGGCATGTCCCCAGCGTGGAGCAGCCTGGGGGGGTTAGGTAGAGGAGGCCCCCCCTGTGGTAGAGGTTTCTTGAGGGTGGAAGTGCTCTTTGGTGGAGGTCCCTGTAGGACTGTAGGTGGATGCTTCCTGGCGTGGATGCGCTTCGGGTGGAGTTTTGGGGTCTGGCTCCCTCTGGAGGCTCCCTATGGTGGAGCACTCCGGCACTGATGGATCCCGACTGAACCACGAGCGCTGGGAAGGTCACACGTGGTGCTGTGGAGTTCGCGGGGTTCACCCTACCCGGCCTCTCCGCGTCTCACGGCGTGTTGGGTTGAGGGGTTCATAGTCGTGTCCGGCCAGACTGCTCGGTCGATGTGAGAAGGGTCATGTGACAACGTGCAGAGATTAATCTGCAGTAACTATATTGGGGGCACTGCCCCACTTGTAAAAGCAATCCCCCAGTTGATGGGGACCACATGCACCATACGTGGGGTTGATTACACTTGTAATTGTGACACGATTAATTGCAACGACCGTATAATTGTAACTTCAGCTAAAAGTTATGCTTTGTAATTATAACACGTAGGCTTTCGCGACCAGTATTATTCATAATATCGGTTTTTGGTTCAGATCGCGTTATTTATAAATGTGTCGTAACCCTCCACCACCCAACACGGCCAAACAGTAAAAAATGTGTCACGTTTTTCAAAGGACAAAACAATTCACTTATTTAGCCCACCGGTGTGTTGAAGAGAGAGAATCAACAGCATTTTAAAATTTTAGTACGACGTTTCGCTGATAATTGACCCCAAGTCTGTTATGTTCGAGTCGTCTGAAGTCTATAATCTCAGTTGCTCTTCTACGCCACGTCCACCGCCCTGGGCGCCTGGCAAACCTATGTTTTCGTGACTCAGCGGACCGAGCTGGATGAGCCCAATAGGGGTAAGGGGGCAATGAGTAAAGTGAGACACCAGTCACCACTGGAGGAGCCAGACTGGGGCCCATTTCCCGTACACATTAAAGAAAGCTCACTGCGCTGCGAGGTTACGTTACACAATTTTTATGAAAGGGCACAATCCAGGTGACATCACCGAACGATTAGGGTGGCTGGTCGTGCAGTGTCTGCGTGAATATTTCAGTGGTGACCGGTTTTGTAAAAAAGCATGGTTTTGTATCGCTCACGGCATCAATGTCATCAACTGTTTACATGTACACATCTATACAGTATCATCCATTATCGGTCCACAAGCCGTCGCCATCTCTCATGATCTTACGATGCAACAATCCATCTAGCTCCTGCATATATGAAGAATGGGAAAGCTCTTGGACCAGATTGTTTGTGGACGTCTACAGGTTAGCTGCAGCCGTGGTCTTATCTCGGCACAAATCCACCTCTCCTCCCTGCCCCTCCCCCCGCTGCCCACACAGGTAAGGACCGCGTGATATTTGTGACAAAGGAGGATCATGAGGTGCCCAGCCAAGCCAAGCTCAAGGAGGACGAGCCGGACCCTTACGATGAACAGGGTGCGTCCCCTCCCCTCCCTTCTGTCACCATGACCCTAACACACAGAGCTCACATACAGGCTGCGCAGTGCTCCTGAAAATGATAGAAATCTATAAGCTGTGGATTAGCGTGAATGGCACGGGCCCTGGTGCATGAAATTAAATGCCCCCCCCCGCGCCCCACAACTGCTCAACTTCTGCCCCCCCCCACCACCACCTCTTCATAGCCTGGTGCCTGAGCCCCTTTGGACCATGGGCCCTGGTGCAGTTGCACTGCCTGCACACTCGATACGCTGTGCCACTGCTGTGCTTGTGAGTTTAATTAAGTATGTTATTAAAAAGAGGCATGAGCATTGTTGCTGGTGTATGAGCAAATCACTGGCAATGCTCCCATTCTCGCCAAATCTTGGAATCTAATAACCATGGTGATCATCTAAGTGCTATCCAGGTTTAACGCTGATTAGTTTGCAATATCTGGCAAGACCGGGTGCTTTCTGAGCGATTTGGTCATCCAGCGCATTCAATAAAAAAGTTCGTTCGTACATGCACATTTTGATGCACGCACCACGAGCGTAGGAAGATTTTTTGTTCAAATAGTGACGAGGCAAAAATGCCACAATGCTAAACCCGCTCTCTCACTCACACAGGCCTCATCCTGCCTAGCGGGGAGATAAACTGGAACTGCCCGTGCCTGGGTGGCATGGCGAGCGGGCCGTGCGGCGACGCCTTCAAGTCAGCCTTCTCCTGTTTCCACAATAGCAAGGAGGAGATGCGCGGTGCCGACTGCATCGACCACTTCCGTGACATGCAGGAGTGCATGCAGCGCTACCCGGAGATCTACCCGCAGGACGACGACCCCACCACCGCCCTCGCAAATGACGACCTTGACATTCCGGTCGCCCCCGAGGGTTCAGCAAACCGGCACGAAAACGCACCGAAAGGCGAGCAGGGCGGCGAGCTGGCCACTACTGAGTCGCCAGCCATGAGTGAGGTCCCGGAGAGCGGGCACGGGGAGGTGGCAGCCGCCACAGTCACTGATCGTGCGACGACCGCGGGTCAGAGTTAACGGGCATATCACGCGCGTAGCTGTGCAGGAGGAGGGCTTCCCGTGGCATCGCATACCCATGCCTACTTGACTCTTCCTTTTTTATTTTGCGACCTGCTTTGCGTCGTCGTTGTTTGATGTAAACGATGCCAAGTGGTGAGTTTTAAGCAGGTGAAAAGATGAATTCCACGTGTGATTTTGTCCGTAAACGGCATCGCCTGTTGGGCGGTCATGATGCACCGTTGATCGATACGAGCTGTGTATAAAGTTGTATTTATACATCTCAGAGCTAAGGCCAACGGAGTCGTGAAGACCCAAACGCTTAAATTAGAAGTCAAAGCCCACTCTCGGTTCATGCTGTGATTCGCATGTTCTCTTTGTGTGTGACGCGTAGAGACGTGATCTTCAAGCGTTGCACCCATTTGTGATGCTGGTACATGTTTGGAGACATCGTTTCTCACCATGTGGGTGATTAGCACAGTTGGCTACTTACAGTGCGAAAGAATTTCAACATACATTCATACGAATTAAATGCACTGATCTTGAACACCGAACGTTTCGCTTGCCGGTGGAGTTCATCCCCAACGGCCCTCGTCTTGTCTAAATAAACGTGTAACAAATACAGCGTCTACACATTTGTGAGGTTTATTAAATAATACAATGAGATTTGTTTTGTGAATGCTTAAAACCAAAATAATATTCAGGTTTTTCACCTCCAGTCAACCGCTACTCAATGGGAGGTCACTCCTCTGCTGCCTGCCCTGCTGTCCGGAACTCTCTTTGTCCACACTGCTGAGACACTTCTCCAATTCAGCTCTGGGTTTTACATCTTCCTCTTCTCATCTGCCTGTGGCTGCTCTGTTAAGTGTATCCAACCCATCCCTCCTCTCTTCACCACATCCTGAAAATAACCTAGAAATCCCTGATATCCGATATCCACCTCTGCCCCCCCACTGTAGAGCGTCTCGAAACACAGTCACATATGCTGCCATATAAAAGTTAACTGCCATATAAATATAAATGTTATTATGTAGCAAGCGGATGGTGCTCTTGACTAAATGCCTCCTTGGAGACTGGGATCTATGAAAGGGGATTTGGTCAGGCCTTCAGTCAGTAATTTACAATTGTCCAGTTTTTAGAACTTTATCCAAATCGCGAATCGACAGACTAGCGTTGTGTGGGCGCTGAGGGGCCCTGCTGCTTGCGCATGCGGTTGAACAGTTCCATGTACTGCACCATGGTGTCAGCGGCGGTGTAAAGTGCCGCGCCACCAGTGGCCCCGTCGGCCCGGCCCGCGCCAGCCGTGGGCGGACTCACGGGCGCATGGGGGCCCAGCAGGGCCTGCATGAACTCCTGCAGGAGGCCCCAGCAGTCACTGGGCACCACACATGGGCAGTACTCCACCTGCACTCGCCACACATCCAGACGACGAGCAGAGTGTCAGCTCGCGCCTGCCAGGCACGAGGCTAGTGTGGTTATTGTTAGGTGTAGGGACAGTGTCTGGTGTAGGTAGGGTTTGGTTGGCGATTGTGTTCATGATAAATGTCGTATGCTATTATTTCATTTATTTATTTTCTACGTGACTTTACCGAAACCAAAGAGTAAAATTGGAACTTTAGCTCACAATATAAATATATAACACCTTTTGTATATACAATGAGGGCTTTCCCATCCACTGTGTGGGTCGTTGGAGTGAGTTCAACCTCACATCGTAACAATTTCCTGATTACCAATCTAGTATATAATTACAATAACCCCCCCTCCACCTCAAATCGTTGCACTTGATGAGTTAAATGATGACGTCACCCTGCTGCTGCTCTATTTAAGACCGGGAGCAAGAGCAGAGCCTCACCATTCTGGCAAATTGCCCGATGATGCTGGATGCAATTACCAGCGAAATGTCGTGCTACTCAAAAACTGTAAATGTTGTGGTTTCACTCTTCAACACACCGGTGGGCTAAAGTAGTGAACTATTTGTCTTTTGTCAACGTGACACTTTTTTGCTGATTGGCCGTGTTGGGTGGTGGAGGGTTACGACACATTTATAAATAACGCGATCTAACCCAAAAACGATTATTATGAGTTCAACCTATCATTAACCATTGTGAACGATGTTTAAAGAAGTCATGTGTATTGGCTAACAGATGCAAACCCGGACTGCCGTCCCCACCACACGGTCCCCTCCAAACCATGCCCCCCATGAGTCTGACGGGAGGAAGCTGCTTGTAATTGTGCATCGCACCTCCACACACACGCCCTTGGAGCTGGGCCCCATGGTGACCGTGCCGAGCTTGATGAGGAAGTCTGCATAAACATAGCGCGTTCCTCGTGCCTCAACCTGCGATAAAACGATAACGGCCTCATTAATACAGCAGGTAGTCCAGACACACGGCCACCTCATGGCAACGGCAGCACTTAGAGTGAACGGGAAACAGTGAGTAGGGGTATGAGATGGGGAAAGTGTTAGGGTTTGGATGGTTAATATAGTTGGGGTTAGAGATAGTATTTGGTTTTATGGTTTATTTAGGGGTAGGGCCCGTGTCCTGAGTCCGCAATAAAAACCCAAAATGTAACTTTGGTTTCACCGATTGAACCATCACAATGCCTCTCCTTTGGATCTCCAGTGTGGACGTGGTAGTCAGGGGGCCATGCCGCCCCCCTCACCACTCACCTTGTTGCTCTTGGCATTCTGGAAGAGGCCCTTGAGCTTCAGCATGAGTGCGTCAAAGCCAACGTCGGCCGTGAGACAGGGCCCGTTCTCGTAGAGCGCGAAGCAGCTGAGCGGGTACTCCGAGTTGTGCATCACATACAAGTACTTCATGGACTGACCTGTGATATGGAGAAATCGTTATAGCGGTGGGGGGGGGGGGGTAACGATATGGTCAATCGGCAATCGGAGATGCTCCCACACCTGGCTACGTACAGTGCAATAGCTCAAGGAAGCCGCTTATCACGTGGAAATTTATAGCAGCCAAATACTCTAAATGCACGTTTCTAAATGTGGAGGAAAACCCGCAGGACCTGGAGAAAAATCCACGCGACCATGGGGAGAACATGAAAACTCCAAATATACAGCATCAGGTAAAGGTCCCCCATACAGCCTCTAACAGGCTGTTGTTAGCGAGTACCTATTAAGGCCGGAATGGCGAACAATCGGCTGGTGTGGCCAGGACCACGGCCTGCCGCCTTTGTCTCCCCAATGCTGAAGTTTGGGCACTGCACCAGGTACTCAATGAAGGACAAGTCGGCCTAGGTGAGCTCGAGGACATACAGTGAGGGAAAAAAGTATTTGATGCCCTGCTGATTTTGTACGTTTGCCCACTGACAAAGAAATGTTCAGTCTATAATTTTAATGGTAGGTTTATTTGAACAGTGAGAGACAGAATAACAACAACAAAATCCACTGTTCAAATACACCTACCATTCAAATTATAGACTGATCATTTCTTTATCAGTGGGTAAACGTACAAAATCAGCAGGGGATCAAATACTTTTTTCCCTCACTGTACACCATACACCCACCACACACCTCACGCACACCACATCGAAACTCGCACACGAATCACACTGCACATGACGAGGTGAGTCGCCGTGCGTGCCCCCTCACCCGTGTTGGAGACCGGGTGGTACATCTCGCAGTCCACCAAGAAGGAGGCCTGCTTGGTGGCGCCCATCAGCTCCAGCTTTTTGGCCAGTATCTCCACGTTCTGCTGGATGCTCTTGCCATCTGCCAGCGGCCACTGGCACACGCTGACACACACACGCCGGCGCCGTTCACCGCATTGGTACAAAGACAAAGATGATAATTGTTTTTTTACCCTTTTATCTGGCAACAAAACTGACACCTTTTTTTTACAAGGAGTCATGTTTGCATAGACCAGGGGTCGGCAACCAAAATAACAAGAAGAGCCATTTCTTTCCAATTCGGTACAAAATTCAGTATTTCAAGAGCCGCAATGCATCTGAGTACATACTGTACATATTGTCAAGAAGCAGCCCGTAAAGAGCCGCATGCGGCTCCGGAGCCGTAGGTTGCCGACCCCTGGCATAGACCGCAATTCCTGCAGTCATAATACAAACAAAAGACATAACTCTGATAATGTGCACTGTCCTTGAAGTTGATTGGTCCACACCCGAGACAGCTTTCCTTAGAGCCTAGTCTCACACTCACATGGGTTGGACCAGATGACGCCAAAAGACAAAGATCCCCCGTATAGCCTAAAACTGATTATTCGGGCAAGTGCTGTTAGCGAGCACCTATTAAGGCCAGCACGGCACACAATAGGTTGGGTGGCCAGCACCACGCCCGGCCGCCTTTGTGTCCCCAGTGGCGATGTTTATACACCACACCAGGTACTCATTTGAGGTTGAGTCGGGTGGTAAACGCAAGTGATGACGACTTTCTCTCTACAGATCAAAAATGTGTATGGCAGCAAGGTGACAGTGGTAGCTGTTTACATAAAACTGTATTGATGTCGATAAAGAACGGTGTCTCGGTGTGTTTGCCAGATAATATTTTGGAAAGAGAAAATGTAAATTAAAACATCTACTGACTATGAAATTTAAATTAGGTGAGTAGAAGATAAGGTGAGGTGAGTGAAGGTGAGATGGGTGAGTAGATGATAAGGGAGTGGAGGTTGAGGTTGGTGAGTAGAGGGTGAGTTGAGTGAGAAGAGGGTGAGGTGAGTGAGTAGAGGATGAGGTGAGTGAAGGTGAGGTGGGTGAGTAGAGGGTGAGGTGAGTAGAGGGTGAGGTGAGTCAGTCGAGGGTGAGGTGAGTAGACGGTGAGCGACTGAGTCGAGGGTGAGCGAGTAGATGGTGAGGTGAATGAGTAAAGGGTCCGTGAGTCGAGAGTGAGTGCGTAGAGGGTGAGGCAAGTAAAGGGTGAGTGGAGGGTGAGGTGAGTGGAGGGTGAGGTGAGTGGAGGGTGAGGTGAGTGGAGGGTGAGGTGAGTGGAGGGTGAGTGAGTGGAGGGTGAGGTGAGTAGAGGATCGGGTGAGTGGAGGGTGAGGTGAGTGGAGGGTGAGGTGAGTAGAGGATCGGGTGAGTGGAGGGTGAGGTGAGTGGAGGGTGAGGTGAGTGGAGGGTGAGGTGAGTGGAGGGTGAGGTGAGTGGAGGGTGAGGTGAGTGGAGGGTGAGTGAGTGGAGGGTGAGGTGAGTAGAGGATCGGGTGAGTGGAGGGTGAGGTGAGTGGAGGGTGAGGTGAGTGGAGGGTGAGGTGAGTAGAGGATCGGGTGAGTGGAGGGTGATGTGAGTGGAGGGTGAGGTGAGTGGAGGGTGAGGTGAGTAGAGGATCGGGTGAGTGGAGGGTGAGGTGAGTGGAGGGTGAGGTGAGTGGAGGGTGAGGTGAGTAGAGGATCGGGTGAGTGGAGGGTGAGGTGAGTGAAGGGTGAGTGAGTGGAGGGTGAGGTGAGTAGAGGATCGGGTGAGTGGAGGGTGAGGTGAGTGGAGGGTGAGGTGAGTGGAGGGTGAGTGAGTGGAGGGTGAGGTGAGTAGAGGATGGGGTGAGTAGAGGGTGAGTACAGGGTGAGGGAGTGGAGGGTGAGGTGAGTAGAGGATGGGGTGAGTAGAGGGTGAGGTGAGTACAGGGTGAGGGAGTGGAGGGTGAGGTGAGTAGAGGAT